CATTGCCCGGCGAGCAGGAACTCGATATCTGTGACCAATCAGTATATCTGTGCACAGCGCACACAGATATTGATTGGTAAATGGCGGGCGGCGACGCAGACGACCAAGTCGAGTCGCGGGTTGCGTTTGGCGAGCGTATTGATAGATGGCGTCTGGAGCAGCGTCTGAAGATGTAGCCGACCAGCGAAAGAAAGCAGACGACACGCAGACGAAATCCGTTGGCTGCAAAAGCGCCGTCGTAATGCAAACGCGCTTTTTTCCCCTTTAAACATTGCTTTTATTGTCCGCATTTATTTTTTAACCAGAGGTACATTACAGAAAGATTATGTTCATTGGAATAAACCATGGTGCTCGCGAGCAGTCTCGTTAAGGAAGTAGCGCCATCTATCAATACGAGCGCCAAACCCGCCCCGCTATTCGACTTGGTCGAGTGCGTCGCCGCCCGCCGTTGACCCTGGCAAGTTTCTTGGCCCTATTTTTTACAGAAAGAGAGCTACGCTTTGTAATAAGAAAAAACCGACCTGTGAAATACATCTTTGACGAAACGTTTAGATTGCTACGTGCAGGTGTCGATTTTTACGGTCCACTGTAGATCAAACCTGGTGGCTTGGACACCCTATATATTTCTACATCTTAAAAGTTCTAGTCTGTGCGGCGAACCAGCCGAGACGAGTGTGGTTCCGAAGCTGACCCTCGAGTGCCAAGCTGAGTCTCAAGCACGTCGTTCACTCCCTCTTCTTGTGTCGGCTGTTCACTACAATATCCCCCGCACCTTGGCCGTGCACCATGTACTGAAACAAGAGTGTCAGGGCCGGAGGGCGAAGGTAAATCTTACGTAATTCTCCCAGGTGTCGCTCCTTGGGGTGCGACGAGAAATAGGTGGGAGAGGCGGCGCGGAGGCTGAGTGTGAGCGCGCTTTACTCGGTCGATAGATACCACTCGTTCTTTGTTGCTAACAAGTATCGTGAACTTCTTATGTCTCTCTTTATGTATAACGGGGAACGGACCATCGTATAAGGGATTTTAGAAGCGTCTTGGACGCCGTCGTGTCGAAGAAAAACGTGCTTGCACTTTGTGAGATCTGTACTGATGGAAATGTTTCGCGTGGAAGGGATTCGTGATGCTACAAGTCGCAGACTCGCAGGACTTGCTTTAGGAGCCGCAACCGATGAACGTAATATTCCGCGCTCTGCGTTTCCGACTGTCCCGGGATATCCTACACAGAACTGACCGCGGATCAGCTCACCGACAACACAGGTCCAAACACGGGGAAGGCATCACGTGACTTTTTGATGCCCAGCCAACAAAAGTTTAAACTTTACTTGCATCAACGTGGGATGCAAGTGACCCTGTCGCATGCGAGTTGGGCCGTAGCACTGCGCTCGCTTCCTCCCGGTAGTGTTTACGTGAGCGAGGAAAAGGCGAGACTGGCAAGGCCAAGGCGGCGATAGTTTTACCTCTGCTGCCGGCCGCTCCCTCTTAGCAGAGGCCGGGCCGCTGCGCCACCATGGAGAGGACTTCTTTGTGTGGTGGCGTTCCCTGGAACTACGCCGCGCATCAGCCATTTGGGTGACTGCTACAGGTTACAGCCTTTGCTTCATGGGACAGGGTAATTTATGTGTCGTATGGTGCGGCTTCAAAAGCTGATAACGCCGGTTCGCTCCATGGGACAATTAATGCTTTCGCATTAATAACGCTCCCATGCACGCTTTGAAGGTCGTTGGACAGCGAAGCTGTGGTATCACCTGCAACGATTTCCCACTTCACTACAGACCCTTTTTATGGCAAACGCCGCCAGGTGGTGCTCTAGTCTTTGACGTCTCAGAGAACTTCCGATTTAGGAAAAGAAGGAACGACGAGTTGCCATAGCAATGAGGCCATCTTAAAGGGGCACGGAAACAAAAATTAAGATATTCAAATTTTGGTCGGAAATGAGTCAAGCATGACGGATAATAACCGTAAATGTTAATCGCACGTTTGTATTTTGAACGACTGGTTATATTTTTTGTTCCAAACGGTGCACTCGAGCAAGGGCTGGAAGAGAAGCGAACGGAGAGCGCGATGCGTCATGAGATATCCGACGAAAACAAAAACAGAAAGAAAAGATTTCCCGCGTTCGTGGCTTAGCAACCCTGGCAGGGTTATGAACTTTGCCGTTGGTGGCGTTGTCAGCGTTGTGGTGGTGTCAATAGCGTCAACGCGTTACAACCGAGCCGTTCAAAGTACCCGTGGGGTGACGAGCGTGTGGCTGGCCCAAGGAGCACGTAGCTTCCACAGCACTGCCAGCTTAGGGCTGAACGGGGTGGGGAAAGCAACTTTTTCCCGAGTTTTGAGCGACTGGCTAATCTTTTCGGGGGACAATGGCTGTATCCGGGTGCGCAAACGAGGGTCCGAGAAAGAGGGGAATCCCTCCTTTCCGTCTTCTTAGACTGTTTGGTCCAATGCGCGATTTGTGAGTTCAGGAGGAAAGCTAAGAAGGAAAATGTTGAAATTCCAAAAAGCGGCGCTGCTCCGATGGCACTTGCTACGTCATGACAACCTAGCAAGCTCCCCAACGTTGCTAGATTACCTCCCAAATAGGCTCCGCATGCATCCATCAGGTGCACATTGAAAGATCGTTTAATTACGTTTAAAATTAGTTTCCTCGTGCCTTTCAACGCAAGATTGGTGTTTTTGAGGTTATACTGCAACACAAACCCATTAAAGCTAAAAAATGAGCGCTGGAATTTCGTTTCCCTACCGCTTTAAAAAAATACTTCAACGAAATTTTAAATATACCCGCCGTGTCCAGAAATAGGCTGAATATGATCCACAATATCTGTATATGACAATCATGCGTTTGTATTTTGAGCCTGGTGGCTGTATTTTTTGTTATCAACGGCCACTCTGGAAAGCGCTCGGAGAGCAGCCAGCAGCGGAGAGCACGCAACATCCGGCGCAATCGTGACGTAGATTGTCTTGGGACGAGCAAAGCTGCGGCGATGCTGATGCCAACAGGATGCTGTTTCAGCCACCGAAGTGGCCGAAGCACGCCAGCGATCGGGCCACAGCAACTGATGATGAACAATTTAGCCAGTGCAGTACAACCGCTACACTGGCTAAATTGTTCATCTACAGCTGATACACCAGACGCCCACAGAGGCGGACTAACTTCCGGCTGTATAAACATACACACAACAATTCGCTTTAGTACATGACTCGTTGGTCGGTTTTTTTCGTCTCCGTCAACAGAACAGTAGTCGACAGAAAACCCACGCGGATGCCTTATATACAGCTTCGCTGTAAAAGGAAGTCATGCCTCCCCCGTGGGTCCAAGCCAACCTCCTTTTTCCAAGTGGCTTTCTGGGCGTTGATGTCGCTCAGATCGGGTCACCAATATGTAGTGAAATGACTACATAATATGTACTATATGCGTTTTTACAGCTTAAGCCTGTGAAGCGAACCAGCGGACACGAGTGTGGTTCCGAAGCTCACCCTGGTCCTGGAGCTTTAAGCATAGCCTCGAGCGCTTCGTTCACTTCCTCTTCTTGTGCCGGCTATACCAAAATGTAATCGACAAAAAAAGCCACTTGAAGCTCTGTACTTTTCTCACCTATTACGTTCCAAGCTGGTTAGATTTTTTTTATTATTATTATTATATTTCTCTTACGTTACTAGAGCCTCGCCCACTAACTCCCGAGTGTGCGATGCAAAATTAAAGTGAGATACCCAGAAACCCGTTGCAGGTGCCCTAAGTCGCTGACGCAAATTTTGAGGAATGTATTTGGAAAAGTATTTGGAGGAGACCATGCAAATACATTTTGTTGTATTTGTATCTTGTACTTAAATGCTCTTTTGGAAATGTAATTAGATTTGTAATTAAATACATTTTTGACGAAGCATTTTGTATTTGTATTTCGATACATATTTGCATGTATTTTTCCCATCCATATATATATATATATATATATATATATATATATCGGCCACAAAGTTCTATATCGTCCAGCTGTTCCGGTGAGTTGCTATCACTAAAGGGGGAGGGGGGAATCAGTACGTGCCCTTATGAACTATTAATCATGGCTTTGTTTCAAATCTACTCTAATGGACCACATGGGAGCACAAATAGAGCAACGCTGTGTAGCAAGGAGGATTTTCGAAGGCAAAAGTAGAAGACTGCGGGCATGAACATCTTAGAAGCGCGGCCCAAATGGTCGTGTGCAATCTGTTGAGCAATCACAATTGGGCGAGCCGCGCTCGAACGTCAAGTGCGATTAAGTAGGTTGATAATAAGCCAGCACTGATCACTGATGAGAAGCTGTTGTGTGCAGTATTCTGTAAATCGTCTGAGGACGGAAACAAGACTTACCTTCCCCCCACTTCCGTCGCGAGTGTCGCAAGTATACAGTCGTCAGAGTAAAGTATATAAGACGCTGATCCAGAGGCACATACGGCTTCACGCACATTGCACTCGCAAAACACATTCACGCGGCGTATATTATTTATCGGTATCCAAGCGTGCGAAGGCACAGAGACACAGCACTTCGGCGTGCCAAGGAAGCTTTGAACATGCCGCCAGGCGAAACTTGCTTTTGACGAGTTGTGCCTTTTTCCTGCGGCACTGCGCTTTCGTAAAAATTTTCGCGTGTTCTCAATCGCAAGTATCGCGCCTCACAGAAGATTTTAGAGAACGTCTTCGACATATGACGACAAACAACTAGAAACGTGTCTTTAACACGTTGCCGCCGGCCTTCGCAACGCTAGCAAAAGGAAGAAAAACGGCATGCAAGATGGCAGCCCGGTTGCCGCAATTCATAGCCGCAATCGCGCTGTGCATATACGGCTCTGGCGCTGTGATACTGCTCCATAAGCGGCGAAACTTCGTTGTAGTATCCCCTTAAAGGCAAAGCTGAAACGTCCTTCTGTATTTTCTTCTTATTTTGCTTTTCGTCATATGCGCCGTAAACGCTGCAAACAAGGGATTTTTACGAGTACTTGGTTCCCGCATTGGCCACCAGGATAACCAGCAAACGTTTGCAAGATGGCGCCGTACACATGAAATAGAACCTGCGTGAAGGACGTTTGTAAGAAACACGTTTTGTACTTACTCATTTCCTAAAGTAAACGCAAGAAACTATCCTAAACGGGAACGCGCACCCTCCGTCTAAATGTACGCGCAATCCAAATCAAACTACATAGGCTTGTTTTCCTCCGTTGCCGTTATTTTGTCGCGACCGTTTCATTCAAGGCACTCGATTTCTTCCAGTCATTTTTTCCTTTAGTTATCTTCGACCGGTGACCACCGCCACGATTGCCATATCAGCGTCGCAAGCCACTATGTCCGGCACCCTGAGCCGGTCGGTGTCGCTGAGCCCGCTCGAGCCGAGCCCTCCGGGCCAGCCGAGCTCGGGCTCCCCGCCCAAAGTATCCGGACTGCCGAAGGACACGCGCCAGCTGACGGACCTCACCATTTCGCCGCTCAAAATCTTCGTGTCCGCGAAGAAACGCATCAACGACGTCTTCGTAGGGATCCAGGGATATGTGGAGGAGAGCCATGCCTTTCTCTCGGGTAAGTTCCCTCGCAGTTCGTTTGCGTTACTTCAATCGCGAACCTTCGTCATCACTATTTACGCTTTACCCTACTATCACGCGGCGCCGTGGGCTTCCTCGGCATGGGCCTCTGGTTTTTCTTCGGTATCGCCGCTGTCGTCAGCCAAATAAATATACCAATACAGATACAAACATTGACAGTAAACCCGGAGACTGGCATGTGAAAAAGTAAAAACACAAAAAAGACGAGAACATAAAGGAAGAAAAGGGGGGGGGGGGGGGGGGGGGGTGTAGGACGACAGGCTGCTTGTCAAACTCAGCATAAAGGGACACGGCAAGGGAAAAGAATGTTTTTTTTTTTGTTTTTTTTTTAAGGGCATAAATGGGCCACATGACCTTAAAATTATTTTTAGGCGAAAAAAAAAAAAAAATTTCCGCAATATTTACGTTGTTAGACACAATCTATAGTCGGTGACAGGTCAAGAACAAAGTGGAAGCTCCTCCCATCCCTTTCCACTTTAGTGAAGCGAACGTTGGAGAGGAGGCGACCTCCTCTCCACCAATCGCTTCGCTGAAGTGGAAAGGGGTGGGAGGAGCTTCCACTTCGTTCTTGACCTGTCACCGACTATAGGTAGAGATCACAACCCGCTCAAGTCCCGCCCACAAATCATTCGCCCCGCCTAATACTACTTGACTGGCTTGGCTGCTCGACCGAACAGGCTAACAAGCATATTGTCCCCCTTCCGCGTCATCTGGTGCATTTAGTCTGGGACGGAAGCCTCCGGCATTGCCTGCTATTTCACCGCCGTCTATCGTCTGCAATGACGTGAGACGTAAACACAAAAGCTGCGCTTCTGTGTCCGTTTTCGCCTCCGTCCGTCTGCTATTCATCCGCCATCTAAAAACTTCTGCAACGCTGAGAAGACGCAACCATGAAAGCGGTGTCCTAGCATTCCATCATGCATGAGCCATGACCTAATACAAGCATCTGTTAGTGTTTATCAATGTGCATAGGCCGTGGCTACATCCACGCGCGGGGACGTAGCCATGTCGGGAGGAGATAAGGCTCCATCCACGCAAAAGGTCACGTGACTTATAATTTAAGGACATAATTTGTTTTTATTTACATATTATGCTTTCTTACAACTAAATATAGGATTTAAAAATAAAGAGGTTACATTTTATTGTTGTTTTAAAGTTAATATATCACGTGACCTTACAAATTCTTAGACAATTTATCAATGTTTCACTGTTTTCTAACACTGATAGGAAATATCATGCGTCATAAAAATAGTATCCGTAGATGTCTTTATATTTATGTTGTCCAGGAGTCACACACACGTGTGGGCGTGCCATCCGTGCGTGGGGGCGTGCAGCCTGCAGCCATGTGGTGTGGGCTTAGTTGGCTTGGCGCGGCTGCGGCCTCTGGGGCCTTCGCCCATGTGCACATCGCTGCTGAGGCGAGGCGGCGAGGCTTCGCCGTGTATGTGATTGGCTTAATTCGTTTAAGGCATTGTAGTGTGAGCTTATGTGCATCGAAGGGGACAAGTGCGAGCACACGCTTCGTATGTTCTTGACTTGCACGCACGCTCGCTATCTCACAAAGATTGTGTGAGAAGGGAAAGCATGCATTAGACTCAGTAATAACAAACCTATTGAGAGCATTCAATCGAGAAAACTGGGTAAAAGATTTCAGAAACAGTTTATTTCATGACAAATAAGACAGTAGCCGATGCACAGATGCCACTCGTCCACGAGATCACCGATGAACACGAAGCCCTTCTTGCGGCAGAACTCCTGCAGGAGCCAGTTCACTTCTCTGTGCCGATCATTCTACACCTGGATCACTGCACTCTGCCTACGCTGACACTCCAACGAAAAGAACCTGTTCTCCCAACTCGGAAGAAAAAGTGATCTGCGTCGTCGGATTGCGTTCCAAGATCTGAGCGGCCAGCCGACGGTACTTGTCAACGTACGCGCAGGCACAAACGCTGGTGTTGTTTGTGCCAAAATCGAGCAGGGCGTCAGACACTTCGAGAAGCAGAGCCTTGATCCTAATGTTACTAAACACCCGCACTTCGACAGCCACCCGGTTATTCGATGTGAAATACTGGGACTAGTATTTCAAAATCGAATCCCCGGCAACCAAAACTGCGTTCATATCAGAAGCGCGACCGTGTGAATACACAAAGTTTTCTCGACCAAGAAAACAATAAAATAAAAATAAAAACAACACTTCAGAGAAACCCGCTTGGGGAAGACCAGGCGGGAACAGCAGTCCGCGCACGGCAGGAACGCAAGGAGCAATGGCCACCGAGCACAAGGCAAAACAATGGGAGACAAGACCGCAGGTTGATTGTTGCGTGGACGGAGACAAGACGGAAGGAGAACTGCTTCCGTCCACGCAAAAAAGTGACGTGGGCGCCGGAAGTGACGTAGTGCGTGGATGGAGCCTTATCTCCTCCCGACATGGCTACATCCCCGCGCGTGGATGTAGACACTCCCATGTGCATAATTAACAACCGAGAAAATAAAAAATAAAAAAAAAAATCAACAAATATTTATTCTTTTTAGGTTTACTCTTCTTGTTATTTTTTTTCACATACCTTCTGTGAGCAAGGTGGGTAAGCGTTATGACTAACAGTTAAAATGTGGCATAAAAATATTTCCTTTTGTAGGCCAGGGTCACTGCGCAACTTGAAAGCTTGCCTTTCGAGGTGCACTGTGCAGCTCAAAAGCTCGCCTTTCGAGGTGCAATGACGGGAACATACCTAGACAAGCCTGATGTGAGCTGAACGCCCGATTGCCTCCATCCAAAGCGCTTGCAAATTCTTACGTGTCTAGGTATCTTCTCGGTATTCAAACCATGGTTGCAATCACGACGGTTACACAATTCACAGAGCAGAGGAGCCGCTTTTACGAGAACCAACATCTTTATTCAGCATCAACATGCACAAAGAAGGAAATCAAGCCAGATCGATCAATATCTGGGACTCTAGAGTTAGGCCAGTCCCGCTACATAAACAAGCATTCGCACAGGGCTCCTGAAGGCGCATACTTGCAGCAGTTGTTTGTTGCAAACAATGTCGGTTGAGGAGATCTTCCTGTAAACACCTCTGTAAACTCAAAAACAATCGCACTCATAAAAATGGTCGAGCTCAACAAGCTTCGTTCATTCGGCACTCTGCAGACGCCGGCAGCCATGTTTTTTAACGTTTTAAACCAAAGCGGGATAAGCAATCTCAGAATACATTTGAAAACAATTCTGACTCTATCTTGATTATTTGCTTCTCAAATATAAAAAAAAATAGTTAATTAAAATACTATCAAAGCATGGAGGTAAAAAATTGACAACCAACCTTTCACACGTCAATCATTTCTCCAGCCAATGAGAGATATAAGCACCTTGTAAGCATGGGACAGGGCTTAACAGGCTGCGACCTTCATCTTCTGCACCTAAATTACGTCTAGCAACGTAAATGTTGTACAAAAAACTTTCTTTTTTCGTGCGAAATTTATTTTAAAAAATATGTGTCCTATTTATGCCCTTTACAAAAAAACTTTTTTTCCTTACAGTGTTCCTTTAGTGGTTCGTTCAGACACCAGCATTTGACTGCGTTAAGACTGCTTGTGTCGCGCTGTTGCTATGGCGACCCTTGCCATGAGGCAAGGGTGAGGCGCTGTGCTGCACGACGCAATGCGGCGCAACGCGGTCGACGCAACTGTGTGAACAAGCCTTAAGGTTTATTTTGAAATAAAGCTTGTATGCTCATTGACAAAGTGAGAACAGCAGGGAGAAGCTTTATTAAAACTTGGGTTTGGGCTAGTTGGTTCATTACTGAATAAAAGGTTAAAAAGCGCGAACAAACGAGGACAATAAAGAAACACGGACGACAGGACAGGCGCTTCACTCTCAACTGGTTTTTATTAACACCATTGTCACCTATATATACACATTGCCCAAACCACATCGGATTCAATCGCGACAATCAGAGCCAACCTTCCAGAAACACCATCTCACTCTGGAGCAAATACAAAGACGGAGCGCTGACGCAATTGTTTTCTTTCTTTTTTATGTAGAATGCCTCTATAATCTCTCTTTCCGTTTTTTCCTTTGCCTTTCTTAAAAACTTTGTGCCAGTCAGGTCAGGTTTACATCCACATCGCCCACAATGGTCAGCGAGATGGCCCCCCGCGTTGTTGCGCACACACAAATTATGTTCACGTGCTCTATCATTGAAGCAGCGCCCAGTCTGCCCAATGTAGACTCTGCCACAACTAAACGGAATCTCGTACACCACATTGGTGACGCACGCAGTATATTGCACCGCGCGTTTCTTGGAGCACGGTGCCTTTTTCTGCCTTGTCAACATCGGACATATCCTGGCAAGTTTACACGGCGCAGAAAAAACCACGTTAATGTCGTATCTACCAGCTACCTTTTTTAAATTATGAGATAGGGTATGCATGTACGGAATGACTTGCACTCGTTTCTTCTCTTTACGTGCCTCGCTGCCTTTTTTACTTCTTTTTAGCTTTTGAAGAAGGCTCTCACAACAACTAGAGATTAGATTAGGGGGGTACCCCGCGTCTGTTAACCTTTTTGATTGTCGTTCAAAACTGATTTTCATCTGGTGGTTGCAACTTTTTTCCAGAGCCGCACTTAGACATGTCAAGGCTATACCCCTCTTTACCAGTTTAGAGTGAGCACTTTCAAACATCACCAGGCTTTTCTTAGTGCGCGGACAATACTGCCAACAGACATGTTCTTCAGAAAAAAGAATCAAAATGTCTAAAAACTGAATGCAGTTATTCACAGGCAATTCCCAGGTAAAATTAAGTCCGCCTGACACCTCCCTAAACAGTCCGACAATCTTCTCAACCGTTTTCTCCAAACCTGAGTGTGTATCTAAAATGAAAAAATAGTCATCTACGTATCTATACGTCTTTAAAACATGGAAATCTGCAAGTCTATCTGAAATTTGCCGGTCCAGTGATGCCAAAAAAATGTTACACAAAACAGGGGCAACTGTCGACCCAATGCACACACCAGACTTTTGTACAAAATATCTCTCGTCAAAACTGACGGCAGTCGACTGAAGATAAAAGACTAGCAGCTCCAAAAAATGATCGCTGCTAACGCCCGCGGAACTTTGAAATCTAATTTCTCCAGACTCGTTGATCTTATCCCGAACAGCCTTGAGAAGTCCTACATAAAAAAGAAAGAAAACAATTGCGTCAGCGCTCCGTCTTTGTATTTGCTCCAGAGTGAGATGGTGTTTCTGGAAGGTTGGCTCTGATTGTCGCGATTGAATCCGATGTGGTTTGGGCAATGTGTATATATAGGTGACAATGGTGTTAATAAAAACCAGTTGAGAGTGAAGCGCCTGTCCTGTCGTCCGTGTTTCTTTATTGTCCTCGTTTGTTCGTGCTTTTTAACCTTTTATTCAGGAGAAGCTTTAGTTGTCCCGCCTTTAGTGTAAGCTTCTTACCTTTAAAAATGCTTCGGCGTTTTATGCGCCCCGAACGCGCACATGCGGTGAAGGCATGGAGTGCGTTGTGGAGGCCGAGCGTTCCAAAGACACACCCTGCCATTCTTACTCTCTCAGTGATTACAGCTGAGCTTGACACATTGTCTGTCCCCAACCCTCCTTTTTTTCTTTTTCTTTTTTTTTTTGTCTCATTGTTTTCCCTTTTTTCACCCCAGTCTCACGGTTTAGCACCTTCTTCAATATACAACTTGCCCACAGTTCAAGCATTTTTTTTTTCTCACTACACTTTTATTTTATTGATTTACATACCCAAGTTTGTTCTCTAAAACCAAGCTTAAAAGGGACACTGATAGGGTATATATGCTCGCCAAGGTTTGTGTTTGCACATGACATTTAAGAGCCTAACTGCCCAAAACAGAATTTGCGGGTCGAGATTAGTTTTTTTCCATCCGAAAACCGCCGATCGAGAACTGGCGAATTTGAGTCGCGCTCACTTTCTTCTCCATGGTCCCGTGCCGTTTTCTATGGTTTAGATGCAACCACCAAAAATAATAAAAGCCATGGGTCACTGAAGGCACACACTCAATACTAGAAATGTACAAAAAGTATGATACCCAGTTTTTGTGTCTATTAAAAAGCTGCAAATACGTTGATTGAACAAAAAAAAAAAATTGCACAGCCACGTGGCTTCCAGTACCTTTCTTTTTATCTATATTTCTTCTTCCTCCCCAATCCAGTTTTGGTTTCAGTTTCGAGCGGTTGCGTTTTTTTATTTTATTAAAAATATGCGTGAAACTGTAGCAAAATATAGATTGGGTAGTCTTCTGACACCATAATGAATTGCTTGCCAAAAAATAAAAAAAATAAAACATTTTTTGGGGGGTGTCAGTGTTTTGCATTTCGGAAGTTTTATTTCACAATTGAAATGGGCATCAGGCACGTCTTGGACACTGTTAACCAAGTTCTAGTTAGTACAGATGTTTTGGTGCCACATCAGTCAGTTAAACAGATATGATAATAATCGCATTAGGAACTGTGCAGGAGACCCCTTCCCCTCTTTCCTCAGATGGCGGCAGAAACGTGAGCTAAAGAACTGCGTGACGTCGAAGCATGACAACCATGGGCTCCCCGTCAGGCAGTTGGTTCAAACGAATGATGCGCTGTGACGCGCTTTGAGGTGGTGACTGAGGATTCATTGGCAAGTCTTAGGTGCCCTTGTAAAGCGCCAATCCAGAGTTTCGCGTCCTGAAAAGCATCTCCTGTTCCATGGGCGTGAGCTAGCTGAACGGGAGCAACTCATCTGCGAGCGTGGCGTTGTCGTCCATTTTCCCAGTTCACAGTCTGCCGTGCACAATTGCCAACCGCGGGAACTGTGCTGAGCGTCCACTAAATTTTACCAACAACGACAATACTCCTCGACGTCACGTGCGAATGCTTGTTTCGGTTTAGAAAATTTATTTGCAGGCAAAAAAATAAAAATCACAAAGCTCTAAAAATTTTTTTTTTTTTTTGAATGGCATTAAAAACATTTTTCTTTTAAAAAAAAATTTGAAATCTCCTTTATGGATTTTTTTAAGACATCATGGACAATAGGAAAACTTACTATGAACGACCAGTTCTGCTCGTGAACATAACAAAAACAACTTTGGGGTGGCCCAAGCAATATACAGCAATGAACCGCTATTTCACCAACAACTGTTTGTCATCAGTTTGTGATGCTCAAGCTTACAGTGTTTGTTGAATGGTTGTTTAGTGAGGCTAGGCTGTTAGACAAACACTTCAGCAAATTTGGAGTTTTTGTTTACTGACCATAAAAATATATATAGTAGTAGACGTGACTCGGGGTCTGCTGACACAATACTATTTCACTGCATCACCGCAGGCGTTTGCCACGGAACCTGTGGCAACACAGCAGCGGTGGGTGGTGCAGACATTGCTTTGCAAAGAAGAAAGATGGAGATGCTCTGAGTGGAATGCTGTCAAGACTGTGAACATTATCCCATGTTTTCGTTCTGATGGTCAGCTCTCCGGAAAATACAGACCAGGGGGTTAAAGTTGACTGAGAAACGTAGCTAACCCCAGACACTATCTAGAGCATTAAATTTGAAGGCAATAGTATTATTCACATCTCCTTGGATAAGTGGGATGAAAGAGTGCAAGAGCTTAGAGGGAGACTGTCTGATATTTGATAATCTCGTTTGCTCTCATGCTTGTTTCCACCTCGGGAATCATAGTAAAAAAAGCTTGGTTTCTCACGGAGTGCTACTATCTACGTATTTTATGTGGTGATTGAAGTACTTGTATGGACATTCAAGATGAGTTACTTGATTTTTTATCAAGTAACTAAAAGGCTATGCTTTTTACATTTTAAATGTAAAGAAGCATAGCTTTTTTCTTCTGACAAGCGAACTTTGTAAAAACTTCTTTACGTCTAAGCTTGTAGCTTCCAAACACGCACAGCTGGATCAGCTATGGGCACTTGGACGAGACGGGCTCATGCAGCATGCAGCTTATTAGAATTGTATTTCAGCTCTTAATTCTGGCATGGAGACTGTCAAGGCAGAAGACTGCATCGAGGTCGAGAAGTTCAAGGACAAGGTGGCTGGCATCAGGGATGTCCTCTCTCGTGATCACATGAAGGTGGTGTTCTTTGGAAGGTGAGTTGTTTGTTCATCAGAAGCGTCTGTTTTCCTCGTTTTCACTTTGCATCTTGACGCCCCTACGAATGTTGGCTGCCTCTCCGCCAGGACGAGCAACGGGAAGAGCACGGTCATCAACTCTATGCTTCAAGAGAGGATTCTGCCAAGCGGACTGGGCCACACCACCAACTGCTTCCTTCAGGTCGAAGGCTCCGACAATTCTGAAGCGTATCTTCTCACCGAGGACTCGAACGAGCCCAAGAATGTAGAGGTAAGTTTTGTGGACCCCAGGACCGGCAGCATAGCCAGGAGGGGGTTTGTGGGGCTGAAGTGACAGCACCTAAAATAAAATCAAGGACTGCGAACGCCCTCCTTCTCTGTGAGCCGTCATCACAGTCAAATGGTGCCAACTCAGCAGTAGGACCCGAGCATGATGCCGAGCGTTCTTCGACGCATTGATTGGATACGAGGACCCAGCCAAATACTGACGCAGCACTTGTGTCCAATCTGTGTCTTACCCTCGATCTCACTGTGATTGCATCAAAATTATAGTGCCTAGGCTCTCATTATTCTAGGTGGTGTTGACTAGAACCCCCTTCTTAGCCCCCTCTCAAAAAAAAATATTCCTGGTTAAGTCACTTCTCAGGACATTTCTTCTTTCCGAATTTGGCGGGCTTGTTTTGCCAAAAGTTGCTCAGTTGCGTCTTCTTATTGCAGTCTGTACTTCAACTGGCGAATGCACTGAATTCTGAATCGTTAGGGGAAAGCACATTGGTCCGAATATTCTGGCCCAAAGACAGGTGCAATCTTCTGAGGGACGATGTTGTTCTGGTCGACAGGTAAGTGCAGTGGAGCTCAGGTTATCGCCCACTTTTGCCAAGACATTTTGCTGTGCAGTCGAGCTTACTCTTGTAGCTGTGTCGCATTTACTGCTGTCTGAGTAGAAGTATCTTTTTCTTGGTTGCATGCCAGCCATAGGCTGGGGATTCATTTGTTATAAATCAGCTATAGGCTAATAGTCTTCAAAAGTTAAGCTAAAGCTCCAATTGTGATATTGTGTCGGTCTTGAGCTATGACATTGCCTACTATGAATACACCATTTGCTAGACCCCCCAAGCGCCCCAGCCCGCACTGGGGGGGTCATGGGAAAGGTGTTCCTTCAGCTCCCTAGTGATCGGTAATTTCGAGCAATTACGTGGTTACACAGTTTTGAGTGTAATTCGAAGTCACCCTGAACAAGCGTCGTATAGAACCCAAGGACCTGTCGTATCACTTTTAAAATTTCTCGTCAATGTCATCATTTTCACTTCTGTACATGCAGTCCAACCTTCAACCTGGCTGAGCTTCAGACGTCTCTTATACACTATTGTTATTCTCGTACAGCTTCAAAGACGCTGATATTAAGTTAGAAACGCTAAAAAAGCTATAAACAGCCCCGCCGACTTCGAGTTAAATCCTGGTTTTGGTTGTTGTGATTTCTCGGCTTTTTAAGCAATTCCAGCTAAAACAACAATCATGAGAATGATAATATTTAAAGAGATTTTTGCAGCCAGCCAGGTTGAAAGGTGGATCGCATGTAAAGTATCATTAATGCTGACATTGATGAGAAATTTTAAAAGTGATATGAACAAGCTCTATATGACACTTGTTCAGGGTGACTTCAAATTACACTCAAAACTGTGTAATCATGGAATTGGTCGAAATTGCCGATCACTAGGGAGCTGAAGGAACACTGTTCCCATGATTCCTCGAGTGCGGGCTGAAGCACTTGGGGGATTTAGCAAATGGTCTATTATTGCACAAGGTTCTTAGAAAAAGATGCCAGAAAAAATTATTTATTAAGAAAACTGAATCTTTTAGAGAGTTTTACCACTCAACTGTCGGCAAGGTTGTGGCAATATTTAAAGGATTAACAGAACGCCATGCTCTTTTAACCCATTCAGCCCAGGCATTGATGTGTCGCCAAATCTCGACCTTTGGATTGACAAGCATTGCCTCGATGCAGACGTTTTTGTGTTGGTGGCCAATGCAGAGTCTACACTAATGGTGACGGTGAGTGCATTATGGACTTCACCCTGTGAACCTCTACTGGTTCTTCCTTTTTTTTTAATCATATATAAGAGAATGTGAGTCTTCAAAAGTATGCAATTGCTGCCATGCCTTCTTGCAGGAGAAAAACTTTTTCCACAAAGTGAGCGAACGCCTTTCAAAGCCAAACATATTCATCCTCAACAACCGGTGGGATGCATCGGCATCAGAGCCTGAGATCATTGAGAAAGTGAGTTTTATAGGTATTATTGTTCCCTGTTTATAAATTCTAATATTTTTGTCTGTTTAGCTTTATGTTTTAGATGTACAGATTTTGCACCATTAGAGTTGTTTGTGAAGGTGGCAAATTTCAATGTGTCACTTGCAGATTGTGACTTGTTGGGTGCCTATGCATGACTCCTAATATCTGCATTTGTAAAATAAAAATGTTGAAGTAAAGAAGCCAAGAGAAGGTCAGCAACGTGAGAGTCCAATGAAGTTCAGGCACTCTATTACCAATAGCGACGATTTCTGAGAATCGTCATTCTTGAGAAGACCGACTTGCAGATTTTCAATTTGATGTGGAAGGGATTGACTTGAGGCAAACAAACATTGAGGTGCTCTAGCAAATGCTAAAGAAGCCTTGATTTCTATTTGTCTTAGTTAGACATTTTTGAGGCCAATGTGAGGCCATTAAATGGTCATTCTCTGTGGTAAGAGGGAAACTTCATTTGGCTCTCATAACATAAATAACATTGCATTGTTTCCGAAACTTTTCGGCATAATTTCCATTGCTTACAAAGATTGCGTTAGCCAATAATAATGACATTTGAGTTTGACTTATACTTGGTCCTGGATAGGCTACAATATCAAAAAGTGCACTGCCCCCCTCCCCCTCCCCCAAGAAAAAAAAAAAACAAAAATTTGTTATTGCAGTACTTATTGTGCTAGTCATTTTTAGTTTAAGTGATAGTGAAATGGGAACCAAAAGTGGCCCCAATTTCAAAGTCCATGTAACAGTGACATCATAATGGGAGCCATTAGGCATCGAAGAGAAAAAGCGCATAGAGATGTGCACCCACTTGTGTGTGCCGCTGCATACCTTCCATCACATGCTGTAAAAAGGTGGGGAAAGAGTTGAGAACAAGACCATTTGAATGGCTCTGTCACCAATGCGAGTCGCAGCGTAAACTTAGTGTTAAGTTTTTTTCCTGCGGGAGAAATCAATTTTTATTATGTGCGTAGGCAGTTTACAAAAAGTTGTTTGGTAGTGCATATTTTTTTTATATAACATTAACGCAACAATCTTATTGGATTTCTGTTTTATTTTGTTTGGCTTTTATTATACTTATGTTTACATTTTGACCAGGGTGTGCACATGTAATGAAAGCAGTTAAGATCCCCCTCAGCCCTTACCAAATCTACCTAACCCCCTGCTCGGCATCTGAACGGGCTAGTTGAAGCTCAAGCATTGTGTCAAGGATACCTCTTACCGCCCAGGACTTACTTGCCTCGTTGTACTACCTCCAAACTCTCAGGTTCGCAAGCAGCACCTCGAGCGCAACGTGGCCTTTCTGGTGGACGAACTGCGCGTGGCCACTCGGCAGCAGGCCGAAGACAGGGTGTTCTTTGTGTCGGCCCGAGAGGTGCTCAATGCCCGTCTGAGGAAGCAGCAGGGTCTGCCCCAGCACTGTGCGTACCCCGACTACCAGCTTCCATGTGACCTTGCTAGTACTACTATGGTGCCTGGAATGCGCTTTCATTGGTCTGTTTAGCGTCTTATTTTGCCCACATATTGAAAGCATTGAAAGTGCGATGTCACGGCCACGTATCGAAAGCAGTCCCGAAACGACAGCGTACGATGTCATGGGAGCCGTCACGATCCTGGTGATTGGTCGTAAAAGTCATGTAAAAAAAAAGAGGAGCGAATACTTTTGTCGCCGTCGTTGCAACGTCCTTACTCATCGCTGCAAAAGCTTTCGTGAACCGTTGAGCTGAGAGCGAGCTACAGCTGGATGGGCTTCTGTCACGTCCAGCTCCTCTGCCGTGCCGCTGCCAGGGTTGCCGCGACACTTTTTGTGACGTCGTCGGGCGAAGATTGAGGGGCCACACCTTAGGATGCAGTGAGCGCACCAGGATCGATTTGCTGGCGGATGTGGGTATCTCTTCTAGCAGCTAAAATCGCCGCAAAGGGAATTTTTTGTTCGTACGACCAGGTTCGTAGGGAAAAGGCATGCTTATAATAAAAAAAAGAAATGTGCGTCAACTGTTCAAAGTTAGCGTAGCTTCCACAATGCTGCAGCTTGGCACTGCTGCGAGAGCACGTGGCTTTGTCCTGTGTTTCATTCGCATGCCCCCTCGCACGAAAGAAGCAGTAAGCAAAGCCACATGCTCACGCAAGTAACTATGACACCATTGGCGTGCCGTGGGAGCTGCGCCGGCCTCGACCTCGCAGCACAAAATAGTTCACGCTGAGACGGGCAAATGGTTGACGTAAGTTTCTCGTTCTCGCTTTGGTGATTCGAGTCTGCGTTTGTGCACAGAAAGAGCGTGAAGAGGCTTCAATTGTAAGGGAAATAAACTGCATTTGTGTACTTTAGGGAGCGACACGTAAGGTTACTTCTTGGGAAGGTCGTGTTAAGTGAGAATAGAAGAAAACAACAGGCGAGCCTTAAGTCTACTGAGCGGAATCGGCTAAGTACTTCCTGCCCTCTGAGCTGATCAAATGGCCAGAAAATCCCTCTTTTGACTATTTTAGCCATTGGGAGCGATAGCCACAATTATTAGCAAACTGCCCCTGTAGCAGATGCGCTCCTGGCACCATAGTACTACATACCGCAAAGCGTCAGTGACTCAATCTTGATTAGGGTGGTCAGAGACCTCAGTGTTTTGTATTGCTGTTTTAGTTTGCATGCTTTGCTACACTTGGCATAAATTTTTTGGTGCAATGTTTTCAGAGCTAGCATAGTTGGTACACTGATGCTTTGTTTTGTGTCTCATCTGTGTGCACCCTCATGTGAAGGAGACACTAAACAAAGCCAGGTGTTCATGCATGTAGCTTTGACAGTGCCGGAGCATTGCAAAAACCACGCTAGTTTTGACAAGGAAACACAAAAAGATTTATGCATAGTAAAGGATACTTATGTTCCTTGGGGTTGCTGCATGCAGGAAACTCCACTCCAGTTCTTGTTGATGTTAGCCGTTGCCTACTGGTTGCTTCCATGTGCAACTGAGCATGCACAGTTTACTACATTGAAAGAAATTAGAGAACATTAGCATTATTTACAAAGCAAGTACCCGTTGCATTGCAGGTTTATTGCAACAGTATAAATAAGTTGTGCTGCTTTGCAGTTTCACTGAGCGTTTACTAAGAATTTCGCGAAATGAGCAATATTTTGAAAAATATATTGTGCAAATAAATTACCTCAGAGAAGTGAACGGAGTGTTTATGGGCCCATTTATTCCCGATTATGAAATGTTCCTCTTGTGCGATATAACTCAAAAAGCATCACTTCGCGAAATTTGGTCATACACTATTCCTGCATATAAAAAGTTGTTTCAGTAATTAAAACCTATTACTATACTCACATTTTTAGCCTTCAGGTCTGAATTTACTAAACAATTTCTTTTCAACCAAAAATAATGCTGCAAATGTGGCTCATAAGTAAAGTTTAGTAATTCTTTTAGCACATACTGATAAACCCTGGAAAATAACCCTCGTGGCAGTTTTATCAAAATAAAAAAGAAAAAAAAACAAAACAAAAAACTTTGAATTGAAGTTTTTTTTGCATACCGTAAAATCCCGTACGAATGCCTTCCCTCAAGAGATAGTTCATATCGTTTTCCTGACTAAATATTCTTAACATAAAAATTGCGGAACATCGCCCAACCCCCGGATTTTTGTCGGACATAACGTGACATACGACAAGAATCCCATCAAATGCACAGTCTGCGGTACCGCTACGTGTGACGAGCGAGTTTGTAGTGGGTTCCTATGTTTTTGTTCGCGATCTGTGTGCATGATATCAATTCCGTGACGCACGAGTTTCCACGTTTTTTGTCCGCGTCCGTGCGTGCGATGTCAGTTTCCATGGCACGCAAGTCTGTAGAGGGTTTCTGTGTGTCCGTCGTGTCGTGACAGGAATTGGTAGCAAGTTTCCGCGTCTTTATTGCAATGGGAGTCTGCGACCTGCGTCCCTGGTTTCCAAGTCACACGGTTTTGAACAGGTGCCTTGGTCTTTTATTATTAATTTTTTAGAAAGTTTTTACCCTCTCATGCCCAAAGATAGTCCACCTCGTGTTTTTCACCGGTTATCTTTCCATTTTTGGTGGGCGTTCTTACAGGATTTTGGAGTAAGAGAAACCCTAACTTCTTGGAAAGAAATCTTTACCTATGACTTTATTTTGGTGTTAATCCAGAATACAACCCCCATTAAGTTCACAAGGCTGATGCTTTCTTCAGGAACAACGCCACTTATCTCATTTCCTTACTGGTACTGGGATATTTTCCGAGTATGTGCCTGTTTTTTTTTTACACGAGCCCCGATAAATACTAATTTATTGTCCGAGACTAAAAGTTGGCACCGCAGAATCACCAAAACTGTGTGAAAAAATAAACCTCTAAAAACGCCCTCGAATTAAAAAGAAAATATCAACCCCAAACACATGGAACCCTACTCATAAGCTGTCTGTTCTGGGGCTCTTTGCAGCTGGCGTAGGGCTTGCAGAAGGCTACCAAGGAAGGTACTTTGAGTTTCAGGACTTCGAGCGGAAATTTGAGGTATCTTGTCATTTTGGCCCTTTCTTTCTGTCTCTCACGAGCTCTAGTTTGCTTTGCAAGACGAATTATTGCTACATGTTGTCTTTGCTTGCCAATGTTCCAGGAGTGCCTCTCCAAGTCTGCAGTTAAGACAAAGTTTGAGCAGCACACACAGAGGGGAAAGAAAATCACCAACGAACTAAGAGCTATCATGGACAAGGTCTATGAACAGGCTGCTATGTTAAAGTGAGTGCCTGCAGATTGTTGCCATACTGTGCATGTGTTAGAAGAAGTACTTACACAGTCACTGAGCAGGTATCAGTGTTATTTTGTTAAGTAGTAATGTGCACCATTGGCTGTTCAGGGCAGCAGCGTTTTAATGCTAGATCTTTCACAAAATTAACCTATGAATGGAGTAAGCGAGTCCAAAAGTGCAGCTGGGGAAGTCATCCAAGGCAGGGTAAGGTATTTTATATAACTGTCTGTACATTACATAGCCAGTATTTGGTTGTAGTTACTGTAAACTAAGCAAGTTTATTTTTGCGAGGCCCCAAGATGTCCCGTAAAGATGTCCCGTAAACATGTTTTCCCACGGTAATTAATATGTAACGTACCACCCTGATTCAGGAAATTTCGTATACGTAAATTTGTATTGAAAATCACACGAATTTGTGAAATATTGAGCCTGCAAATATAAAGTCGTTTAGAGTAGTTTATCTTTCTCATTTACTGCCAGACTAACTCTTAGCAAATATTGTAAGTGATGAGGAACCAATATACACTCGACTTATGTTAATTCGACCATGGTTAAATTTACTTATCGTTTAATTCTACCCTGTTCGAAGGTCCTAACATAAGTCCATACATTTCTATAGAAAAATAAACCTGTTATTTCGATCTTGAAATATAAAATATTAGTTAATTCAACCTAGAGAGCACGGGCATTAGGCAAATTACAATCGCTATTGGCCGTACGTGACACACAAAAAACAGGCCTTTTTTTCTGAATTACGCGGTGGGCAAGTTACAAGCGCGATTGGCCGCGCCGGCGAAGAAAAACGTTTTAAAACTTTGAAGCGCACACTGAATTTCGAGGAGAGAAAAAATAGCATATGTTGAGACACTGAACACGGCCGGGTCTCAACACAAAACAAGCGCTCCACGGCGGTGCAGCGCTGGCCGCCGGTCACCGCTGCCATTGCCGCAACGAATGCACAAAGGACATACACGCCTGCTGCCACCGCCATGCGGTGGTGTGCGGGGGCTCAGTATAAAAATGGTAACCTACCTCATCTAAAGCGCTGGATATTCAGAAGTTTGCACGCATCTTTTAATTTGACTTTCAGATAATTCAACCCAATTTCGCATGTCCCGTCAAGGCCGAATTAACGGAAGTCGACTGTAGTACCGTATTTTCCAGGCTATAGTCCGCACCTGGTGTATAGTTTGCAAAAGCAAATTTTGGGTCAAAAATAAAAGATTTTGCTTAGATGGTACGCACTTGGTGCTTAGTCGACACAAAAATCTTCTCATCTCTTCTCATACACGGCAGACCTTGACAACTGTCTGCTTTCTTAGCTCACAAAGAAGCTTGTATTATACATAAATCATCCTTAACATACTCTATCACTCACATATCCATCACGTCTCGTCATAATGAACGACCTTGAAAAACTAAATTTATGCATAGTCCCCACACCCAAAAGTTTAAACTTCTAAACATTGTGGGATTTTGCTACCAACACAGGTACCGATAGAGTAACCAAAGGGTTGTCTCAACAGCGGCGATATCCCAAAGGAGACGTCAAACCTAGTAGCGCGCAGTCCCCACATCTCCGCGGTAATATAGACGACTTTTAGGGCTACATCACCGCGGGTCACTTCGATTAATTACCTCCTTCGGTGCCAATAATCGTCTACCTTGTCTCACTCTCTCGAATCTAGCGGAAGAGAAGACACACGTACCAGAGTAAGGACAGAGTCCAAGAGCATTTATTAGAATACTCTTAAAATGAACTATATGTCCCCATCCAAAATGCCCCCGCGCCGGCAAGGCAAGAAAAGGTCCTTACCTGGCCAGACGCGGGGTTCCGGAGAGCCAAGACCGGGGAAGCACGGGAGAAGTCGCCGACACACGTCCTATCTCTTTCGCGGTCACCCGAATGAGTCCCTGTCCCGAAGCGGGAAAACAAGAGGCGAAACCTCCTCGCCTGTCGGCAGTGATTCGCAACCGAGCGGGGGGACGGAAAAAGGCCCCCCCGGGAAAGAGTGAGAGGAGGGCCGCCCAAGCCAGGCGGCCCTCTGCCTCACGAACAGGTCGGAGCTCACGGCGAAGGAGCCGAGTGTTCCGACCCGCGGCCGTTATCACAGCCGTCGGGGAAGGGAGACCAGAGGAATCCCCACAACATGTACATATAGTCCACAGACTATAGCCCGGAAAATATGGTAGATTACTAGACTTTTCAATTTGTAAAGGTTATGCGATTCAGAAATATGTATTCTTTCTTCATATTCAAACATTGTATATTGCATAAGCTAAGTGAATCAAGCCCATTTCGGATTGATATGCGAACATGAATGTCATAAGGCACATTGATATAATTTACCCGAAAGATGCAGCTGATGATGCATTTCTAGTTGGAAAATATTCAAGATCTCACTGCTATCACAACTTCCAGCGAAGAGGTTGATTTGGGCCCTTAATATAACATAATAAATAATAAAACAGGAATATAAACACCACAAACACAATTCTGAACATAAAATATTTTGTTGGACACAACGCTAGCCACTGAAACTTAAAGACTGTCAAAATCCCGTCCTGTTTAAAAAAAATATATAAATAAATTGCTTACGCTATGCAAAGTCTTCCTGACAGCATACGTGGTTCTGCAAACGTTTTCAGGACATCCCAACATTCTGTGGACGTCCCGTGGACATGCATAAAACATCTGTGCCGCTGTAGTGCCTGGATTGCGCCTTCGACTCGTCTGTTTACCGCATCCTCACTTACGGTTCCCCAATGTCCGCCTGATGACATTGCAGAAGTGTCGTGCTGTTGCCTGCTGTGATAGTGGGGCTTGCACAGCAGCAGAGGAGGAGACGGCAGACGTCTGTTCTGCTCTAGATTGCAGTCAGCAGAAACTTCGGCAGCCACGAGTTGGGACGCCACGACGACAGCGACACTTCATACTTTTTGCCGAATGCCGCAACATCTGACAGCATGGCATGTTGGGTCCTGCGACGTAATTTGTTGCCAGTTCGGGACCACTTTCGATGCAGGTGCAGTATACGGCAATATCATGGGACGTAACATGCGACTTGAGATTTTGCCAGACACCATGTTGAGGAACTTTTGCCCCATTTCTTTCTATGTGCACAGGCGGTGTTTTTCAGATCGTTCAAGTTTTATTTTGTTGTGATCAACTGCACCAGCTAGAGTAGTCGGGAACATAAAGGATTTTTGACTGGCACTTTATTTTTTTTTGTTCCGGTCTTTATTCAAATTTAAGACGAGTTGGCGATCGAGAAGTCGACGCGTCGGCAACCCAAATGGCCCCAGTAGATGCTACCAGGGCCACTCTGAAAGAAAAAGAAAAAGCCTAAGCGTATGTTCATGAGGCCCAACTACATCCCCGGTCGAACTTATTGAGTTCTGTCGTGGACAGAGCTACTCTTTATGCTTCTGAATTTAACCAAAACCGAAAACGACATGAATAACTATAATCGTCTGCTTGCAAACAAACGGGGAAAATGGCAGACGCTGTTTACTAACACATTGGAACGCAGTATACCGGAAGTGAAAAGGCATTTTGTGAAGCCATCCATTGGATGCTGAACACACCAGTCAAAAGCACAATCCAGGCATCGTAGGGCTGTCCTTAAAATTCTAGGGGAAGTTCGACTCTTCATTTGCATTATCTGTTGACGGACCATGTCGTCGTGTGACGCAGGGCGAGCAAGCAAGAGCATCGCCGGGAACAGTGGGACCGCCTTCAGTTCACGCAGCAGCAGCTGGAGCTTCTGACAGAGGAGGTGAAGCAGCGCATCAGCCAGCTGGTGGAGCAGGTGGAGCAGCAGGTGGCCGGAGCGCTGAACGAGGAGATCCGCCGGCTGGAGCTACTTGTGAACGAGTTTGAGCGGCCCTTCCACCCGGACAGCCTCGTGCTCAGTGTCTACAAGAGGGTATGGGCTTGCTCGGTCGCACCTCTACGCTTAGCGTCATCTTTTTTTTATATGGAAATAGCTGTTAGAGGGATTTTTCAGCTGCATTTAAAAACAGTCAATGATTAGAAGTACCTTGGTGTTACACTCTAACCTGACCTGGAATTCGCATATTATTGCAGTAGTTAAAAAAGCATATAAAAAAATTGTAGATTCTACATTCTACAGCACCCCGGTGACTAAATTAGGAGCATACGAAACTTTAATTTGTCCCATCCAGGAGTGTGCAGACACAGTATGAGATCGATGATCCCAAACATGCATCAAGGGGACATTCGTCAGGGGAAAATTTTTTTTCTTTTATTTATACTTGTGATAACTGAATCAAGCTTTCAAAGTTTATAATGCTTGATCTCGTTTTCGTAAAATCTGATTTTAGTTTTGGTATGCTTGTCTTTCATGTTCTGGATGCAATGTACGTGCAAAAAGACATGTTCTTTCAGGCACATGTTTTATGGCAACACACTTAAAAGAGCCTACCGTAATATCCCAAGTCATCGCCCACCCCCCTGCCACCTGAAATTCATAAAAAGAGTGGGGCGGGCCATGTCTCGGCGGGTAAGCAAAAAATGTTTAAAAGTAGCTAAAAAAAGCAAAAAAAATGCCAATATTTTTGTACATATTTAGCGCAGCTGCACAAGAGATACATTAAACTCAAAACTTGAATTAGTTTCATTCTTGTATGCAAGAAATGCTCACAGAGGAATGTTTTATCATCGCAAAGTCTGTTGCTTGCATATGCACAATGAGTTCTGCCAATCGGCATACAGCGTGAAAGTTTGTTCCATAAAAGCACATTACTAACATCGCTATGTTATCTTTGTTAGAAGAAAAAAAAAAGTCAACAAGAAAATAGACAAAACCAACCAAGTGCAACGAGCGGGGGAGCAAGCAGGCGAGAGAAGTGACTAAGACCAATGCTGGGGAAGCGGGAAAACCGGCGATCGCGTCGGCAAATATTTTGACGTCGGGCCATGTTGGGCGCCTTGTCAATCACAAGGAGCAGGCTCTTGTGCGAGTTTCTTGTTTGGTGCATACATGCATGCACCCGTACGCGGCATTCTATCAACGTGGGTTGGGGCGGCATTGCTGCGTGGTGTGGATGGCACCACGAACACGGAGCTCGAAATAGGACACTTTACAGACGTCTGTGTGTGGCGTTCCAGTAAATCTTTATGTACCCATTGGCTTTGTCTCAAACATTGCACAACCTTACCAACCATGGTCGCGACGTTCCAAGAGAAGGAGCGGGTTTGCGGGGACTTTATTTCGGTGTAGACGGACTTTGACTTACATCTTTGTCATTATACTTTGCTGTTACATTCCAGAATATGGGGCGCTGACCTCGCAATCCCTGAATAGGTTACTGCTTGCGTTATCTTTCTTCTTTTTATTTTTGCCTGAACAAATTTTATTGTAAGGGAAACAAAGTATCATTTTGTTATCATCAATGTTGTCCCTTTGCACGCATGTACTCAGACTTCAGGGTCGTGGAAATCAGTGAGGAAATGCGTAAACAAAGTGAAGTGTCTTTCCCTTCTTCGTTTTACTTTGTCACGGATGTCCTCCAACCGTAAGGTACATGGCCTTGTCATTCGAGTAGGATGAATGTTGCATTCTTTATGGGACGTGCGATGTGCGCGTTTCTCGTCTGCCTCACACAACCGGAAAAAAGAGGTGGTCGGGTGCAGCAACGTGATTTCCGGCAACTCCTTTTGTACATTTCTTCGTCCTCCCCAGTCAGGTTTCGGTTTTGAGCAGTTGCATTTTTTTTAACTTTATTTAAAATATATGTGACGCTGTAGCAAAATATTGATTGGGTAGTCTTCTGACACCATATTAATTCACCATGCAAAAAATTTAAAAAATTTTTTTAGGGGGGTGTTGATGATTTTTTTTAAAGAGATACTACAATTAAATTTTGGCACGTATTTCTTAGTCTATTCGTGTTCAAGAGCAGTATCACATCAGACACACCAATGTCCTGTTGAAAAAGACATGGAAAAGAATTTTAAAACAAATTAAACAATTAGCAACGAGCACCTGGTGGATGTCGCTAACGCCTTGTTTGTAATGCCCATCTAGGAACCTTGACAGGTAGTGACATATAAATGTCTCGCCTTCGGCCACCTCAAGAGAAGAGGAAAAGGGGGAACTCCCCTTTCCCCGAGACTCTCTTTTGTGTGTTCCAGACGTCGCTATTCTCTACAAGATTATAGAAAATTAACCCGTCACTCGAAATTCATACAAAAACAGCTTTGGGGTTAGTTGCAGTGGCTCGTTTGCTGGCGTGCTTTGGCCGCTTCGGTGGCTGGAACGGCTAGGACATCCTCTCAATGTCAGCCTCGCCGCAGCTTTGCTCGTCTCGAGACAATCTACGTCACGATTGCGGCAGATGTCACGTGCTCTCCGCTGGCTACTCTCCGAGCGCTTCCCAGAGTGGGCCATATATAACGAAAAATACAGCCATCAGGCTCAAAATACAAACATGCGATTATCAGCTATGAATATTGTGGATCATATTCAACCTATTTGTGAACACGACGGGTATATATCTCAAATTTCGTTGAAATATCCCTTTAAGAACAAAAATTCTTGAGTGCAAATTGTAAAGATGCTTCAAAATTGCAAAAAAAAAAGTGTATATTACTATAGATATGTAGCAAAATAACAAAAAATTATTTTTTTTCTCCACAAAGAAGGCACTCCTTTGCAACAACAAAAAAAAAAAAAAATATATATATATATATATATATTTTTTTTTTTTTTTTATGGTGAAAAATTTAGGCTACAAAAGACTGCAATGGCGAGGTGATGGCTAGGCCTACTCTTCTCAAAATAATTGTGATGACGGGCGACGTCACGATTTAAAGAACCGCTCACTTGAACCTGGCTCGTATGTGTTTCTGGGTCGCCAGGAGGTCTTCGAATGCAAATTTGGCTTATTTCGTGACCAGGTTCGGTCCTTATATTTTTATACATACATAAAAAGGAAGATTTAAGGATAATAAAGCACTGAAACTCAAAATCACACTTTTCGCAAAATATTGTTTTTTTGCTTGCTTGTCTTGCATTAGAAAACAATTATTAAACAAAGTGCTGCAATTTATTGATAACCGATATGAAAGGAGCTCTTCTATAACAGAGCTTTATCGACTATCTAGTCTGCCGCACTTGGCTGCACAAGGAGACATAAGGAGACTAAGTTACACCACCGGTTTACACACGGCAGAAACAAAATACAAAGTGTTATGCTACTAGTACCTTGGCCAACCACAATTTATTGGGTTTTTTTTTTTGTTTTTTTACAGGAGCTGCATGGCTACGTTGAAAGGGGACTTGGCAGCAACCTCCGTGCACGTCTCTCGAGCACGCTGCAGATGTCTGTCGAGAGCTCTCAGAAGGAAATGATTGGTAATATTTCATCTCATTCCTTCATTTTTTACACGAGGTTGGAGGACATCGCGGTGTCCGACATACCCCAACATCCGACTGTGTGGGTTTGTGTGTGGTACCTTTCTTAAGTTAGTCTTGGGCAGGGACGTTGACTCATATGTGCAGTGTGTTCCCTTTCCCACATACTTTAGTGACCACAAGGCTGTGCTGTGCATGATCGAGTGGATATGCATAAAAGTGGATGTAACTCTATTCACAGACAGCTTTAGAAATTCTGGGCGTGGCTTATTGGGTTCACACTGATTGCTTCGTTCTTTGGCATCCTTATAGGCTAATGCTGCAATCCCCTTTGGCTTCAGAATGACAGAGAGATGCCCTAGACACCCTGCATTTTTCAGTGTCGGTTACTATGCACGCGATAACGCTGTCGCATCTTTTTCTATTTTCTTGGCACGGTGCAGGCCGAATGGCGCCGCTGATCCCCCAGGAGCAGCACCCGCAGATGCAGAACGTCCTGCCGCGCCACAACTTTGAGGTGCTGTACCGGCTGAACTGTGAGAGTCTGTGCTGTGACTTCCAGGAGGACCTGGAGTTCCGCTTCTCCCTGGGGCTCGTGAACCTCATGAAGCGCTTCATGGGGCCCCGGGGCGCACACGCCGCCATGGGAGGCAGCTACTCCCCCATGGTGCGTCCGGGGAAAGGGCCAAGCATTGCCGCGAGGCTGGGTTATGGGCGGCCGTACGCAAACATTCTTCAGTTATTGAAAAGGACACTGTCTTCTTCTCTCCTTGTGTGTCTACATTAGGACCTTGGCCTACATTTGGGTAAATTCTAATGTGGAAGGCTGTGAGTAAAACTTGAGTGTAGAGTGGTATATACCGTAAAATACCGAGCATGCGCCCATGTCACATTAAGGGCCCACCCCTATTTTTGAACGATTTCAAAAACAAACAGAGGAAACATCAACCGCCCACCCCCCATTTTCGGCAGATTTCAAAAAATATGCGAAGGACATGGCAAGCGCCCAGTCGCCGCGGACGGCTGTTATCTCCTGAAGTTGAAGTGACCAGCACTAGTTATGAGTTACGACAGCGTGGGTGAAGGGGGCGAAAGGCGCCGCGGGAATCGGGTGAAGGGCTCCGACGCAACACAGCAACATCCTGGTGCCGCGGGAATCAAGATCAAATGGCAGAAATAACAAAAGATACAGGCGAGCTGGTGTACAAAGGAAGAGAGGCTAGGGCACGGTGGCAAGAGTGAAGCTGTGAAGATACACTACGTTGGAAAGGAGGATCTAGCGAATGGAAAGCTGCACAGAGCTTAGCGCGTGTGCCGTGTGCCTCTGCCCCTCTGCTTCCGCTTGTTCGGTGGTTCGGTTAGTTCCGTGTTCATTGCGCTGCATTGCTTGCGTTCGCTCAATTCGCTTGTTTGGACGATGCACTCGTATACAGTCGCTAGGCAAGTCGAAGTTGTTGAATGGCATAGGCGCCACGGAAAGAATGTAAGCCGGACATCGCGTGAATTCAAGATTGACCGTAAAAGAGTGCGCGAGTGGGACTCAAAATACGAACTGCTCCTGCAACAGAACCATTGAAGATCACGGCTGAAACGCAAGCTGAGTGACGGGGCGCCAGTCTTCAGTGAAGAGGTTGATGATGCCTTATCATCAAATGGCCGCCATTTTGAATTCGGTGGTTGGGCCGAGCAAGGGCCCACCCGACTATGCTATTTTTCTGCGTTTTTGCTCTCGGACCTAACAAGCGCCCATCCCCAAGTTTTCCGCGACTATCCCATAATTTTGAGTGGGCGCTTGCTCGGTATTTTACGGTATTTAAAGTGCAGTGTGGCTCATATATGAACGGTTTTCGAATGTCTGGACCCAGGTGAAAATTATACATAGAATCAAACGCAAGCATCCAAGCTGAATGAGATTGAGAACGGCTACATATAAATTTAGAAACTAATGGTCTGAAATGGACATCAGTTTGGTTTGTTTTAAGTAGTGCATGCATCCTTAGGAAACAAAAAGTATATCACGTAACATACAAAAATAGATGTATGCGACACAACACTCTTAGTGCTAACACAATGTTGGCACTTTTTTGCGCTTAACTCGATCCGAATATTGAGGGTCAGCAAAATTTGCTGCTTAAGTTACTGCCCTCAATGGAGACTTTCCACCACACTACTGGTTTTTATGGCCTTTCTATATTAGGAAAAAAACAGGATGTATTAACGATCATTTGTTTGGGCTAACAGTGTTGTGCAGCACCTAACACAATGAAGTAGTAATTCCTCTTTTCCAACCTTGTTTGTGCACTCTTTAGCAATGTAAGCTAGCTGTTAGGAACAAGTGTAAGGCTGATTAAGGCAAGAAATATTTTTGTGATCACTGAAAAATTGCTTATGTCGCTGACAGGGTTCTCTTCAGGAATTTTTAGGGGTGGACATAACCACCTTGCGAGTTGTTGGAGGGGGGGTTCGTTAGAAATGCTGCGCGACCTGGCTTGCCGACAGAATGCACTTTGCGTAGGCTCCCTAACTTTGCGGCTTTGTGAGTGGCACCACTCTGCGGTAATAAAACCAAAATACCGTATTTACTCGCACAATGAACGCACTCGCGTAATGAACGCACCCCCCAAGTCGGCTCACAAAAATTCGACTTTTTTTTTCACCCGCGTAATAAACGCACCCCCAACACCGACGTCAAAATTTTGACCCCCTCCCCCCACGCGCGCGAAATGAACGCACTTTTCTATCCTGGTGCAGCGAGGTCACGAATGAAAGGGCAGCATGGGCGAACAAAACGCCTTGCAAAGGCGTTAAAAAAAAATTCGAAAAGAGCCAACGGAAGCAAGAAAAAAGAAACATGAAGAGCTTTTTTTTTTTCTTTTTTTCTGCACAGCGCAGTGTGGACTTCGGGGTCGCGTGCCGCGCGCGAGGAGGTGAGAGAAGCGGAGAAGCCCTCTAAGCAAACGAAACAGCTTGCGAAAGGCGGCAAGAAGAAAAAAAAAAATAACCAGGAACTAAGAGAAAAAAAAAAAACAAAGAGCTTTTTTTTTTTTTTTTTTTTCTTCACAGCGCAGTCTGGATTTTGGAGTTGCGCGCCGCGCGCAAGGAGGTAAGAAAGAGAAGCGGAGAAGCCCTCTAAGCAAACGAAACAGCTTGCGAAAGACTGCAAAAAAAAAAAAAAAAAAGAGAAATTATGGAATTAAGAGAAAAAGAACAAAAACAAAGAGGAGCGTTTCCTTTTTTTTTTTTTTGCAGCGCAGTTTGGTTACGGAGGGGGGGGGGGGGGTCGTGCGTTGGGCGCCGCGCGCAAGGAGATAAGAAAGATGAGCGGGAAAGCCCTCGCCTAAGCAAACGAAACAGCTTGCGAAAAACAGGCGGCAAAAACAAAAAAACCCAAGGAGCTAAGAAAAAGAAAACAAGAGGAGCTTTTTCTTTTTTTGCACATCCCAGTTTGGTTACGGGACCCGCCCTGCGCGCAAAGAGATAAGAAGTTACGTCGATTTTTCATGATAAAAAAGTCCGTTCATTATGCGAGTAAATACGGACGAAAAAATTAAATTTTACTTCGCGTAATGAACGCCCCCCCTAACTTTGCATCGATTTTTCGGGAAAAAAAGTGCGTTCATTCTGCGAGTAAATACGGTACCTTTGAAAAAAAAAAAGTGGGGAAGGAAAGGCACGGCACAGTGAGTGAAGAGGCGAAGATAAAGCAAGCCACGGCGCGAGCAAACATTGAGCAGTAAAAGGAAAGTTCTCTCGGCTTTCTACTCTCTGCCACTCATTGCATGCGAAGAGATCTGCTGCGTGGTGTGCGTTCATCGCATCTGTTTATTTTGAGTGTATCCTCGGCCAAGCACACCCCCCCTCTCCCTCCCCGCATTGCCAGCGGCGCTCTGTGGCTTCGCTCTCCTTGTTTGAAAGAGTGGCAGTAGTCGGCGATGCAATAATATGCGATAACGTGGCGGTGTGCAGGCCTGCTGAGTACGACGTTCTGCAGCCATGTGCGCAGACAAAATTGCATCGTCCTCCTGTGGTATAATCGAGCGGTGGGCGGTCAGTCAGAGCAATGGGTGGTCAGTCGGAGCTGTGGGCAGCAAAGCCACTTTTGCCCACCGCGGGGAGAACCCTGGTCGCTGAGGTATAATCGGACAAGATAACAGGTTCACACACACTGATGAGGCTACTCATTCTGGGACCTCGCCACTTGCTCACTGTTCTGAAGAATGCTGGACATGGTCCCTAGTGGACCCTAATCGAGGACCGTTATTACTTCGTTGGAATAATCCAAGCAACCGAAGAGTCAGGTCGGGTCTGTGCAACGTTTCTTTCACACGTGGGTGCGTAGGTGCCGAGACCGCAGCTTAGCACGCCACAAACGCCAAGCAACGAGATCAAGACATTCCCGACGGCCCCTCCCGACTACCTGAGCATGGTCCACAAGCTGGCCGTGGTGTCGCCGAGCTCACAGACCACTGTGGGAGCACTTGCCATTGGAGGATTTGTACGTCTCTACTGCTTTCGTTTTTTTTCTTCCTCCGAGTGTAGGGCATGCCTGCAGTGTGCTTGTAGATTGATGTACAGTGCAATCCACTTATAACGATCCCACATGTAACGATGCACTACTCTTAACGACCAGTTTCTAGACTAGAAACGCTCAGTTTCTAGTCTGAATACAACGATGATCGGTTATGACGATTGAATTTTCGGGTTTTCTCGTCTTTATTTTAAGTGGATTGCACTGTAGTCGCAAATCGAACAAGTCTCCGATACGTCTAGGGTACATTGAAGGAAGGGGTGCGTAGTGACCGACGGGATTAGGACGACAGGGAGGAGCTTCGGTTGTCCCACATCCGGCACAAGCTTTCTATCTACTTTCAATGACGTTTCGACATCTTGCGAGCCTCGAGCCCCCACACGTGGCCAAAGTATAATGAAAGAGCTGAGCATGGTGCCGAAGGCCGGGCGTCAGAAAGAGGCGCCCTGCTATTCTCCTTCTGTCCGTGACTATAGGTACAAAGATGCTCCTACTAGTACTTGTTCGATGCTCTCTTCTTTTTTCTTTTTTACTTGGGAGTAGAACTGTTTGCTTTATTATTCTGAGCATAGCATTCTTTTCTACACAAACTAATTTACTCATTCGGTTCGTCCACTTGTCAAAACAGTGTCTGCCACCCAGCGTGTCTCTTACAGAGCCATGCATATCCGGTCTTAAAATGAAAATGCCAATTCTGAACACCATGTTTTGCTGGAAAATGTGCAGATTAGTAGTTGCATTGGGAGAAAGTTGTGTAGAAGGGTGATGCACATTATAGACTGGATGCATGCTATGCATGAGCATTTTATATTGCCACGCGCATCAGCGAGCAAGCGCGTGCGTGGCCGAGTGGTTACCGCGCTTGACTTTCGCGCGGTAGGTGTAAGTTCGATTCCAGTCAGCGGAGTGTCCTTTTATTTATTCCTTCAATTTAACCTTCTCGTAAGTTCGAGAGCATTCTCGTCTGATCTAGTTCCGAATATTCTATGCGCTGAAAGTTCTACGCCGAACGATCCAGAAACCCACGAGGGTACATAAGAGACTCTGCAAGGCGAGTGGGGCCAGTCTCGCCCCAGGCTTTGACTCTGCTGTTACGCCGACTTCGACGCTCTGTTATTATCTTTTGTACCCTTTCATTTTTTGGCACAAGTTCGCCACATTAAACATTTATTCGTTCCTGTTTATTTATTGTGCTTTTGGTCACCACCCATGACAATATCACATTGCGGATTATTTGGGCTTATATTATAGTGTGACAATGCACGTTTACCTCTACACAAGGAAATGGTATATTTACAGTATGTTCAGCATGCTGTATATGATCCTATTTTTGCTTGCTGTTCGTGGAAATGAACCCTTGGTAAAATTTAAATTTAAAGTGAGCCCCCATAATTTATATTATTTCAAGGAGCTACAAAAAGTTATAGTCCACTCGCTTGCTGTCGTTGGGGTTTTCTTCTTATGAATTTCTCTAATTTCTTCAGATCAAGGAAACACGGGCCTGTACTAATCTAGAAACAGGGATGGCGGTAGCACCAACATTTTTGTCAGTATTGTTGCGCGAATATTTGAATTTTCTAATAGTAGTTTCGAAGAATACGCTATTCCATTTCGCTTCGAGGTGAACTGCAATATTTTAATACTTTTCAAAGTTTTGATCGCGGTGGGCAGGCCCCATTGAGTGTGCTTCTCACCGAGCACTTGTACACTGCGGGGAAGCAACACCTGGAGCTTGCAGGCTCTGCGGGTATTGCTTCCCCGCAGTGCACAGGTCCTCAGTGAGAAGCGCACTCGACGGGGCTAACCCGCCACGATTATGCAAGAGTATATACAGTAGCAGACAAAAGTACTGGATGAAACACTTTTTCGACCTTAACTTTTTCTACTATACGAAATCTGCTAAATTCTGGATATGATATGGGTTATTAGGTTCTGACCATTACCCATACTCATGTGGATAGGAAACTAACACAAATAGAGTAGTGTGCCCAATTGCAAAAATCATACAAATTGACAAGTAAGGTGTGTATCACATTCATTTTATGCAACAAAAACAAACAACAGTGACTCGGAAGCAATAAAACGGTAACTAATACTTTGTCGGAAACCCGCCAGACTTCATTACAGCTTCACAACGAGATTGCATGAAGTTGACAAGCTTCTTGATGTTTGCCTGAGGGTAGCGTGCCCATCCCTCAGCCAGCCGGTCAAACTTCTGATCCTTATTCAAGCATGTTTTGTTTGCCAATCTGTGCTCCAGTCCCTCCCTCATGTGTTCGATTGGATTCAGGTCCAGGGACTGGCTAGGCCGCTTCAGAAGGGGAGGGTGCCACAAGAGCGCATGACACAAGCGCCGACGGCAGAGCGCGTGTTATTAGAGCACGCATCACGAGAACTCTGAACAACAGCTGCAGTCACTAAGGTGCCTTTCCCCCTGGCAGAACGTTCAAGTATTGAATCCTCTTCTGCAGTAACTGGGTTGCTACACATTGGATTATCTGTTACGTGATGGCCAGGACTGCACAATATGCGAGTGCAGCTTTCGTCATTAATTGTATCAGTGAACAGATTGATTTTTAGCACGTTCCAAATTTGACGTTTTCCCGACGTTTGCCTGAATTAAACACGGTAATGGTGTAACATCTGTGCTCACGGTAGGCTCCCGTAGCTTACCGTGTGCTCCAGTGCAGTTAGGTACCTGGTGGATCTGCTTCGTGGAGAGCCTCAAAAGAGCAGCAAGGCCACCCACGTTCGCATAGCGAACAATCTGAGAGTTAAAGGGTATGACCATAGATGCGTGCTCGACTACCTCCGCAGTGTTTCACAATCGTTCGGTCTTTGAATTTTTTTTTTTATATTATGGAACGGTAATTAATAAACAACTATATCTCCAAAACTTTGTATTTTGCTTCTTCATTTCCAGTTTGTGGAAATTGTATTCTTCAGACTTTCCACAAGTCTGCATACTCAGTCGAATAAATGACATGAGGCATTCGAAATGCGACTTCCTTTGGTGTCAAAATTTCAGCTCCGTGAAAATAAGTTTGAAGGCCCCAATATTGATCATTCCGAAGGCACGCACATGCACTCTCCCGAGGTGCGCTTTAATGGCATGCACTCTCATGTCGTGGCACTCTTCTGTCGTGTGCTCTGGTGTTGCGGCGCTCTGCTGTCGTGGCGCTCTCCTGTAGCGCGCTCTCCCGTCGATGCTCTAGTGTCGTGCTCTCTCGTGTTATTTAGCCTTCCAGAAGACAGACTTGATGCCGCTGGAAGGTGTTCTTTGTGACCCTAAAGGTGTGCTTCCGATCGTTGTCGTGCTGCAGGATCCGTCCGGGAGGCATCTTCTGGTTGGCCCACAGAATGATATTGTTGACCACCATGTTCCTGCATCTTTGGTCGTTCATTATTCCGTTAATCTTGATAATGGGGCCGATCTTATTGCTAGAGAAGGCGCTGTACACCCTAATCGATCCGCCACCCTGCTAGACAGTTGGCAGGATGAAATTAGGATTGAATCTCTGGCCAGGCGAACGACGTACGTGTTGGATGCTATCACTACCAAGCAAGTTGAACTTGCTTTCATCGGTGAACAGCACCCTATTCCAGTAGGCTGAGGTCCAGTGACGATGACAATGCGCGAACGCAATTCTGGCACTTAGATTCTTGGCTGCCACCAGCGACTTCTTGGTGGGACGGATCCTGTTCAACCCACCAGCACTGAGGCGACGGAAGATGCTCTTTCGGCTGGCGTTCCGGTTGTCTCTGGCGCGGAATTCGGTGGTGATGTCGACAGCAGTCAAAGTGGGATCAGCCTTGGAGCAGTGGATGATGCGAGTATCCTGACTCAAACTGGTGGAACAAGGCCTGCCGGATCGCTGAGAGTTCTCGATGGTCCCAGTCTGCTTATAACGTTGGAGGATACCTATACAGACGGCTGTGGGATCTTGAGGGCCCTTAGAATGTCCATTATGCTCATTCAGGACTTTCTCATGTTGATCACTGCCTCGCAAATGGGAACTACGATCTCATTCGTTTTACCCATTTCTTAATGTACAGTAACACAATATTATTAGAAAACTTAAAGCATCTGCTGTATCATGGTTCATTCCTCACAGTACCATGCTCAGCCAGCTTTGCGCGCGCAGGTGCATTGATGGCGGTGCCTGACGACATTGCTCTGATCACAGTACAACCTATGCGGCATTGTAACCCTTGCATAAACACAGATCATATACAAGAATGAGCCGATTTAGTCCACTAGAAAAAAAGTTATGGTTCGAAAAATGTTTTTTTCTGATACTTTGGTCTGCTACTGTATGTTAGGCAGCAATATCTTGATAATCCTCGTTCATCATTCCTGCTTTCTTTTTGTATGAAAAAAAAAGAAAGAAAGAATATTTGCATATGGCAAGCAGATTCATAGATCGCCTCGATTAAGATAGCTATGACAAATTTGTCATATACATGCCACAGTTCGTAAATATAGTTATGTTAAAATAAACTGAGCTTAGAAGTGGACAAGGGGAAGATTGAGAACAACCTTCATGATTTTAGCTGAATTTTTGTTTAAGCACGGTGCACACTAGTGAAAGGTTTGGAGAAGCTATGCGGTATTGGATTTGAAAATGTTCGACCGACTATTTGTTTTGAACTCACTTCGAACTCCAAATCCACTATTTGCACATGCCTTTGTGGTCCTTCTTGTTCCCTATCCTGTGCTCAAAGCACCGTTTGTGCGACCAGTAGTCTATGGCCGATGAACTGCCGTGTCCAGAAAGTGTGCATAACTGGGGAAGGGTACCAATCGCAAACACTCACCCGGTGTTTTCACATGGTCCAGATGGTCCGTACGGTGGGCTGGAAGGTGATTGCAGTCACTCTGGGCCTGTACGGAGTGGTCTATCTCTTCGAGAGGCTCACGTGGACCAACCGCGCCAAGGAGCGCTCCTTCAAGCGGCAGTACGTGCAGCACGCCACGCGCAAGCTGCGTCTCATCGTCGACCTCACCAGTGCCAACTGCAGCCACCAAGTGCAGCAGTGAGTTCACAAACTATCCAGCCAACTTCCAGCTCCAATTCGAGGACAAATGATGCCTACCAATGCGCCGTACATTGTAACTACAGTCACTGACAGAATGAGAACGACGGGGCACGTCTTCCAAACTCTCGGCCTCCAGCACGCGCGCTCGAGGTGCATGAGACATCGAAGCTTTGTCGAAGGTGGGAAGCTCCCACTGGAGGTGGGATAACCGCAACTCCTTTCAGCGCTTCACAAGTTGTCAGTGACTATAGTCGTGGAGGTAGGAACCTTCTGAAGGCAACATGAGGCCACCAGAGGTGAATTCAAAAGTGTAGAGGCTCACGCCCCCAACGATGACCAAAACCAGGAGACACTATTGGACGAAAAGGAGAGCTAACTTGGCGCCAACAGCTCTGGTGGTTACCCTTGGGTATGCCTGGGGGTGAACGCCACAACTGTTGGAGCCAAGTCAGCTCTCCTTTTTGTCTGATAGCATCTCTTGGTTTTGATCATCATTGAAGGCGTGTCCCCCCATACTTTATTTATTTATTTTACCCTCAAGTCACGGGGGCATTACAGAGGAAAGAGGGAATTAAAAAAAATACAAAAAATGAAGCATAATAGGAACAACATAAATACTCTAACGGTAGGGAACTGGTAGTTAGCTATACTAGTACAAAAAAGAGTGTAGTCGACAATAAGTGAGGCAGGTAAACAATTCCGATCATTGGAAGTTTTAGAAATTAAGGATGCAGAAAAAGAATTGGAGTGGCGAAACGGGACACCGACTTTGTGATGATGATCAATGCGTGCAGAAACAAACATTGGTGGGATTATTAGCTGTGCATTTAGTTGAGGAATATGGTGGTAGACCTCATGAAAAAGACAAATGCGAGAGATTCTGGGACTTTGTGCGAGACTTGGAATTAGTAATAAAGTATTTTTTGTTGATGTGTCACTTGTAGTGCAATTATAATTGGCTAATATAAAACATGCGGACCTGTTCTTATGTGCCTCAAGTGAGTCGGTTAAATAATTAATATAGGGATCCCAGATGGAGGCTGCATACTTGAGTTTAGATCACACAAGCGTTTTATAGAGAGAAAGCTTTAATGATGAAGGAGCTTGGTAGAAGCTACATTTGAGATAGCCAAGCATCCGATTAGCATTGTTAGTCACGTAATTAAGATGCAGCTGCCAGGAAAGATTGTTGTTTACGATCATGCCCAGATACTTGTATAAATCAACAAGCTCTAAGTGTGTGTGATAAAGGTTTTAAGCAGCAGAGAATTTCGCTTTACGTGGTATGCACATAATTTAGCATTTGGTAGTATCAAGCTGCATTGCCCAGAGTTCACACCACTGCAGAATTGAATCTAAATCATGTTGCAGTTTTTGTGAGCCGGAGTCACTGGATATAACACGGTGAATAGCAGAGTCATCAGCAAAGAGTTCGATTGAAGAAAAAACAAAAGTCTGCAAGTCATTGATATAAAGGAAAAAAAAAAAAGTAAGGGACCTGAAATGGACCCTTGAGGTACACCAGAAGAGACGGATGCGAGAGAGGAGTCTGCACCATTACAGATAAATTGAGAGCGATTGGGAAAAAATGAAACAACTCAATGAAACACGTTAGAGTCAATGTTAAGTTTACCTAGCAATAGAAGTTTATGTGACACCTTTTTGACAGCTTTTGAAAAACCTAAAAAGATGCAGTTCACCCGAGATCTCTGATCAGGAGCAGTATGAAAATTGTTGGTGAAAGAGAGGAGTTGTGTTTCACAAGAAAAATATTTCCTAAAGCCACGTTGGACTGATGAAAAGAACTTTTCACTTCTGGCTTCACCTCCGGTGGTCTCGTGTCGCCTCCAGAAGCTTCCTACCTCTATTACTATACACTACTATAGGGTTGCACGTTTTTTGGGTGTATAGTTTTCTTCCGGTTCGGACGCGTTCCTCCAGGCTTATTTTTTTCTGCAGATTCTGTGTTTTTCAGTGGGAATTTTCGGCGTTGGATAAAACGCAGGCACTTGCCGGGGCTCATACGTCGAGGAAATCGGGAGGCTCGCATGGGATTCCCCGATCTCTCCGGGGAATGTGTGTGTGAACCAAATTACTTGGAATACCTCCGTGTACTCGTAAGAGAAAGAAATGCAACAAGGGGCGTGGTTTTCTAAAAGAAAAAAAAAAAGCAACCTCAAAGACGGTTTAGTGGGGCCCGTGTTTTGGGTCAATGCAGAATAAAGCCGTCGATAAAAATTTCTTCCCTCGAAGCGTGAAGGAACGGTTTAAAAAATACTGTCACTGCCTCTCTATCTTACAGAATGTAGTGAGCATTGGGAAGTGCTTAAATATTCTATAGATTCAGCTTTTGATTCATTTGATACATAGAACCCACATGCTGTTTAATGTATATGTTGAAGTTGTTTGCTGCTGTAGACAAATCTGGATGGTCCAAAGGCATGACCTCTGTTTGTATTTCCCCAAAGATCTGAAGGCAAGCTCATTCATATCCGTTCACAAGCACACATGGCAAATTTTTGTTTTTTGCTATACCATGTTGCTTTTACAGTTTTCATTTCTTGCTGAAACGGGTAACGCTTCTTGTATTAGTGGTATCAAGAATGTCAACATGAATGAGGGTTTCCCCTCTGCCTGCCTCGATAGTGCATTGCTCGTCTAACAGAGGCACCCCATTGCAGAGAGCTGTCCAGCACCTTTGCCCGCTTGGGGCACCTGGTGGATGAGGTGGTCAACGACATGGAGGTGGAGATCAAGAAGTTGGACAGCGAAATTTCAAAGATGGACGAGGCCACCACATGTGCCAGAACCCTCAGGTGAGCTCTTTAGAAGGCAGCTTTCTGCTCTAAATTTTCTTTTGTTTTTGCTCTGCATAAATTTTTTAGTTTTTCCATGCTTTTTTTTTTCATGTGCCTGATGCTTAATAGGTAGAATTGGCTTAAGCTGGTTTTATTGATGACTTAATGTCTTTGAGAACTTTTGAACAGGTAATAGGTATTATTACTAACAGTAGGAAATATTGCTTGTAGTTGGTACATATGTTATATACAGTGTTGCCAGATGCAGATGGGCTCTATTTCGCTGTAGGCAGCAAAAAAAAACCCTTCCTGCTTTTTCATAGACGGCAGACAAACAGCTGTACCCATCCGCAACTGAGCCTTTCAGCCGGGCCATACTCCCTTTGTCCCCAAACCGGCAACTGGTGGTAGTCTTACTTCCTAGAACACCATTGTCTTTTCTGATAAATGCTACGGAAGGAAAATGCAAATTCTTGGGAGGCCCTGAAAGGTTTGCATCATTAATTAATTTTGCACCGAAGTTCGTACCAAGAACCTGGAAGTGGTGAGGAGGCTTTGTCGGAAAAGTTTCCTTTTGCATTTCTTAACCTGCAGTTCAATATATGTTACATGTTGTATCAAGCATTTCTACACCTGCAATTCAATATATAATACATGGTGTATTAAGCATTGTGCCTTTTGGCCCTGAAACATGATTCAGTGGACCATATATGTCATGTTTTGGTGAAATCTCGCAGGAACAAGGCGGGGTACCTGATGAGTGAACTTGAGACCTTCTCCCAGCAGTACCTTCAGTATGACGAGTAGGAAGGTTGCATGGGACTGCAGCAGAGGTCGTTCTCCGCATACGTTTTACCTCGAAAGCCTTTTGATTGTCTCGGAATACGAGCCCTGAAGATGGTAAAGTGTCCCCGGCCTATTATGTCGGCTGTGACGGGCAGCACAAACCTCGCGAAAGATTGGATTCGGACACGTGACTGAGGTTTCTGACGCCATTGATGCCATGGCCATTGGATGCATAAGGAGCAACATGTGTTGTGTGTCTCCATGGCTTGTAACCTCGGAGGGCCTTGAAATGGTCGATAGATGGCACCTAAGAACAAACAAGGCCACTGTCCTGAACAAGGATACTGCCTCTGCACATGTACGTTAGTCAAGGGTGGTGCTGCAAAGCCATTTATACTTTTTTTTATTTTCTCTATTGTTTTTGGGGAGATGTCATGTAGCATGTTTTCTTGTAAACAAGAGCGGTTACAATGTACTGCAGCCATTCTGTTGACCCTGTTGAGGTTTAGAAAATTTGTGCAAGATATGTTGTCTTCATTGGGGGGGAGGGGGAGCTTACATTTTCTCTTTAGGTAGCAAGTCGAAATATGGTTTAGTATTTTGTTTACGGAGATTCTAATGTCACTTTTTTTGTTCATGCATGCTTTTGGCGACCTGGATCTGCTAGTTCTGTATCGTCCCGGCCTATTTTTGTGGTTCGGTGGTTTACAAGACCATAGCTAACACAAGAGTGTTTAGTGGGATAAGCATGATGTGAATTTGACAAGTACTAATTGCTGTATGCAGGGGGAGGTATTGTTAAGTATTCGCAAGCTATATGTACAAAAAAAGAAAAAAAATGAAGCTGAGTGTTTTTTTTTTTGTGTGGGTATCAAACTTTTTTTAATTGTAAATGTCTTTGTGGGTAATATAAAAATAATTTTTTGTATTTGTTATATGATCCTTGATGCATGCCTTGGTCCTTTTTGTTCTTGTAGATGCCCGATTTGTGAAATTATGGCTTAAAAACTTAACTTGGAGATGCATATATATTTGTTTGTCGTGAGCTCTGCGCTGTTCTTTTGGGAAATAAAACTTGATTGTTTTCTTGAAGAGAGAGTGCTTTATTTGCCACAAAAATGTTGACCATCACAGGAGATAATGATCCAGACCTATACTGGGTGTTTGATTTTATTTGAAATAAATATTTATGTAAAGAAATCTTTGAGAAGTTTATTAATTCAGCCTCTGCAGGTGTTGTACAGCCGGGGGGGATTTAATAGGGGGGCTAAATGTCACGATAAGTCATATAACTAATTAACTAAACTCTGTTAAATAACTCTTAGTTGGTAAAAATAAATATGGTTCCAATTAGAAACTTGCTGAGTGTCATTGAAAACCATAAAATCAGCCAGCTTTAGAAAGAAAGCATTAGGGAAGTGTAGGGGCGAGCTAAAGTTACCAGTTGTGCGGCAGGCACAAGGCTGGCAGTGCAAAAACAAATAAGGTGAGCCACCTATATTAAGCGCGAAACACATGTACGACGAAACTCTCCGATCCGACGTCCGACCGCGCAATACGACGGTCGGAGGCGAGGGTTTTCGTAGCATCAGAGAGCGTTGAAAACCCTCGCCTCCGACCGTCGTATTGCGCGGTCGGACGTCGGATCGGACGGTTTTGTCGTACATGTGTTTCGCGCTTTATGTCTCCCTGGCCATATAATTCATCTGCACAGACCACATAAGTGTGCCTTTCACTACTTTTTTTACAGTGGAGCTGTTAAGGGCTAGTTTCTCCAGTATTGTGTCCGTCAGCAAACAAATGATGACACTAAACTCTGGACGACTACCGCCACCTATGAGCGACAGTACAACCAGACAACTGGCTTGCCGGTTGTCTGGTTTCCGCCGTTGCTTACAGATGGCGGCGACCTCTCCAGGGGGGGGGCCTTTCCACTCTGGGTTGCCAACTTGCGGCCGGCAATCACTTCATTCCCACCGTAGTATAGCTTCGCCTGGTCTCCCTTCCACCAAAGTAAAAAAGCTGAAAGTTTTTTTTTTTTTAATAAGTTTTTTTGAATTAAAATTAAACATTGTTATAAGAGGTAAGTGATACATGGGTAGCGGTCACACTAACCGACTGGTTTTGTAAACAAAGCTGCACTCACAATATCCTTACTGAACAAAAGTGTAGTAAGTTGCCGAACCCACTTTAGCAAGCAACAATTTTCTAATGCAAAGGCCTTTATTTATGCAGGCTCTATATTTCGCAAATTTTGTGAAGTGCGGCTTTCGGGCATATTTCACGGACATAAATATTTGTGATTTTAAGCGAAATGTATTCAATACCATGGGGTGACACATTTTCGTGATCTATTCCTCGTAATAATTTTTAAGCTGTGAAATTTGGGAAATGTTAGGTCTTCTCTAAAATTAAGTCGTTTGGGAGGAGATACACCAAGCTCCATTGTATGCCTAAAACCATTAAAGGCAGATTTGTGCCTATGACAGATATAAAAACTAGACCAGCTCGTGGAATCTATCGTGAAAGTTGTGGTTTTTCCCATGTCTTCTATAGACCTTTTGCAAAGTCTGTAGCACAGTCTGCGGCACTCTATGAAATGCCGAGAACTCTAGGTACAACCGGTTTGTAGCAGATGACTAACACGACAGCGAGCAGGTGAAGGCAGGCGAGCAACTGCGCTATCCTCTCTCTCTCTTCAGTGTCGGGGGCCAAGGAGGAGCGCACTGGACTTGGCAAGTGGCGTTTTTTTTTTAAAGGGTCTATTTTGTGCTTTTTGGGAAAAGCTACTTTTGCTTTAATCGTAAGATGCAAGCAAAGGTGCTTGACGTTCAGGTCACCAAGACGTTGGGACAAAGTAATCTGTCGTCTAGCATGCAGGAATAGAATAAATAATAACTTCTGGCTTCAGCTTGCGGTCGTGCCACGAACCGAAACCCATATTTATATCTTCATCATCTTAGTGTAGTACCATGTTTGATTGGGAGAACAGCAACCTATAATTAAGTGCACACATATTCCTGTCTAGTGAGGTAAGTTTTCTTCAATCGAGAAAGGCAAGTGCTTCTCTGTCTACTGATGTTCTGCAATACTAGCCTGTACCCCGAGACTTGATACAGAAAAGCATTTTTTGCCTTTTGTATCTGTCTGTGCATCGGACTCCCCAAGCTGATAAAAGACTGACCTATTTTCTTAGATTATGCTTTCACGAATATGTAGTGGCGTTTATTTTGGTGAGTGATGTTGAATGTATGTAATTGAGATGGTTAAAGAGAAGGAAACTTATGGCATGATGAGATGTGCATTTTCTTTTTGGGTGCGTGTAGTGGTGACTTAATCTTTGCAAATTATTCTTTAGGGAAATGTGAGGTGCAGGGCACATTGTTAATTGCCAAGTAAGGAGGAATTCCTAGTCGTCATCCTGCAGGGATTGGCAGACCAAGAAGAGTTCGGAGCTGTTTGCGACGACGGGGATGAAAAATATGTATTAAGGTACTTGTCCCATTGAGCAAAAAAGCATAGAAAAAGACGATAAAAAATATGATTCAGCAGCATGCGCTGCTCTATGAGCAACCTTATTTATCCCATTACCTTGGCGTTGTCCTTGCGGTCGTCCTAGAAGTCGTCTGGATCTCTATGACGACCTCACTTGTCACATTACGTGAAAAACAACCTGTGGCATCATCGTGCCCGAAAGATTGCCATAAAAATATGTCATCAAGCGTCATCAGCGTGATATCATCAAGCGTCGTCATACGTCATCAGCGTGGTGTCACCACTGGAGCGCCGTGTGCAAAAGGTGTGCTTTGGACTTCATCTGTGCTTGCTGTGTGCTTTGTGCGATGCACTGTGAGCCGACCGCGTCTACATCTACGGCCTCGACATCGGCAGCAGTGCCTACATATACAGCAGCTTCCGCAGGCAAACATATGGTTGCAATGCCCACGCAGAAACGCCACAATCTCCTTAAGTGTCCTCCTCTAGTCGTCATTCTTGACGTCGTCCTCTAGGTGTTGTTCTGGACGTTGTCCTTGAGATTGTCCTAGATGTCGTCCTAGAAGTCGTCCTAGGTGTCATTCTTGACGTTGTTCTTGAGGTCGTCCTAGACATAGTCCTCTAGGTGTCATTCTGGACGTCATCATAGACATCCTCTAGATGTCCTTCTCGACATAGTCCTTAATGTCGTCCTAGAGGTCATCTTAGAAATCCTAGATGTCGTCTTCGAGGTCGTCTGCAAGGTTGTCGTCGGTGTCGTCCTAGACGACGTCACTGACATCATCCTCGACGTCGTCATAGAGGTCGTCCTAGATGTCGTGCTCGGTGTCGTTCTCTGGGACGTCGTCCTAAAGTTAAATATGTGTAGAAACATTACTTGAAAAGATTTCTTGTGCGAAACTATAATGCTTTTGCCTTCCTACATGTAAGCGGTCTTAAACGTACTCCTGTAATTTTTTTGCAACAGTTTCAAAGCCGAGGTAATATATAGCAAGGGATAACAAATGTCTCAATTACTAATATTTCTTTTGCATCAACAGAAATGCTCAACAATGTTATGTACACTTCGGGGGAGGCACTCACTTGATCGAATTTCGCTTTAGCAAACGCCCACGTTTCACCGAATGAAACTTTAGCGAATAGTCGGACGCCGCGAAGCGGCGTTTTTGGGCGGGCCAAATGGGTTCACATTTTTGTAATGAGCCGCCGCAGACTGTTGCCGCGAAGCGGCGTAAAGCGCAGCGCAACGGATGGGTTAACGCGCGCCCCCGTTATTCGCTAAAACATTGATTCGCTCAAATGTCGCTGTTCGCTAAAATGTCATTCGCTCATGTGATATGGACCCGGGTGGGAAGAGGGAGGTGGGTGAGGAGGGGGTGGGAAAGGCAATGTGATTAAATGTATCCTGCCAAGGGAAAGAAATGACCATGAAAGACTTGCATATGTTTGCAAGGGGGTGTTTAAAAGTTGGCATCTTTCACTGATCTCTCGACGCCATTGCTCAGGCGAAAAATGCCGAGTCACTGGGCTGTGGACACATCCGATGCGGCTGATATACCCAGAAGAGAGCTACTGCGCATGCTCAGAACGCGTTCGACAGCCCAGTAGACAAAGATGGCAGCGCACAGAAGCAGTTCAATTTGCAAAACAAAACTACGCTAGTTTTCTTTCTTTTTTCCAACTTCAAATTGTTTGTTTAGAGTTTTCACGTATCCATGCTAAATCCCTAGCGATATCTATCTTGTTTTGTCATTTTTTCCGGCATCAGGTTATCAGGACACAAAACACACTTCAGCACTTCTGCATCGCCGGCCGATATTGCCGATACCGCGGGCTGGCACAAGACCGGCGTCTTTCTGGCAACAACGAGTCAGAATTTGCTCATTTGCTCTCTAATCAACATGGCCGCTCTGTGCGAAATCCTTGCGCCGCATCTTGCCCGAATTCGAACTCCGCTCAATGGCGAAAAGATTTACAAAGATGAGTGCGTCTTTTCGTTCGACACCCCGGTAAGCTCCGCTTCCCACGTTTCCATTTGAACGCCCTTCCCGCGAGCTGTCTGTCCCGTACGGTCGGAGCGTTTATTGACACATGGCGCACCGATTTCGGCACTGTTACTCTTCGTGGCGAAATGTCTCGAATGGCTTTAAATGAGCCACCTTAGCTTCGCACTACACCGAAAACAAAGGTTTACAGCGTTTCTTTGAAGTGTTGAAATGTGTCACTAGTAGTCAGTGGAGCCTGTGGTGTCCGGCCTTGTGGCTTAGGTTGGCGGAATCCACCGAAGTCCAAATACAAGCTGCACGGTTCTTAGTTTTGGGTTAATTGGAGCGTAACGTTAATATGTCGTCCACTGCGCTTTAGACCCGTATATGGCTCTGCCCGACACTTTTGTGCGAGTCGTGCTTTTGTTTTGGGAATGTGGGCGTGACGACAAGTGTCATCCCATACCACGTTGCTTCTTCTCTGGTCAAGTTCCTCTATTGAGAACTCGCAAATGTTGTCTCTAGGAATCCGAAGGAGGTCTCTACGTTTGCCTCAACACTTTCCTCGGATTCGGGAGGAAGCACGTCGAGCGGCACTACGCAAGGACAGGAAACGCCGTTTACCTGCACTTGAAGACTGTTAAGAAAGAGGTGTGTGGGTAGCTGTAGTATTAATTTCCTCTTCTCTGCACTCGGACGTTACCTCATTTTGAGCGTTTATGCTTGTCGTATGTACTCTTCTTAATGAACTTTTTTTTGTGTTGCACCCAGTTAAAAAATGAGAAGACTGACTCTGCTGGAAAATCCGCCCCCACAAGGCTGGCCATCGGTAGGTGCAGTAACTTGTTGCACAGTTGCCTCTAACGTTATGTGGAAGTGATTCAGAAAACGCTCTTGTGCAGGGCGTCTGTGAACAGAGATTTGCAGTAGTTTTTTCACCGCAAAAATAATCTGCGCTTCCAGTCTCCAGCCAAATGTAGCGCTAGTGGCCTGAAGTTTCAGAGCTTGACATTATCTAGTTCAAAAGTTCTAAGCTTTTTGCGTAAATTTACATGAAAAAATGGAGAGCACACCTGGTATCCGACGCCATTCACCTCCACGCATTTGTGGGCTTTGTTGGCTGCCATTTTCTCGCTAAAAATTCATGAAAATCGCTTATAACTTTTGATAAGATAAGGGCAATCTCTCGAACCTTGGCATTTGGTCTGGACTACTAGTACTACATTTAGGCAGAAACTGAGCTGTTGGCAATGCATAGTTTATTTTTTTAGTGAAAATACACAAATATTTTTTTGACAGACACCCTGCACGGTAGAAAGTATTCTTATGGGGCAATATAGATCACTGTTAGAAGCTTAGTAGCCACAGCAAAGACGTGAATGCTGTAGGCTACTTTATTGCAATGCTTCCAGCTGTTAGAATGCTGCCATACATAACCAGGATGCAATAACTGGTTTGTCATATTTAACATCGAAGGCCCTTCGTCTTTGCACTCGGCAGGTGTAGAATATTTGCAATGTGTAGTTACGTTTTTCTGGCCGATTGCGAACATTTTCAGTGTGCCGGCGGCAGCTTTAGTACGAGCCGAGTGCTTGCTCAGCTTCCCAACCTGCTGTGTTAAGTGCAGCAGATGCCTATTGTGGTGCCAGTACCGTTTTTCTGAGATTTTGGTTTCATTTCATTTTCATTCATTTATTGGTTCCCCTTAAGACCCACGAGGGGTATTACAAAGGGGGGGACATTTGGCAGGACAGTGTCAAAACAAAAGAACGCTAGTAATATAAAACAAGAAAATTATCACAGATGGAGATGAACGGCAACATTATCGGCGAATTTCTGTGGGTCTATTATTGTGACAATGGCTTCGGGTAGTTGGTTCCAGTCACTAATAGCAAGCTGAAGAGGCGAGAACTTGTAAAGGTTAGTTCTGGGAATGTCAAGGTGTAATTTGCAGGGGTGGTCAAGGCGGCGTGAGATAAAAGGAGCAGGTTTACAATAGATCGACTTACGAGATGGAGAGTGATAAAAAAGTTTGTGAAGCAATTTCAGTCTGTTTAACGTTCTACGGTCTTTCAAAAGAGGAAGCTGTAGAGATGATTTTAGAGAGGTTACACTTACTGGGAAGTTGTAGTTTCGCAAAATGAAACGAGCTGCTTTATTTTGAATTGACTCTAATTCTTTTTCTAAGAAGACTTGGTGAGGGTTCCAGATGGCTGAAGCATATTCCAGAATGGGTCGTATTAGAGCGGTATAAGCTGTTAGTTTAGTTTTTTGAGATGCGAGGTAAAGGGAACGTCGGAGAAAACCGAGCGATTTGTTAGCTTTGGCTGATATATGGTTAACATGATATTCCCAAGAAAGATTAGTGCTTAGGAAAACTCCGAGGTACTTATAGTGCATCACTTGTTCTATGTGGTTGTTGAAAAGAGTATAATTAGATTTTGTCGGAACACGTTTAGTACTAAAGACCATGAACTTAGTTTTTTTAACATTAATCTCCATCTGCCATTTTCCACACCAAGACTCGATCTTGACAAGGTCATTTTGCAAAGTGCTACAGTCATTTACATTATGAATTCTAGAGTACATCACACAATCATCTGCGAACAATCTTAGAGTCGAGTTAATACAGAGAGACAAATCATTAACATAAATCAGAAATAATAACGGTCCCAGCACGGTTCCCTGCGGTACACCTGATCTTACTTGCATGGTCGTAGAAGACTGTTCATGAAGAGAAACATACTGTGTTCTACATGTTAGAAATGATTCGATCCAATTTATAACGCCTCTGTCGATATGAAAAGAGTGAAGTTTTTGAAGCAATCGACAGTGGGGAACTTTATCGAAGGCTTTTGAAAAATCAATGAAGATGGCATGAATATCTGTCTTGGCATGTAGGCTTTCATTCGTAGGTTCCACGATTAGTAATCGAAACTTCTTTGCTGGAGCATTTGGGGTGCCACTTGTTGGTTCGGCACACCCCAACATCTCTCTTCTGCAGATGGTCGCTGCTTTTTCAGTTTGAAAATGAGCGAATATTCCCGCCGAACTGCTCAAGTTGCAGCTGAGGAGCTCACATTGATTTAATTTTTTCTAGGCTTGGAAGGTGGCTTTGACGTCGCTGAGGGCAAGAAGTATGAATACGAGTACCACAATGCACTGACGATCCTCCCCCATTTCGACGTGATCCCTCTGCCCAATCCGGAACTTCCAGAAAAGGTAAGGTTGCTGTTAGTGCTGGAGCGGCACCAGTGTATTCCGCTCTGTAGTCAGTGGCGGGTTAAGGGTGCAATACAAGCTTCTCCCACAAAACCCTTTGCTCTTGCTGTTTTAGCAAAGTGAGAGGAGGTAGGGAGGGGCTCACCTCCTCTCCAGCATTTGCTCTGTTAAAGTGAAAAGTAAAGCACTTTCCGGCTGTAGATTGGCACAAGGCGATTTATGACAGGTGGCCTAAGTAAGCTCTTACTAGATCACTTCTTACTGCATAGCTGCTTACTACATCACTTCATCCACAGAATAACATGCATCATTTTATAAGGTATTGGAATACTACTGGCTTTGATTTTTCTGCTTTATCTCCTCGTCACATTTTTTTGTGACAAATGAATATTTGTTTAAACATTGGTTTGACTTTAAAAGGAATGTTGAGCTGATGTTCAAAGTTTTATTTTATGACTTTAACACATTGCAAAGCTATTTGAGACAGCACTGACCCAAGTTCTGTAGTCAGTGACAGGTTCAGAGTAAAGTGGAAGCTCCTCCCACCTCATTCCACTTCAGCAGAGCGACCATCGGAGAGGAGGCAGCCTCCTCTCCAGCTCTAACGTTCACTCTGCTAAAGTGGAATGAGCTAGGAGGAGCTTCCACTTTACTCTGAACCTGTCACCGACTATAGTCAAAACAGACTATTTTTTGTGCCACACACCAATTATTAAAGGGATACTACAACGAAATTTTGGCACTCATTTTTTCGGTCTATATGTGTTCAAAGGAGCAGTATCACAGCGAACATACCAATATCTTGTTAAAAAAGTATCGAAAAGGAATTTTAAAACGAATTAAACGATTAGCAAAGAGCACCTGGTGGATGTCGCTAACGCCTCGCTTGTAATGCCTGTCTAGGAACCTTGACAGCTAGTGACAGTGAGTGTCTCGTCTCCGGCCACGACGAGAGAAGAGGGGAAGGAGGAACTCCCCTCTTCCTGAGAATGCCTTTTGTGTGTCGCAAAAGTCACTCAAAATTCATACAAAAGCAGCCGCTTCGGTGGCTGGAACGACTAGGCCATCCTCTCGACGTCAGCCTCGCCGCAGCTTTGCTCGTCCCGAGACGACCTACGTAACGATTGCGTTAGATGTCACGTGGTCTCTGCTGGGTCTTCTGCGAGCACTTGCCGGAGTAGGCCATTTATAACAAAAAATACAGCCACCAGGCTCAAAACACAAACGTGCAATTGTTATTTACGGATATTGTAGATCATATTCAACCTATTTTTGAACACGACGGGAATATTTCAAATTTCGTTGAAGTATCCCTTTAAGGAGTCAATGAACCATCATATTGGTGGTGCCGTGCAAATGCTGGGAGGAGACAGTTATGTCATCACTGTGGAGCTCAAATTTTTTTACTCCTTCTATCTCTGTCTTTCTTGTGCATCCAGAGCTGAAGTTTGTTCCAGTGCTTTCTGCTGATTTTTGCCTTTTGAATTTTGATGCGGGAATATTACTTCATACATTCTGAAAAGAAAGGGGCCGCATGTTTGAATCTCATTGAAAGCAAAACGTTCGGGACAAGATTACATCCTTTCAGTGTCCCGTCAAAGCTACACTTTTGAGAAATATCGCTTGGCCAGGCACAACCAAATCCAGTGCAGCACCAGCTGGCTAAGTGAGCAGCCGCTTCACGCAAGTGACCACTCAATCCTAGGAAGATGAATACCTTTGTTTGCCTCTTTCTATGCTGAATTTCACCTTACGATGGACTGCAGCAGATGCTACACGCCAATCCACCGCCACGAGAGTCTCGCAATACTATCTGTCGCTGCACCCGTTCCCCAGATCGTGTGACACTTGCACGGCATTGTGTGCGGTGTGCAAGTTTGTCTGCTTCTTGTGCACCTCGTGCGTTTGTTTATCCTCCAAACACGGCCATGTTCTTTTTTTTCCCCTTGTCATCAACCAATGTTGTGTGCCTTGACTGCACAGCTCATCGCACGTTCCCGGCGCCTTCTCTATGTTGCCCTTTGATTGGCATGCTCCTCTTTGCATTCCGACATGCCAAAGACACATTTTGGAGCACTTGCCGTATTGGCTTTAACGGCTGCGACATCGTCTGCAGTTTATCGTAACGGGAAATAAAATATGTTGTAATCTTTGCTTTTTTTTTACGGGCATGGGGATTTGCAGTTGCTTTGGCGGAAACCATTGCGTCACCGCACACTTCCTTCCGCAGGTGCAGTTGTCCGTGGCCACCGTCCTGGCTTCGGATTCGGCCAACCAGCTCAACGAACAGCAGGCGATGGCTGGCACCTGGGACGGGGAGAAAAGGGCCGTTTCCAAGTGAGTGCAGCTTTTTTGTCTACTTGTTTGGGTATATTTCAAGGGACCATAACCCATTTCCGGTTTGCATTCTCGATAGGAGTGTTTCTTGTGCACAGCAATTGGAGGTTTAGGGGAAGGAAATGTGTGGTCTTACGAATTTCTGAAGTTCGGTGTTTTTTTTTTATGTGCCATTGAATTATCCATCACGTGTACTGTTTCAGCAATTTGCGTCGAATGTTGTATCTTATGGTCACCAAGAGACATGTTTTTTTAAATTTTTTATGGGTGTTTCTTTCAAGTTAAACCACTTCCCTGTTTTAGTTCTCTATCTTCTCAAGAATTTAGGGGGTCGATTGTCTCTTGGCACAATTGTAATAAATATATTTCTAAAGATCTTTTACTGTTTTTTTTTTGTTGTTTTTCTTTGTTGTAAGATAAGTATAATTTTAGCAGTAAATATTAGAATTACTTAAAAAAAAAAAAGTTGTGAGTTCACCTGTGCATGTGCCTTAACAGAATAGGCAGAGATTTAATATTGCCAGCACTAAGGAAAATAATTGCATAGAGCTGGGAGCTCCCACAATAATTTGACTTTCGTGTTTAGTGGGCCTTTACTTAAAGAACAACTTCGGTCGAAAACGAAACCAAACTAAACGACTGGTATCTATCGCTTTAGTGGCAGGAAATATGATCACAGCTGAAACATTACGTCAGTGATGCCGCATACTCCAGTGAAACCGATTTTAAAGATGCGACCAGCTGCTCTTTAGCAGGCACCAAGCGGGTTAGCTTTTAGTCAAGGAACACTGGTGCAGCACCCTTGTGACATCACGTCGTGGTGGAGTTGGGGTTGATTGGTTGTACCGTGTACCGCAGCACCTTTGTGATATCACGTCGTCGCCGTATGGCTGAGGATGACTGTTCCCTTCTCTCTAGCAGGTAGTTTCAATTTTGCCGAAGATGCCTGAAACAAAACTTTGAGCCGTGATATTTATAAAGCTATACACAATATAGAAAAAAATTATACCTTGTAATTCAGAGACACTGCTTCAGCTAAAAACAGTCGTAATTCCAAATTAAAAAGATATTAACCGTAGTAGCCCTTTAATCTTGATTACCAAGAACTATGACTGCACTGCTACTTAAAGAAAAAAAAAATGTTGATTTTAGTTGTCTAACAGTCCTCATACTTGTTTTTGTATCCCCTCAATCATTCAGGCACAGCGAGACCCTGCAGCAGCTGGACAACGGGGTGAAGGTGCCTCCACACGGCTGGCGGTGCGAAATGTGCAACCTGACGGAGAACCTCTGGATGAACCTGACGGACGGAGCCATCATGTGCGGCCGCAAGTTCTTTGACGGGAGCGGGGGCAACAACCACGCCTTGGACCACTACAAGAGGTCTGGCTTTCCCCTGGCTGTTAAGCTGGGCACCATCAACCCGGATGGCGCCGGTGAGTCCCGTGTAGGGTGTTTTGTTTTTCATTCAAATGTCTCATTCTAATGGCCTATGTGGATGTCTGATGTGCATGTCTCATGTGCATGTGACATCCATGTTTCATGTGCATGTCTCGTGTGGAAGTTACATGTGACATCCATGTTTCATGTGCATGTCTCATGTGGAAGTCACATGTGGATGTTTCATTTCTCATTCTGATATCCCTTGTGGATGTCTCTTGGGATGTCCTGAGTGCATGACTCGTGCAGATAACTCTTGTGGATTCTGTTTATGGGGATGCAAAAGGGGCAGTTTGGTTGGGGTTATAGATTTCTTGTTGTGGAGTCTGGCCGTGCTCAGTAAACATACCCCAGGTCGAGATTGAATGGTTTTGATAAAATCCAGATCGTTTTGCAAATTGAAAAAAATAAAAAAATAATGGAGGCTGCGGTGTGTCATCTCTTTGGAGCCAAGAGTTGTGCTATTGGACAAAGGCACTGAAGAGGGCCGCAGTCATTGCAAATATAGAGACGAAAGAAACACTTGGGACATGTTGTAACATTAGTTGCTGTGAAGAACAATCATGTTTGCAGCAAATTATGTAAAACTTTTTATTGAATTTGAAAGTTCTTATATTACTGACATGGTCACCCTACTTCGGGAATTTCCTCCAGGTAAGAGGAAGAAGTAAACAGGTTCCTGCAGCACTAAGAAGCATTTAGGCTTTGTATACCACTGAGAGTTGAAAGGCTGTTAAAATTTAATTCAACGTCTTTTTCGCTAGTATCATTCTTCAAACTTTATCTTTTTTTGTACAAAATTGTAGGACAATGTTCCTTTGAAGCTTAACCACTGTGACTTTATCTGTCGAAAAATGGGTGCTGCAGCAGACCCAGCGTGGTTATAAAAAAAAAAAAAAGCAGGGCCAGTATCAAAAGGCAGAAAGCTGTTTGCTAATAAGAACAACAAATATGTTGCGTATAATGAGAGCCTGCGATTCGATCGAGCTAAGAAATTGAAATGCAAAGACAGGAAGTTGGACATATGCTGAACAGGGTCTCCGAAGATACCTACCTTTCTTGGATCTTTTACACGAGTGAAAGTTGCGCTGCCAACCTTTCAATAAAATGCCGAAATAAAACAACTTTTTTCTTTCCTTTTCATTTTTAGACGTGTACTCCTACGACGAGGACGACATGGTACTAGACTCTAACCTCACCAAGCACCTCGAGCATTTTGGGATCCAGATATCCAAGATGCACAAAGTGAGTGGCGGTCCCTTTCGTCCCTCCCCACCGGCGAGACACGCTAAGCTCAGGTGCGGCGCCTGGAACGCATCTTTAACTTTTTGCTGACAAATGTTGCCTACAGGCAACAAACCACATATTTTTTTTGTTTATGAGTTTCGGTTTTATCATGTTTTTTGATCTAGTAGTCGGGCAACTGTCTTGAAGATTTAAACTGCAGCACCATCTAATGAAAAGACGCCCAAATATTTGACAAGAAAAAAAAAGTTTGGCGCACAGATACCAGAACGGCGGAATGGAGAAAAATGTGGATAAGTGTTTTTCTCTCGCCACTCATATTTTACAGTTGGTGACCATTTTACTCGAGGCTATCGTATGCGCAGATATTGAAATTTTATGGTTACCCTTGGAGCTTACGCAAGGGAGCCACCTTCGGACTTTCGCCTGGTGTTGCCCACAGACAACAGAAAAATAACTTGCAAATTAACCTTACAAATTTTTGTTTTCATTATTTCAGCTCTTTTTTTTATTTGATATTGTTAAACGTTAATATTTAAAAAAATTAATGTTTTAAGAATTTTTATATATCATCAATAAAGGGTTAACCGGTGTTTTCAACATCCTACACTGCACTTGCATCGAAAGTCGGCAAATGCCGTAATCCTGATGGTGGGTGTACAGAGGCTTAAAGGGGTAGTGTAGTTACCGCGTAGCCTCCACCATGCATCGGGAACGGCTGCTCCTTGGAAGACGGTGTAGGTGGCGCTTCGATCTGCAGCTCCGTTGGGTGCCTCAATCGGCCAGCAGATAGAGGCACCCTAACACGCTTTATAACTAATATAAATACATAAAAAACAATTATTTGTTTCCAGTGAACTTCCAACGACATGATTTGTGGTTGAAGGTGAATAAAAATGTGAAACTAGCAGACGACAGTGTAGTCGACAGCTGCGAATCGGCCGGAGCTGGCCGGAGCCAAGCTGACCAAGCCGCTAATCCGGAGCCATAACTGAAACGACGGTGGTGCAAGCGCCAGCGCCACCCGCGGCCGTCTTCCAACGCTGTGCCGCTTCTGCGGTTTCGATCGTTACACTACCCCCTTTAAGCCACTGTAGTTAATGCTAGAAGCCCCGGCAGAGAGTAAGAGCGAACGCGAGTCTTGCTGTTGACGCGGACTCCCAGCTCGTGTCTGCCGAGACTTCCGTAGACTATCAAGCTGGAGACCGACCTGTAGCAGATTAAGCATCTACTGCATCCTCCACCGCTGCCGTGACGCCGCCAGGATCACGGCAGGCGACGGCGTGACACTTTTATGACGTCAAGCGGGAATGGAGATACCACATTTGGGGATGCAATAAACACACCAATCGGGGATGCGCTCTTGAGGTTTGATTTTGGTCGAGGAAAGAGCGAGAGCTTCCTCGGCTGCCCATTGGATCTGGCGTTGCAGCTTACAGCTAGGTGTACGTTAAAGACCAGTGAAATTTTTGACCCCCCTGCAAGTCCACAATTAAGCGGTATTTGGCGAGAACTTCTCATGAACACAAATGGCAAGAGAGTTCTCGCGATTTCTGATGCGCTTGTCGTAAGTACTGCTTCGTTCGCTGGTGGATGTCAGCTTGTGTATGGGAGCGGTACAACTTGAGATGAGAGTTTTACGAAAGAAGTGTGGGCTGTGAATGACTTGTAACTTGAAGTATCGGACAATTGCAAGTTCACCCTGCATCCTATATCTCGTTTCTCCACTGCTTTCTGTTTGCAACAGACAACAGCTTTTTGTTCTCTATCTGTTATTGGCAATTCATGCGACAGACTGATCCGCAGACTGATTGATTACGCGATGACACATTCTCAAATTGTCCGTTCTCCGAGCTCATCCACACGGAAGAGACAAAGAGCAGATGACGAGAACAAACCTAACCTGTTTGCACTGTAAAAAAGTTTTAAATATTTTATTATTAGTTGATTTCAATATTTGAGGAAGTAGAAGGAAAGGAAAATAATACAAATACATATTTCATTGCATCTCTACCAACCGTATAGTTTCTTTCATGTTAAGCAGAGCACGCTCGAAAGCTGGGACACATACTAGCGAATAAAAGAGCACGTTTAGATAAGTGATGCATGCTATGATGTCAGGCTTTAATGCAAAAGCATTAACTGTCCTATGGAGCGAGCTGACGTCATCACTTTGAAGTGCCAAAACAGCACCAAGTTTCCGCAATCGCCTTCGGTTCCATTGGCTGGTGCGCGTCGACGGCGCTTCCATTGGCCGCTGCGCTCGTGAGTTTCCACGATCGCTCACCCCATGGCACTGCGTGTCCATCAGCGCGCCGTTAACACGAAGCGTCCAAGGTCACCAGGGGAGCACGCGCGCTGACCGGCGACGAAAAGTAGGCAGCAGACGAGAAAGGGAGCGGACGAGCGGCTTGCATGCTTTGGCATTCACAACTCATAACAAGTGCTTAAGGGTACCTCGAGCTTTTTTGATGCTGTTTGATTGGTCTTTCGGCTCATAGAGTCACCTGCGCTTTGACTGTAGATGAAACGAGGTGTAGACATTGCTCATAAATTGCGCTGGCCTCATCATCGTCTGAATTTCGAGACTATGGCGGCAACGTCAGGAGCCGAGTTTTGAGAAAAACTTTCCAAAATAGTGGGATGGTGACTACTGTTACAAGACAGAACCAGGGTCTTTTACTCCTGACAATACCACTTGATTATGATGTCTGCCACTTGCCTCTATGTTGTAGCTGCAGTGCACCATACGTGGCATATATGCCATTCGCGTCAACGTCAACCTTCACGGTCTTACAGAAGCGCGCATGCGTCAAGCTTCACACCTTTGCGTCGGAGTGCTAGGAGAAGCGGCTGATGTGGGAAGCACATGGATTAGCATGATAAGCTGGGAAATTATGCTCTGTACAATTGCAGGTTGACCTTCTTTGGTCTTGGCTGTAGGTTGATCTCTTATTTTAAAGAAAATTTCAAAAATAATAACACATTACCTGACGTTGACCTGCTTATTGCTAGCATCAGATAAATGCAAGTTACCATATTTATTCAAATACATATCTAATTTTTTTTTTGTCCCCGAAATGTTGTCAAAAATCAAAGGTCGACCTATAATTGTGATTAAAATTTCACGACCCTATCCAGTCAACGAGCCGTACGGAGGCTACTTTCCCTTCTTGTTCCTTCTTGTTGCTCGCGACGCTTGCAGCTTGCTGCAATGCTTATGTCTTTGTATGCAATCTTTCGCCGCTCCGCCCAGTGATGGGATTGCTGCACCAATTGCACCAAACTGCGCCAAGGGGCTAACCCTGCTACATTTTGCCAAATAATGGATAATCTGTGCCAAGCCTGCACCAAAGGACCAATTTTGGTCGCCTTTCAAAACCGAAACTATTCTGAGAACCTAATTGAGCATGCGTGAGGTAGGTGGCGCAAGTGACAGCCTGACACGAAGTACCCTGCACCAATCGACCATCCGGTCTTGCGTGATCTAAGGGTCTCGTCCCGCGTCCTTTTTTAAAAATATTTTCAACGATGGACGCGGGTGTGTGCGGACGCTCCGACGCTAGTATACCGGATGCCAGCCATGCCGTCGTGCTGTGAAACAAAACCACAATTTTGCGTGGCGATAGTTACTTCGTGAGCTGAAGCACTCGCGCGACCACAGTCAGTGTTCGCGCGACGTCGGGTGTTGTCGTCCCCACGCCGCTGCAGATATGGCGCTTTCTAAACTGAAACGTAACTACTGCCACATGTTCATCAACATTTCTGTTCTTGTTTAAATCATACGGTACTACAATAATCCTTTCTTAACTCGGACTGTTTGTCGAAAGATTGAGATTGGTTACCAAAGTTTCTCTCGGTGGGCTTTTTTTTTCGAGACGGACCTCGTTACGTTAAAAATCTGCCGTGAAAGAAAGTTGGTGAAGACAAGTGAGCTAAAGCAAAGAAGGCAATGTCTGTACGCTGAACCTGCACAGCGTATTTGTTTGCCTCAAGTTCAGTCGTTGGACGAAGTGCTCCAAGAACGTTTTCACCCTTGTTTGAGATGTTAACCATCGATGCGCTCAGGTTCTTTAATTCTTTGTGTTTAGCTTGTACCTTGCCTGCCAGCCTGGCAAGCACGCGCCGCTGGACTGTTTTTTGTCGTATGCTGGACAGTTACATTTTGCATACAATTTTGGAAACCAGTTGGCAATGGAACGGAGTGGCATGGTTTCGGTTCCGATTGAACAGCCGTTGTCTCCGCTCGTGCGACGAAGTACGTGCTACTGCAAGCCTGCCGAAGTTGCCCTCATGTGCATGTGAACATGATTGCACGACAGAGGCGCCAGCCGGGACGCTTGCAATCCATTGTTTTACGTTTGCTTACTTTTGACAAAAATCTGGCACGTCGGGAACCAATAAAGCGGTGGCATGCGATTTTTCGGAATCCCTCGGCAACGCCTACAGCACTGTACACTTGCGGATGTCTCGACAGTAAAAACACAAGCAGTGCGTTTCGTCAAAACACTTCACATCACAACACAGCACAAAGTGCCCTTCATTTGTCCAGCACTTAAAACAAATATATTTATTTTTCTAAGAATATCTGTGCCAAAAGCCACTTTTGCTGCTCCAAAACACTGTTTTGGCTGCTTGAAATGCCCCTTTTGCTGCTCCAAAACACTGCTCTGGCTGCTCCAAAAAGACTTAGGCCAATCACATCACTGTTTGCCCATCTCCACCCTCTTGCATTTCTTGTTGTCGCCATTTTGCAAGGGTGTCGGTGAGGTATCGTTGCGAATTAATGAGGATGTCGACAAACTGACGAAGCTTCCCACGACGATGACATGTCTGGAAGTTCTGTAGATGACTAAGTCTTTGGAATTGTGCTGTGATTTAGTTGAGAGGGCTGTAAATAAAGGTTTGATTCATTATTTTGCCCAAACTTCTGTTCTTAAAAAACAAGGTTTACCTATATTCAAAGTATTTTTCTTTTTTTATTCTCGGCAAGTTTAAGGGGGGACTCTGGCTAGAGACTTAACTTCTGAACTACTCAAGTGATTGGAATGAAATTTCAGGAGATTTAACATGAGGCACGGGTGTATTCTGCAAACTTTCAGCTCTCTAGGACAATTTTACATATCTGCATAAGATGTGTCATTCTTTGTTAAGAAATCTATGATATGCAAATGAACCTATTAAGCGCCATTTTGACTGCTTGACTATAAAGTGGGGGATGTGGGACTTCGGGCTATCTTGTTTTTATAACTTAAATGTAAAAATTACAAGACGAGTCATTACCTCAAAATAGAAAATTCATATCTGTCCTATGTCAATTTTGGAAAACATGTTTTTTTCTCAATGAGGAGTTTTTAATAACAAAATAAAGTAGATAGCCCGATTCCTCAGTAAATTTCAGTTCAGAAACATCTTGATTGAAGTATCAGAATACTTTTACCTTCGAGCAAAAGATTCCTTCGTATGAAATTTGCAGCAAAAAGTGGAACTGAGAAAAATCCATTCAAACTTTGAACTCTCTTACTTTGTTAGTGCCTCACAATGTGTTGAAAATATTTTATATCAAAGAAATTAAATGGTTATGTTTATCAAATTTAGTGTAGGGGTGTATAATTAGTTTCTAAAACCTAAAAGCTCAAATCTAAAAAACTAATTTTTTAAAAAAAGATTTGAAATTTAGGTTTATGTCCCCCCTTAATATAAAGGCATCAACCTATATTTGCGATTGACTTATATTCGAGTAAATACGGTAAATGTTTGTTGCCTATTTCCTCCACCAGTTCCCTCACAATAAAAACTGTTTCCTATCTATCTAGTATTACGAATACTAAGGATGATGCTTTCAGAAAACACACATGGTCTCCTTACGTTTACTATTCTTGTCACCTTCTGATTCTAAATGCAAGATCATAAATATATATCTTCTTATTGCAAATTTTTTCCTACTACTAGTAAACAAGCCTGAGCAGTTGCCATAAGTAATTAACCTTTGAACCCTTGTGGTGTCTGTCATCTACATCATCACTCTGGCTCAGTGCTAACGCTAATTCCTGTGCCTCATCCTCGCATGCATTGGGTATGCGACAGTAAAAATGGTAAAATCATGCTGCAAAACTATTCACAGAAGTTGTGCACATTATGACGTAATGCAATTAGGTGGTGTATACAAGTATCGGACTACGCTTTTTAGAGTAAGTAAAGAAAGCACAGTGAAATTAAACAAAAAGCAGGAATACAGCATATCCGCCAAAATGCGGAGGGGAGAGTGGAGCAACAAGTTGAAGCAATCTAATGGCGGTGCCCCTGCAACCTAGGGTGACAAGGTCTATAGCACAAGGTCCCGGTCCCTTGCTTGTCGGCTTAATTGGCGGCGCTGATTGACCCCGTCATCTCGTGGCACACTCTGCAGACGGACAAGTCAATGGTGGAGCTCGAGATCGACATGAACCAGAGGATAGGGGAGTGGGCGGTGATCCAGGAGTCTGGGCACCAGCTGGTGCCTCTGTATGGCCCCTCGTACACTGGCCTGGCGAACCTGGGCAACTCGTGCTACCTCAACTCGGTCATGCAGGTGGTCCTCGCTATCCCCGAGTTCCAGAACAAGTGAGGGTCCTGTCCTTTCGCTCTAGTTTGACCAAGGGTCAGGAAAAATCGTGAGGATCCGTAGGTTTAAGTAACTGATGGGACGAGAACGGAAGGGAGGAGCTCCACTTCTCCACCGTTTGACCTTCCTACCTTCGCCGACGCTTTGGCGTCTCTTGAGCCTCGTGTGTGCATGTGCAGCCAAAGCACGGTGGAAGGCAATGAGTGCACACTGGAGACTGGGCCTCTGAAAGAGACACCCTGCCATTCTTATCTTTCGTTGACTATAACTGTAAGAGCTGATCTTAAACCGCAGGTTCACGAGAGAAAGCAAAATCTAGTTTTTTTGGTGCAGAAAGCCGAAACTCTGCGTGAATGTGACACTATCAATGGTGAGGAAATGTGAGAGTTTGAGAATGTTACTAGACTTAGGTCAAAAGATATAAAAGAGACTAAATGTTTCTACGAGCTGAACTTTGCCAAAGCCCATAATCTCTTCAAAGGGTGTTCCCACGTCTGATCGTACTATGACTGCCTGGGCCATATTTTTTATATGTTTGTAGGAAATATATGTGAAAGCTATGTTCTTGGGAGGAACATTGAGCTATGTCTGAACGCTGTAGCTTAATTTTTCATAGAAATATAAAATTGAGAAGCTCGAGGTGTGGACATTACCGAGATTTCACTACGGCAATTTTCACAGCCGCCAATGTCACACTGAAGCAGGCACGTAGTTAAAACTTTACAGCGGAGCTGTTAAGGGCTAGTTTCCCCAGGATCGTGTCAGTCCTCAAATGACCTGATGACACAGAACTCTGGACAGCTATTGCCCTCTATGAGTGACGGCAGCAACCAGACAACCGACTTGCCGCTTGTCTGGTGGCCGCCGTCGCAAGCCACAGTGGAAAGGTTCGAAAGGTTGCCGCCATCTATAAGCGATGGTGGCAACCAGACAACTGGCTTGTTGGTTGTCTGGTTGCTGCCGTCGGCACCATTTTAACTGCTTCAGTATAATGTTGGGGATGTGAGACTTCGTGCTATCTAGTCTTTATAACTCAAATGTAAATATTTCACGAAGATTGATTACCTCAAAATATGAGATGCCTATCTGGCCTATGTCAATTTTTGAAAACATTCTCTTTTCTCAATGAGGTCTTTAATGTAACACAAAATAAAGTAGATAGCCCGATTCCCCAGTAAATTTCAGTTCAGAAACATCTTGATTGCGGTGTCAGAATACTTTTACCTTCTAACAGGATTCCTTCGTACGAAATTTGCAGCAAAAAGTGGAACTGAGAAAAATCCATTTGAACTTTGAACTCCTTTACTTTGTTACTGCCTCACAATGTGTTAAAACTATTCTATATCAACGTAACTATTTGGCACATGGTTATGAAATTTACTGAAAGGGTGTATAATTAGTTTCTGAACCGAAAACGCCAAAATTGAAAAATGCAAATTTTTTAAAAATATTTGAAACTCTAGCTTATGTCCCCCCTTAAAGAGAACCCTATTGTAGATGTAAGATTGCCATATAATTGTCCTTGCCGAAGTCATTGAGAGTATTAAGAGGCAAATGAAATGGGACCATTCAGGTCGCTCGGAAAATGTTAAATGAATTTGAGCTCTTATCGGTCGTACTGCCCAGGACAAAGCGAGCAGCATTTCTTTCTACTCTTTCTAGGATGTTAATATTTGGGTACTGTTCATTAGTTCCGCCGCACTACAAGCTGTTCCACCCCATTCTTTCCCCAGGTATTACGAGGACGCCAACCGAACCTTTGACAACTCCCCTCCCGATCCTACTCAAGACTTCACCGTCCAGATGTAAGTTGCTGCTGCTCGTGGTCTTGCTTCTTTTGGTGCAAGCCCAGCATCTGTCTCGGAGGAGTCGGAGTGTTTGGAAATATAAATGCTGTTTTGGCATACTCATTCCTATTCACCCTGTAGCTGTGCACCCAGCCAGAATGGTCTACAAGTGAAAGAGAAAGTACTTAAAACAACCATTTTCTGGAAGATTCTTACTTCCAAACACAACATTTCAGTTGCTAATCATACTATGTTTTGTTGTTGCTGTGAAACATCCTCACATCCAATGCTGGAGAATGCCTTTTACTGCGTCAGCTCCACTGGGCCTGTTGGGCTGGGCGAGTGTTGTGTGGCAGGAAACAAGCGAAGGATGCGCGCGTTTATTGCAAGTGGCTTTGGCGCCAGGAGAGGGCGAGTACAGCAGTGATACCCTTGCCCTCTCGCCGATGATGGTCACAGTTGAGGCGCAGTACATTCAACCAATCGCGATTGTGCTGGAGGTCATGTGATGACGGTCCTTGTCACCTGCTCTTTTTCGCCTTCGGTCGCCTGTTTCTTAGGCGCCCTAGGCCTCTTCTGCGCAAGAAAGGGGCGGCCGAAGCAAGCAGTGACTGTTCGACAGCGTAAACGCACCCTTGAGAAAACGTCGTCGACATTTGGGCACCGACGGTTTCACCCTGGGTATTAGGATGGAATGCATTTCACGTCAAGATCATGCTGCGCGTGAATGCGACGCGGCATGTAGAAGAAAACTTTACCAAGCGAAGAATGAACACGCTGGTGCGACCGAGCAATTTGTGCAGTGTATTTCTGCGAGGACGTGTTTGGTGCTAGCCAGGCACGTAGCCGGGGGGTAACCCATGAAGCCGCCCCCCCCCCCCCCCCCCTGATATCTTCCATTTTGCTGGGTCCTCCTCTCCCCCCTCCCCCTCATACAGCATTTTGTCATGGGCGGGTCCCCCCCGAAACAAAATCCTGGCTACGTGCCTGGTGCTAGTGTTTTGTGTGCGATTGGTTGTGGTGTACAAGAGACACCGCATGACGCAACATCACCGAAATTTCCAGTCAATCATGATGCTATGTCATTGAAATGTCGCACCAGCGGACGCCTTCCATTGGCATCACGTCACGTAATTGTCCGTGCAATTTTTAGGGGCGAAGCTCCTTAGGGTCTAGCCTTGTCCGTCCAGCGTTCGTGCTCACATCGATCTTGATGGTGCTCGTGAGCTCACGTGCTCTTGTAGGGCAAAAAAAAAAAAGAAATGTTTGCGCAGTTTACAGGATTCTAACCTGTGCAGGGAGACCCCAATGGATTTCTAGTCCATCGCCTTAACCACTTTGCCACGACTGTGGGACGAGTAGGGGGCTCTGAGATGTGGTAGTAACTCAAGAGCTGGGGATGTCACAGATGAAATGTTGCATGTAGCCGCTCAACGTCTATACAAGAGAGGGCGCTGCGGTCACATGCGTATATAATCGCGTTAAACTTTGCATGCATTGGCTCAACATTTATAGATGAGAGGGCACTGCGGTCGAATGCTCAAATGCGTATATAACCACATTCCATACCACACATTCTCTTTCTGACATGGATGAAAACTAACGAAAGGCTCAGCATGCTGCAGCTCAGCGTCTACGCAGACGAGCACCACCAGAGCTTCACCCCAATCAACATCATTCACCACGTGGAGATGCGGTCATTTTTTCCTGGTCTGTACCTTAAAACTGTACCTTTTGTTCCTTTTTTTTTTCAGGACCAAGCTTGCTGCTGGTGTTCTTTCTGGAGATTACTCCAAGGAGCCAAGCCACGAAGGCAGTGGTCAGGTGGTAAGCAACAAGGTGTGCACGCTGTCATGGCTGGGGGTGATGGGGAGCCCTGCAGGCAAGGGGGAATGTCCCAAGCATATTGGGTCGCTTGCACTTGTGCTGCAACTTTTTATGCACATTGGAAAGAACTTTGTTGCTTGTTGTTGATGTTGGTTGATCTGATGCAATGCATGTTTTGCTGAAAAGTTTTTGTTTAACATGCACAATGTCTTTATAGATACCTATAAGGATCTTGCGTTTGTTCCTTTAATTTTTTTTCTTGTCTCGTGGGACTATGGAATTGGTTTGCCTGCTTATTTGTGCTTTTATGCATTCTTCAATATGGTAAAATCTCGCACACTAACACATTGTTTAAAAACAATCCCGCAATTGCCCACATTTGGTTTGTGCACCGCAGATTCACGAAGGAAGCGTCTGCACATGCAGTGTCGACAGCAGCACCACTGTAGTGGCACAATGTCGGAGAAGATCCTAAGCACTACTAGATATTTAAACTTGTAGTGAAGCAAATGTTTTTTTTTATCTGGTGTAGTCTTAATTATGGTTCTGGATTTTCAGAGATGATTTGAATGAAATTGAGAGGGCCCTTTTTAGTCTCTTTTTTTATTGAAAATCTAGCATTTATTGGAGTTCAGTTTTGTCATGTTTGGGATTCTTCTACAGACTTGCAAATAAATTGAAATAAAAACCAGATGCAAATGTAAAAAGACACAGTAGGCAATTTTAATTACGAGCAATTATCCCCAAAACACAAAATACAGCCCCTGCGTTATAGCAAATAGTATCGGGCATACAAATGCAACTTAGTCCTTTGGAAAAAATTGGGAGGTGTAGTCGAACCCGGTTATAATAAAGTCTTTGCGAATCCGAAATATGTTTGTTATATCCGAAATTCGTTGCATCAAGAATCTGCAAAAAAAAAATCACGATTTTTTTTAATGCATCGGACAACTGGTGGCATGCAGCATATAGCACAGGCTTTTATAACAACTGTCCTACTTTTGTAGATTTTTACTGTAAAGTAGCCATAATAAAGCCGCAGTTTTGTTTATCACAATTGTGGCCATGCACGTGCATGTTAACGCTCCCGGAGGTGCACTTTTCCTTTTGACAATTTGCACAATGCGGGAAAGCGAGGAGCAGCGGATAAGCGGGGTGCATACATTCAGCTAGCGCGGCTTCAGATCGCAGTGTGGTGAATATGGCAGTCTCTTGTGACACGCTTTTCAACGGACCGAGAAAGAGAGCTTACTACTAGAGAAACTTAACAGGTGACAATCCTTTGGGAGTCTATACAAGAAACGGGAATCAGCTACTGCACGAGCATGTTTTGCTGGTGCGTGTACGCAGTCTTGGAGCACCCAGGTTCGTGCAAAAAAAGATATTTTTTTCTGACGTTTTAATAAGGATTTTGACGATGGAAGTCCCTTTAAAGGGACGGTGAACCGAAATCTGGATTCCCCAGAACACGCCGCAAAAGCGTGCAACGGGATACTACAAACACCAAAACATCACTCATACAGCGATATCTCGAACGGATGGCCGTATTTTAAAAAAAAAAGAGGCGCATTTGGCAGGAATGTTGACGTCATGTTTCTCCGAGAAGGAGAGAGAACGGCCTGGCGTCTTCTCCGCCTCGCAGCCTTGAGGGAGCGAAGCGAAGAGAGAGGGAAACTAGGTATCTTGACGTCACGCGCCTCGTCGGCCTGGTCCAATTTTGACTTCTTTTTCCAAAAATACGGCCGTCCGTTTGAGATATCGCCTTACTAGTAGTGTTGTAGGGATTTTAGCGTCCCGCCTACATCTCTAGCATTGTTTTTTTGAAATCCGAATTTCGGTTCACCATCCCTTTAAAGGCAGCTTTAACAATCATTCGCTGTGACAGGCGCACCAAACGCCTTCACGTGCTTTCCAAAATTTTCGATGGAGAGATGAGGCGGCCCACAGTTTGATCTTCATTTGTCATCCGAACATTAACCTAGAAACCACACAGTTAGCACGTGCGAGAGAGAAAAAGAAAAAAAAAAAAACGCAGACGAGGAAGCCTTGCTTTAAGGTCGCCGATTCAATAACACGAGCGTGGAAGAAAAGGGCAAGTAGGGTGGCAGTGGAAAGAATCGAGAGAAGAGAGAGAACGCCATCTGTTGTAGAGCTGGGAAGGTATTTTAGATCAGCTTTTTTAGACGGCGCAGTGCGGCACAGCTTGCCGCCCAATCCCGTGGCTCTTAAATTAGGCAAAGGTGACTTAAATTATCGCTGTGTTCACATTCATCTTTCCATAAGTGAATTGTCATATTCCTAATGCTACACTCGGAAATGAACTTGAAACGTATCCAGGCAAAAACAAAGAAAACAGCATACAGCAAGTTCCAGGTTTTATTGTGGACAAAAGTAGGTGTTGATGCTCAACTGCCCGCGGCGGCTCAGTTGTCCGCATGATCTGTGCTTCGATCGTGTCCAGCTGAGAAAAAAGGTTGCGTCCGACGGATGTGCCAACACAGTATTCTTCGAGCACATCAACTGCTGACACAGCTGCTCCAGCAGATGCTGACTTGGCGGCAGGACTGCTGTCATCATCGCTCTCGCTTGTAGACTCTGCTTCCGCATCAGCAGCGCAGTGGGCCAGTGCTTCATCAAGGTCGACGCCCGCTGGGACGTGATGTTCTTGAGCCATCTTCTCTCGGAGCTGCTCCAGGAGTGCAGAAAGCTCGCAGGCGGTTTCAGTTCCACTGATTTCTGTAGTCGCCTTGTCTGTGCCGTCGTTTGCTTGCGATGCCCGTGTTCAGGAGAAGCCGCCGCTCTCTAAGCAATGGGCAATGGTCTCATGCTTGACATCCCTTCATGCCCCACTGGCGAAACGCACTGCCTTGGCCATTGTAACTTTCCATTCTTTTAGTCTTGTTGGTGCGAATATTGATCAAAGGCGTTCGATCAGGCAGCGACGGTAGTGAACTTTCAAGTTCGCGATCACACCCTGGCCCATCGGTTGGAGCTTTGCAGTGGTGTGAAGCGACCCGGGTCAATGTCGAGAAAGTCTGTTTGAGTCCGGGTCTTGCGATAGAAGGGAAAGACACTCCTCACAAAAACTAGTGTCCTCTCATTTCCCTTGGTTCAATTTCAGTGGTAGTTCGCAGAATTCTTACCACACCGGATTACTCTTGAATTCAATGCGACTGAACCCGCTTTCCGTTCCTTTCCCTTCCCGTGTGCGTTTTGTTCTTTCGCCTGCCTTGTTCTCCCTGCTGCACCTGACCCCCGACTTCGCGAGATGGGTAATCGCCGGGATGTGCATTGCAGCGAAGCCGGACCCGTCGAGCGCCGTGAATTTTGTAGAGGAAGTCGCCCGGCGCCGAAGCGCACCGCATTTTAGGATAAAAGATTTTTTTAAAATTTATGCTGAAGCTCTTGTACGTCAGTTTTTGCCTATTTTCATTTAATTATTTCGCAGATTTATCACTTTTTTTTTGTTCTATCTGCACCGCCGCTTCGAGTGATTTTTAAAAGTGGGCTTAAATCACATTGAAAGTATACCAGCAGGAGCATGACATGAAAATTTGTTTGCCATATCGGATATTTCGCTATTCCCGGCTTCGTTATGACTGGGTTTGACTGTACGGAAGTGCAGCATGCTTCGAGCTCTTCTCATCGTTCGAGTGATAAAGCTTTTCTGGAACCAAAGGTATACCAACTATAACCATGCTAACCAAAGCTACTCTCCGAATGTAGTGGATAAGGTAGTGGATTGCTGAGAGGGATCGGTGGTTCGATTCCCGCCGGAGACAGTTTTTCGTAAAGGCAGCTGGCCGTTTTAAAAGTTTTTCATTGGTACGGCATTTTATAGCTGGGTTCTAAGGCCATCCGGGCCTTAGAACCCACCCCTAAAATGCATTCTGCATTAACACTGCCTCCTCCTCTCTGTAGGAGCTAAAGTGGCCTCTTATTGGGAAGGCACTTGGTAGTTGGCACATTTTAGTTTTTTTTTTTTTTGGTACCATACCGTGGACACCCTGCCATTGCCCCGGTTGTGTCGGATGCACCAACTCGATTGGACTTGGCCTCTCGAACGGCATGTGGTGTACTTCCTCAGGAACAGCAAGGCATCAAGCCGCTCATGTTCAAGACGCTGGTGGGGAAAGGACACCCTGAGTTCTCGACCAAGCGGCAACAGGACGCCCAGGAGTATTTCCTGCATTTTCTCAATTTGGTGGAGGTACGTTCCATTGAACATTCCTGGCGAAGGGCCTTTGAAAAAAAACGTCTTCATCATATTTCATAAACACGGAGATGCACAAAATGTGTTGAAAATGAGCTGGGCATATGCTGTGCAAATGCGTGTACGTGTAACGTGGTGTCACTGGACATATGGATGTGTGATGTCGCAGGACACATGACCTTGTGACAGATGTTGAAAAAACGTCATCATATTTCATAAACACGGAGATGCACAAAATGTGTTGAAAATGAGCTGGGCATATGCTGTGCAAATGCGTGCACGTGTATCGTGGTGTCACTGGACATCATGGATGTGTAATGTCGCAGGACACATGACCTTGTGACAGATGTTACATATTGTCAAGTGACATCAGGGTGTAACGGCTTCATCTGGCATCACGACATCCCATGGGTTTTATGGGCTTGTATACTCTTATAAGTGGGGTTCCGTGTTGGGCTATTTATTTTTTTTTTTTTTTTGGAATCTAGGGGCGTTTCTTTGGGGTTTATGTTTTCTCAAAAGTTCCACGTTTTCCGGTGTTGAGCAGAAAATCTGCATTTATTGGGGCAATATATTTTGAAGAAGCACGGAATCCCCCAACCTGCAGGATCTCACACGTGACTTGCTTACTTGGAGAACATTCCCAGGACAGATTACAGAAGGAAACGAAACAGTGGGTGTAATTCTCTAAGAGAAACTCAACTGTTCAGCACGGGTTGTGTCTCAGATCACAAAATATTGCTGCCGATAATGACTTTTTTTCTTAAACTCGGGTTCTTCTTCGGGGACAGCTCCAATGGACTACTTCCAAAGATCCTCGTATGCAACACTGCGAGCGTTGCGTTATGGTACCTCTTTGGCCATGGACGAGAGTGGCATAATTTCGATTTCGATCGCCCCGTTTACAAAGTAGTACATCCTGGCACTGCGTGAAAATAAAGTGGGTGCTCGCTTGGATTGCACCCATACATCTTTGGAGAGCCACCGTTGAAACGCAGACCTCCGGCGACCGTAAGGGCCTGCCTAGGCTAAGCGAGGAGTAGGAGTATGGTTGGCAGCGTCTCTTACCTTTCTGGTGGTCTGGCTACCAGTCCAGAGCGAAGCGTGACCCTACTGGTAGACAGATAAGTCAGGAAGCCCATTGAAGAGAGGGAACAGGACGACCGGACCAGTATAATTCCTGTCCGTCCAGAAGTGCCTTCGTAGTCCCGTTTTCATGTGCGCAAACTCTGGCACGTCGGGAACCCCCGCAAAAACATGGCCCAGCATTTTATTCGTATTGGTAGGCAGCACTTCCATTTTAATACAAATTTAAAGAAAGTCGCATACTTCAAAATGCAAGCATTGCATTTGATCGTAGCGGGATGTCATGAAGCGAGGTTGGCAAATCGGAACCGAAACTGTGGGCAAGGTGTACCAGATGCCTTGCACGGCACCACGTTGCTAGGATCGCTTAGATTTTGCGCGAGGTCAATTCGAGTTGTTTTTGTTTTGTTTTTTCTCGGTTTTTATGTGTTTTGATCAAACTGTTTTGGCAGTCTTCTTTCGGGGTTTATCGGTATCTAGCGAAAACACGGAACTTTACTTATAAAGGACCCCATGGGGCTTATACAGTATGTGTGTAAAACTGGAATCTGATGCTGGAACGTTGTGGTTTACTTGTGTAGATGAACATATAAACACATTGTATATGGAAAGAAAGCTGTAATTAGCTGCTGTTGTCTTGCTGTCCTTCTAGAGGAATTGCAGAGGTCAGATGAACCCTGCAGAGTGCTTCAAGTTTGAGGTGGAAGAGCGCATCCAGTGCATGGCATCTGGCAAGGTGCAGTACACCAAGAGGACGGACTGTCTGCTGCCTCTGCCTATTCCCCTGCAGACCGCCATCAATAAGAGTGGGTCCACTTTCTTTGAGGCTTGTCTTTCTCTGCTCGTCTCCAAGAAGTCCTTCTTTTCAAAGCAGGCTGCTTCAATCGAAATGTTAGCATTATGGTCTGCGACATATTGCTTAAGGGGGGACACTACCCAAAAAAGTAATTTTTGAACCACTTCTCTGATTTAAATTATATTTACAGGGCTTGTTTCTGTTGATGTTGGGAACATTTCTGCCAATTTTTGTTAACCTGGGTGAAGTACAAAAAAAATTGCAAACGTACAAAGACGAAAGTGGGCGTGTCTGCTTAGGAAAACTATCGTTTTGAAATTACTTATAAATTTGTTGTTTTCATGTGTTACATTGCATTAGGAAAGTTCAGAGTAGATAACTATGGAGCTATATTTCTATGTTACACCATCTTTCATGACAAAAAAGCCATATAAACACAAATACAGTTTTTTAGATTTCCATCCTTTGTCCAAACTTTTAGTTCTTGAGCATGAAAAATGACAAAAATAATAAATACAAGCTTATAGTTATCTTCCCCTTAAAATTTCACCCCAGAAACACTCATGAAAATTAATCTAAGTTGCATAATAACAAAACGATAGTTTTCCTAAAGTGAAATTTATGCCAAAAAGAGGAATGGAGAAAAATGCGTTCAAAGTGCTCCAACCTCTACCTTTTCTTTAGCATCGGTGGACCAAAAATAATTTATAAAAAATTAATTATGCAGTGTAAACTAATGAAACTTTCTGGGAATACTCTCCAGATGTTGGTGGATGTAAATATGACATTTTTCAAAATCAACTTTTTTTTGCAGAAATTGTTTTTTCTGGGTAGTGTCCCCCCTTAAACGGGTGAAATGATGTTATCCCATTAGTTTTTTTATGCATTTCATCGTTTTCTTAGTTGTTTTACAGTCAGTATTTCTTGCATGTGTCCACTCTTGCTCGCATGCTGCCCTGTTGACGGAGTGTTTGGAGATGTGCATATGCCTTTTGTCAGTGGCACCTGTGCGATTTTTGTTGCAATGGCACACCAAGAATTCTTTTTCTAAAATTTATTATTGTTCCACTTTGTTCGGGCCTGCAATGAGCTGCAGTATGTTAGAAATATAATGAATAATATAAAGACAGCGTTGGCTTCCCTTGGCTCCTCAGTGATAAAGTTAATCAAATTAATTTTTGATCAGTATTGCTTTTTAATGCTGGGAAAAGTCTATGACATTACCATTTTGTGAGACTATGTAGGGGCACCATGCAAAACATACAACCCTGCTTCTTAGTAATGCCAGTGATAAACAAGCTACAATCGAGCTGGCTATCTGTTGTGTCTGTCTGCTCAGCATGGGCGAATTCTTGTTTCAGCCGAAGTTGATGCCTTCGAGATGCAGCGGGCAGAGCTTCAGAAGAAAGGCGAGAGAGTGTGAGAACTTTTAACTTGTACATTTTTGGTTTGTTGTTTAGGTCTACAGTGTACAATTTTATGAATAGCATAGTAATATATTATGAATAGCATTTAAAGCAGTCCCATTTACATTACGCTTGTCCTTGTCCACTACTTCGTGTTCGTCCTCTGTGTTTGCGCATACAAGTTCACACAGTAGTACCATTTACATAGTGGTTTATCTAATACCCTGAAAGGTGTCCATGCAAAAATTTGAAGGAAGACCAATTGCCATCCAGTATAGCCTTCCCTCTACATTTCTTGTTCCATGAAGTCAGTCTGAAATACTGGCACCTGGATGTACCAAGCTCAACATTTGTACATTTTATTCAGCTGTTGGCTTTGCCTGGTAAAGTATCAGAGCACATTTTCATCCTTTTTCTTTTAAAGCATGAAGAAACTCCTTTTTTTTCGAATTTCTGGGGACCGTCTAGAGATATTACGTTATAACGAAGTCAACGGGACTGCAAAAAATTTGATATAAGTGGTAATTCAATAAAAGCTTTAGAGCCAAAAAACAGCGCCAGCAGTCTTCGAGGTAGATGGGAACACTGAGGAACACTGATCATATATTTAGTCAAACAAACCTTGGTTATAATGTAATATGCCAAAAAATACAGACGAAAACGAAGAGAGAACTGGACAAAACGCCGTGTAACCAATCCAAGCTTGTCCACGGGCTTCATCCTTGGCTGTACTTGGGGCCTTTTTCCAAGACCTGGGTGACATTTGGCGTTGCATAAGCATCTGCCAGGTGACACTATCTGACGAAACAGATTTTCCCTTTTTCGGCAGCGATGCTTGGAGCCTATCGCAGAGGAATTTCGTGACCTGGGAAGCGAGTCGCAGGGGCTCACCATATTTTTTTGCATACCTCTTTTTCAGTGGCTGTAGACCCATGGCTGAGCAACCACGAATCATCCCGAAGTCTGCTTATTTGCCTCCGCCTTTCCGAACGAAGTATCCTGCATATCCTTTTTCCGTGACCTGCTGAAGGTGGCACACCCCCAAGGAGACGGAGCACTTCAGGTGGGTTGAAGCAGTGGCGAATTGCCAGTCACGGAAAAAAGATCTGCAGGATACTTCGTTTGAAGAGGTGGAAGCAAATAAGCAGACTTCAGGACGCTTTGTGGTTGCTCTGTCACGAATCTACAACCACTGAAAGAAAGGCCTGCAAAATATACGGTGAGCACCTGTTACTCTCTTTCCAGGTCACGGAATTCCTCTGGGATAGGCTTTGAGTGTCGCTGCCAGAAAAGATCTGTTTTGCCAGATTGTGTCACCTTTTTGGGAGATGCTTCTGAACTGCCAGATGTGACCTGTGTCTCGGAAAAAGGCCCCAAGTTTAGCCTGGTGCCAAGGCTGTACTTGGTGCCAAGGCCAAGCTTGGTGCCAAGACCAAGCTTGGATTGGTTACGCTGCGTCGTGTCCTGTTCTTCCTTCGTTTTCGTCAGTTTTTTTGGCATATTACACCATTATGCAAAACCAACTAGCCAAACTAGCTATCCTTGGTTATGAACAACAAGCAGCGGTTTCACCAACGAGAAAATAATTAAGTGGAGTTAGCCAATAATTTTATCCAGGCATCAGTTTTCTTTGAACTGCTCCAGGCTTCGCAAGAACACTGCCGCCACCGCTGCACTCCACTTTGTTTCGAAGCAGCCGTAGGATGTTTCGTGTCTACGTAGTCGTCGGAGCTCCCTGAAGTGCCTTTCCGACGTCGCTTCGTGCTTACCCTGGCCGCACGCAAAGTCTGCGATCGCAGCATCCGTGACAGAAACAACAACAGGAATGTCTGCATTGACAAGTGCAAACGAATGAGTTATCCTCAATGGCTTTGCCGACATGTTTTCACACACTCCTGTAGAGACCGTTGCAGCTCTGGGGATTGTGCGCCTGCTCAGCAGTCATGTTCGCGAGAGAAAATCCAACATGCGCAAAGCAGTTGGCAATCTTTCATCTTTAAGTCGCGGGCATGCTTTCTCTTGCATGAGAAACTTCTCGAACCCATCCATTATGCCTTGCTTGTTCTGTAAAACGGTGGACAGAACAGCTGATGCCAGAATGTCGAATTCTTTGGCGATTTCAGACTTGGGCCGGCCACTTTTCTCAACCTTGCAGGTTACGTAACTTTCGGTAAACGCTCTCACTCCCATGACACATGTGCATGTAGCATGTGGTGCGCCGCAGGCGCGCCCATGCAAGCGCGTGCATCGGGGACTCTCGAAGGGTTGATCTCTTCCGGGCTCTACCACTCCCTTGACCCGACTCCAACAGAGTCGGGCAGCGTTAGCCGCGAACGCCTTGAGTAGCGTCGGAACGTAGACGCTGCTCCTGTTGCTCCTGCTCGCGTCGGCGCATCGACATCGGTAGCGGTGCTCTGCCCTTTGTCACCCGTTTGCTTCATTTACTTGTTTGACGTTTTCCCAGTTTGTCGTTTGCCTCGGTGGAGAAGAGGGAGGGAACGCAAGGGTCTCCATGCGCCTCCGTGTGGGCTTGCATGCTTTCGGCACCTCGGCCTTCGTAACAATCATGGTCGGCCGCCGATACACTTAGAGTAACCTGGTTTAAAATGCATGCATTTCGGTCGGGACCACGTTAAACTTGGATAAAAGCGATTTTATGACAATGAGGGATTACTGTAGTTTGTTTAGTTGAAATTGAATATGGTTTGGAACACTGCCATACGTTCGAGAAAGTTGAAATATCAAGTGTAATTGCTTGTTTTTTTTTTTACTTAGAATTACACATATTGTTTTGCGCTTTGGAGGGGGTGCAGAGTTGGGAGGTCGAGGTCATAGAAACTTGGCCAAGGAAGTGACGTCAAACAGACAACTGTGCCGACCGAATTGCATCACCGCGCTCCACACACACGTTCGCTCCCTGATGGCATCTCGGCTGTTGCCGAGAGTTGTGCAGTGCGCATGCGCATCCTTTCTTATCTGCTGGCTTGCTTGCTTCAACGCGACGCGCTCCTGTCTGATTGAAACGCTGATTGAAATGGCGATAGACTTTGCTCTGGCAGCCGGGATTCCACAATATTTGCTTATCGCTCTGGACAGTGGCCGAGCTCGCGTGCTCTGTAGCACGAGCAGTTCATTCGACTCTCTTTTGCGACTCGGCGAAGTGTTAAAAACAATCACACGCAATTTTGCATATCTGCCTCGGAGATGGCAGCGCGGGGGCTGCACATTTGTCTCAGACTCCGAGCCACGGGCATTCGCTACTTGCACACCCGACATCGTCATGCGGCAGAGGCCCGTGGACATTTCTTCAGCTGTGGCCGTAGTTCTACGGAAATTTATGCAGCATAGTGAACCTATGCCCCGACCAATCTTTTTTTACCAAGTTTCGGGGTCATCATTATGGAGTCCACCATATAGCTGTGAATACTAGATTGAGACGCCAGTTTTGTGGAAATTTGTGATGGCATACAGATTTGAAATTTTTTTGTGACATGCCAACATCTTCAGTACTACTATTCTGTAGTTTTCTAAAATAGTATCTAAAGCTCACTAAACTAATTCAATGAACCATATGGTAAGGGGTAACATTTAGAAGGACAAGTGGTGGTTTTGCAGGGACCCTGGTTCCGTGGTGAGGTCCCAGATATCGCTGTCGGCCTGTTTGGAGGCCTTTGCAGGCAACGAGTTGGTGGACGACTTCTACAGCTCTGCCGTGAACAAGAAGGTGACGGCGCAGAAGTGAGTGGGGCTCCTGCTTTGTCACCTATCTGTACTGGTCTCGTAACACTTTTACTAGTTTTCACTTCGAGAACCGTGGTCAGTTAAAGGGGCCCCCCGGAGCTTTCTGCGATCGTCTGTTTATGTTATATTGCGTAGTAGGTGCAAGTTAATATGTATACAAAGTTTTTGATTAGAAAGCCGTTTATTAAGCAGATGGCAGTAGAAATATATCAGGACTATTTTCTCTTGGAAGACATTCCCCCATTCCCTGCCCATCGCTAAAACTTGACCAATGGAAATGCTGCATCTCGCGGTGAATACGAACGTTATTATTGCAACACTTTTTAAGCCTGTTGTAAATTAAAGTTTGAGAAAAACGTAAACTGATTGTGGTGCGGGAAACATAGTCCGCAATTATCGCTCCAAAACCAGCGAACTACGTTTTCTCCCCGCAAGCTTGTTGCTTGGAGGTGATGCGTCGGCGCGTCGGCTCGTCTGCTTCCTGGGGCATATGCAGGCGTGCGTTTGTGGGACGCGTGTTCCTTCTTCCCCCTGGATCCCGACTCCGAAGCCAGCTTTGCGATCCTTCCACTTTTCCTTGTCATCTGTGGAATGCGACTGCGTATTGCAGTAGCCGCGCGACGGTGCGGTGCGACGAACGACGACTGCCGAACACAAAGTCCGGGTCCCTTGACGACGGTCCGCACGCGTTCGAGAGATTCCTCCGCGGGTCAGCGGTCGGCCGCGTTGGTGATGCGCAGTGACGCCAGAATCCTTCGCTTGCTATTGGCTGACGCGTAAAGAGATGGCCCTCCAGTTTTCCCGGGTCATCTCAGAAAGGGGGGCGTGCCGGGGACTTTGATAGCAATTTTAATAGGGAAATCTGCTGCGCATGACCGTAATTTTTTGATTTTTAGGATCCTTAGGGCCTGTAGATTGAGTTACCGCCATAAATAGACCATCGCAGAACGCTCCGGAGGGCCCCTTTAAGGTTGGCTTCTGCCAGAGGATTACTAATTAACCCCTTTACAGTAAAACCTCGTTATAACAAAATGGGATATAACAAACTAATGGATATAACAAAGCAATCATAATTCCCCTTGCTTGCTAATAGGGAAGAAATGGACATTGGCTATAACAAACTAATGGTTATAACGAAATAATTATGATCGCTCCTTCAACTTTGTTATAACGAGGTTTTACTGTATCTGCATAAAGGCACTGGTATAGTATGTTCATTTTACCAAAGCTTACGTGCTTTGATTATTTTAACGCAAACGTGCCAGCATAAGTGGCAGGTTGTGAAGGGCATTAGTAAAATTAGGAATAGAATAAATAAAACAATAAGCATAAAACCAACAAAAAATAAATAAATAGCAAAATTATATAATAAAATGTTCAAATAAAAAAAAAATCAAATGAAACGCAGTTTAGCGCAAGTCGTACATTGAACACTGGTTTGTGTGGGGCAGATACTGTACTTCTCGGTCTTTGTCAACATGATCAAGCTTGTAGGATTTTTTTTTCCTTGCTGCATTTTGGGGTCCTCTTTTCTGCTTCTTCGGTTTCCTTTCTTTTTTTCTTTGTTTTTTCTTTCGTTCCGTGGCCAGCAGAGCTCGTGGCGCAGGTGTTCGACAGCCGGTCACGCTTCACTCACTGTTTTCTAGGCTAAAACAGGGTTAGTTCCGGAAGAATGCAATTCTGCGTTAAGAAATACAGTGCAATCCATTTCTAACGATACCACGTATAACGATGTACTGCTTATAACGATTAGTTTCTATAGTTTCTAGACTAGAAACAATCAGTTTCTTGTCCAGATACAAAGATAATCGGTTATAACGATTGAATTTTCAGGTTTTCTCATTATCGTTATAAGTCAATTGCAGTCTACTTTGGCGGGCATGTGAACTATGCAAACCCCCCCGCTTTTTTTTTTTTTTTTTAGGTGATGGGTGTAAGTGTTGCGGGAAGTGCTGTAAGTTAACGAGAACTTGGGTATTATGAGAGGCTGTAGATGCCGAGGGTAACATTAATTTTGTTTTAAGTCACACCTTGTAAGCAAGTTTTGTTCTTTTATTGTTAACGTTTAATGGCTCCTAGTTTATACCTGATGTTATTATCAGTGTTCATTTTTTTAACTTTGCTGAATTAAGTGAGCACTAATAGCTGTGAGTAGGGATGTGCTTTTTGGTGTATGTTTCCTTGCAAGTTCACTGAATTAAGAGGACTAAGAGTTGCTAATCAGTACGTAGTGGTAGCAGAAAGTGATTGACCTAACGCTTCTGTCTTCTCATTTCCTGGAAATTTACTACTCGACAGAACCACAAGACTACAGACTTTCCCAGACTACCTGATGATTCAGCTAAAGAAATTTGCTATAGGTGAAGACTGGGTACCAAGGAAGTTAGGTAAGAAATCTACTTTTCTATCATTGCTGCTTTGTAAGTTGTAATGCACTCTTTTATTGCGTGTAGAGCCATGTTTGCATTGCATCAATACTTTTAAAGGGTGGTTGAGCATGAAGGTGCTAACTCAAACAGCTTTATGCACAAAGCTTGATGCTTTGGTCACATAGTGGTGTTGGCTTCTTTAGAGCGTCACTAGGGTCAGCAGCACCCAAGGCAGTAGGCCACCGCACCACTGTTCACTAGAGTTGTCAACAGACTGACTTGACTATACTTTGTTTACCTTAAGTCCAGATGCAGCCAATGCTATGAGCTGATGGGACCAATCAGACAGCGTCAAAAGTGTGCTATCATGGTGTTTGTCATGTTTTTGTACATGTTCTATCATCATTGAACCAGTCATAAACAGAAAAGGCCCAGTGACTTGCTTTTTTGGCCTTGCTTGATTGGTCTCAATAGCTCGTAGGGTCGGCAGCATCTGGACTTAAGCTGAAACAAGGTATGGTTCATGAGTAAATATGGTGCACACATTGGCATCAGCATTGCTGCTCATACGGTGCTACCTACCACCTTGTGATTTATAAGTAGGGGGTTTGCTTTCGGCACACATTGGTAAATCAAAAAAAATGTAACCCATGGCCCCGTTCGATCAAAATCGGGGAGAAATCAAGAAATCACTAACTGTAGCTGCCCTCGGAATAAGAAAAACCCAAGCTTCACGGGAAGAAATCTTGGTCTGCAGCTTTATTTTGAGCTGACCCAGAATACAGCCACCACATCCCCCGAACTGTCTGCAATACTGCTGCTTTCATCGTGGATTGTACCGCTTTATCTCGTCTCCTTCTCTCATAAGTCATCAGCACTGGGACATTTTCCACTTATTTGTGTCACACGGTTGTTCCCCGGAGGTTGGGAAATTTCATGGTTGTGTCCTGTTTTCTGCAACAAATACCTCAATAAACACTTTTTTTTTTGTCTATTGTTGAGAATGGACGTTGAAAAATGCTGAATTTGTGGGAAAAAGTAAACTCGGAAAAGCCCCTCCCCCCTGAATGTGAATAAAAATAAACCCTGCAATCACTGAACCCTACTTATGATTGATACGCGTCTTGTTACGGTGCATGTCTGTCAACTGTAGGTTTCTCTCTGCGAAATTTGCCAGTTTTTTTGGCAAGTAGCCCTTGGTAAGAAGCCCTCTTTGCATGTTTCTATATTTCTTGTTGCCCAGACGTATCTGTGACCATGCCGCTGGAGCTCGACTTGAACTTCTTGAGGGGCCACGGACTTCAGCCTGGAGAGGAGCAGCTGCCGGAATCAAAGTCCACCCACGAAGGATCCACTCAAAGTAAGCACCTTTCATGGCTTGGGCTCGTGGTGGACAGTGCCCCCAATCCCCAGGGACAGGGGTTCTCAAGCTTCTTAATCTTGAGAAACCCCTGCTGGTCTCATCGTTGATATAATAAAGCATTCCAGAAGCCTAGGGTCATTGTGAACCATGAGGCACATAATACTACAGGGTGATTCAAGGAGAGGCCAGGCTCTTTAAATTGACCGCAAAATTCGGTTTCTTAACCTATCGCGCTACGATTTTGTGCAGCGTTGCCCACAGATGGTGCATTTTTTTTTTGTAAAGTTTGCAAAGAGGGAACTTACCTGAGGAAAATGTGAAGAAAGAAAAAGGCTTAGCTCCTATGGAAACGCAGCGATGCCACCAGACTTCAAACAACACGGCGCCGTTTCGCACGGGAGACGAGATGGGGCAAGCGGTCGTGACGCCAACGAACAAGCATACGTCGCCGAGAGCCGGCGTCTTTAGCAGACAATCTTTTCGACTCAAAAGCAGCGCAAGTTTTCTGATATCAGTTGCCAATGCTTTATTTTGTCGTCCTTACTGAGAAAACATATTGAATGGACACTTAATCGATTAGAAAAATGGTTTGTCGGATATTTTGACTGTTTTTTTCGGGGTACCGATGTCATCTGCTTTGCAGTTCCTTGTTGTTACGGCGCCTGTTTTTGTTTCTGTGATTGTCGCCGCCTGCGGAACGCGCTCTGCTTTTGAGTCGAAAAGATTGTCTGCTAGAGACGCCGGCTCTCGGCGCCGTATGCTTGTTTGTTAGCAGTGTTTGTTGCGCCATCTCTTGTCTCCCTCGCGAAACGGCGCCGTGTTGTTTGAAGACCAGTGGCGTCACTGCGTCCCCATAGGAGCTGAGCCTTTTTCTTTCTTTACTTTTTCCTCAGGTAAGTTCGCTCTTTGCAAATTCTACAAAAAAATATATGCACCATCTGTGGGCAACGTTACACAAAGTTGTAGCGCGATAGGTTAAGAAACCGAATTTCGCGGTTGATTTAAAGGGCAACTCCGCTCAATTCCAAAGAATTCGGGATAATGACTGATTTCGAATTAAAAAGCCCTAGTAAAACACACTACGTCGTTTGCTTCGCGAAAAATGGGATATATATTTTTAAATCTGATTTTAAACACGAGCGGAAATCGAAACTGAAACTTCGGCTCCACTTGGCAACATTGGCCTCGGGTCGCCGAGTACATGGCCGTCACGTGGTACGAGATGTCACGTGATCCGCGGCCCAACGACGGGCGGGATTGGGGCGGGCGTGTGGCAGGCGCGAGTGTCGTCTGCACCGCACTCTTCGCCACGTTTTGGTGTCTACGGCATTCGACGAAGTCTGCACAACTGCGGCAAAAGTGTGCGCGCACGTGGTGTCCGTAGTGTGGACGAAACTCTGAGAGACAATAATCACAATCAGTGAGACGACGACGGCGGTTGTGACACGGAAGACGGCGGTAACGGCGGGACCACGGCGGGCGGCCGGACGGCTCCCAAGACGCGCTGCGCAGGTGCGTTACGCCAATCACGTGGACACTGCTGAGCGCAGAGAGGCAGCGTTGCTGACGTCATGCGCTACGCTCGCCCGGAAAAGTGCAAACAAGCAAAAGGGGGCCATGTAGATGGCGTTGAGCTCAATGTTGGCTCCACCCATGCCGTAGCCTTGACTGCGCTGTTGGTTGCGCCTGAATTCGCCCACTCAAGTCAGCCGATTTCGGCAGCTTGGCGAGTTGCAAAGTTGGCCGGACCGTTTAAGAAACGTTTAGACAGAACTGCGTCGTAATATTTGACGTGTGATCGTCCTAGGCGATACTAAAGAAGACTGCATTGTTTTTTCAAAACCAAAAATGAAGCGGAGTTGCCCTTTAAAGAGCCTGGCCTCTCCTTGAATCAAACAGTAGAGACCGTTTGACTCGTAGTTATGGATCAATTGGTGGGCTTGAATCATCTAAATGGTGCTCAAACTGGAAAAACAACTTACTGGGGGCCAGGACGGTCGAGGAGATACTCTGGTGAACCCATGACGGTACTCGGGAACCTGTGGAGGTGCTCTGGGGAGCCCGTGGTGATGCTTTATGGAGCCAATGGTTGTAGTCTGGGGAACCCGTGGTGGTGCTCTGGCAAACTCTAAAGAAAGGCAACAAAAAAATTGACCGCATCTCCATGTGGTGAATGATGTTGATTGGGGTGAAGCTCTGGTAGTGCTTGTCTGCGTAGACTCCGAGCCGCTGCATGCAGAGCCTTTCGTTCGTTTTCATCCATGTCGGAAAGAGGATCTGTGGTATGGAACATGGTTATATACGCATTTGAGCATATGACCGCAGCGTCTCATCTATAAACGTTGAGGCAATGCATGCAAAGTTTAACGCGATTATATACGCATTTGACCGCAGAGCCCTCTCCTGTATAGACGTTGAGCGGCTACATGCAACGTTTCATCCGTGACATCCCCAGCTCTTGAGTTACTACCATATCTCAGAGCCCCCTACTCGTCCCGCAGTCGTGGCCGAGTGGTTAAGGGGATGGACTAGAAATCCATTGGGGTCTCCCCGCACAGGTTCGAATCCTTTCGACTGCGCAACCTTTTATTTTTTGCTTTACACAAGCACGTGAGCTCACGAGCACGAACACCAGCAAGATTTGAGCACGGGTGCCGGATGGACAAGGCTAGACCCCTAGGAGCTTCGCCCCTGATACACAGACAAAGACAGCAGTAATCCTTTCTTCCACATTTCTTTCAAGTGTTGCTTTTGCTGGTGAGGTGCAGCAGTGGAGAACTAGAGTCTCGGTGTCAGTGGCTTTGTGTAGTCGCAAGGCTTTCCTGGCAATCAAACATCTGTTCGTGCAACTCGGTGTACCTATCCATCGTGTGTGCTAGTCAAAATGCATTCCCAGCAAAGGCAGGAACATATTCGGCATCGAGTGACAGAAGCTGTCAGTTGAAAATTCGGAACAGCTACTACGGGGGGTAGCAATGTGAGGTAGATTCTCACACGTGCTTTGACCCATATAGTAAAGCTGCTGTGGCATTTTGCAGCAAAGCTGTTTATGGCTAGGGTTCCGCGGATTTTTCGCGTGATTGACCAAAAACTTTACGCTCGCACCGCCGCACGGGCACGCCTTCCCCATCTAAAAGATTCGAAGTAAATAACCAAAATAAAGCGTTGATGAACGCACGTACAGGAGGCCATTTGTTTTAGGCTTTTGCTTTAGAACAGTTAATGCTGCAGAATCTGGCACGTGCGGTGCCATTTCCTGCATTCTCCTTGATGCTTGGGTAATTTAGCAATAGGTCTATTCAGTAGATTAGTTATCAATAGGCACCATTTTCAACATCAGTAGACTCTCGGGTAGATGATAAAGGTTCCTCAAAGATTTGCCGCTGTGCGACGCATGTTGACCATGTCTATGCTTGCACCGCCCTCTTCGTCGTCGTTCCAAGCGCTTGCGTGCCTAGTTTCCTTTTCTTCCACTTTTCCGGGGTGGCGGTTCTGTCGCGCGTGTCTAGTTTTCTCGGGCTCCTCAGGGCAGGGATAATCGTCCAAGTGAAATAATGACCACCGATCAAGAGAACAATAAATGTGTTTGTACCTTTGTTCAAAATTTTGTGTCGCGTCTGTGTCGTGCGCTAAAAAAAGCCTCGCTGGTCATCCATTTTCACAGAGTGGAATAGCTCATGATTTTTTTCTTCATTGTTCTTGACTTCTCACTTTATCTGTGTGATTAGTGAAAAAGTAATGAAGTAATGGCATTACTTAATTAAAGGAACAGCAACCATAGTACATTTTTATTTTGGTAATTAACTTTAGCTTCATTACTTTTTTTTGATGCTGACTGCAATAATCACTTTTTAAAAGTAACCTACCCAAGACCGAATGGAAGACAACTGTGATATAAAGTTTTTCATGACATGGTTTGCAGTTCAATGCAACTGTAATTGTGTTCATCTGGTCTTTGTTTGCATTAAAGCGACGATGCAACAATTTTTGTACTTTGCTCAAATACCGCTTAACCCTTTAACCACCCGGCCCGAGCTGTACTCGTCATGAAAGGTTGTACCAATATCGCCGATGACGAGTCACACTCGTCCAGCCAAAATGAGGGTTTGTTTTCACTGGCAAACAGGAGACAGGTTCGTCCATCCATCCATCCATCCATCCATCCATCGCGTATCTAGCCTTGTAACAGTGATCAGCGACAGTGAAGACGTTGAATTTGTCTCTGGAAGTGAGTCGGACATGGATTTTGAATACGAAACGGACTTGGACGACGATTACAGTGACAAAGAAGACGACGCGCTGGGTAGTGTTCGAGTGTCGCGACGCGTAAACACTGAAAACCCGCCACCCGCGCCTCCAAGGTTTCCCGTTTTGTGCAGTGCCTGGGATTCTGCGGCAACCCACTGACGAAAAAGACATTCTCGGCTGGTTCAAGGTTTTTTTTTTATTGGGACCTTGCCGACCTTATTGTGACAGGGACAAACCGCTACGCGGTCCCGCATTTCACAGCGAGGGGTTCTTCATGGAAACCGGTGGACCGCGAAGAGATGATGGTGTTCCTTGCGCTAAAAATTTTGCAAGGAATCGTTGGCAAACCGCACGTTGAGATGTGTTTATTAGCGCTAGTACGGAGAAACGTCTAGGCACTTGATCTTTTGTTATGGTGCGTATGTTCAAAATAAATACTGCGCATTTCAGCACATGTTATTCTATTACTCTTACATGCACTGGGGAAAGCTTCCATAAAAATCAACTTTTTCTTTTAAAATTTTTGTGTTAATACCAATCAGAAACCAATCAAGTAATGTATTTTCAATATCAGAATGACGTAAGAAAGAATATGTGGAAATGAAATTTGGTAAAGTTTCTACATTTTTTTCGAAAATAACTTGGTGATTGAAGGGTTAAAACGGATCCCTGACGTTAATGACCTATGAAGCACGCGTTCGTTTTTCACCCCACGCAATAAAGTTCCAGAAAAAGATTAAAGAAAAACGAGCACCGTTCACCTCCTCAACTCGCAGCCAGAACAAGCGGCCACGTGATCTGGAGCCGATTATATGCCGCCAATGTTGATCATAGCCACGCGCTGGGGTTGGCAAAGCACAGGACACGCGCTGAGTTCCAGACATTGTTATGGCTCGGCTATTGTCGTCATTACAGCGATTGGACACCGGCCACTACCCGAATGCATGTCAAAACATTGATTTTCACAAGCCCAGATCGAATGCGTATGCAGTCTTCACGTCCACTGTGTGAGCAGCATTTGAATATCGTCACAGCTGGGATCACAAAGCTCGATGACGCATTCCCAGGGATCGTACTGTTGCCATTGTCCCCACAGCTCAGTCATCAAATTTCGCGAAGGAGAGACTGAAAGAAAAGCTCCGCTTTTATCCTTTGAATTCCGCTACGACGAAGACGCTTCTTGGTCAGTGGTGTTGCGTTCGAGTATTCTTGGGTCCCACTAGTGCCAGGAAGCTGGTGTAAAGTAAGAAATATTCCTACCCAATGTCGTTACACAGCCCCTTTAACACAAAAACAACAATTTATCATCAATTTCAAGGCCACTGGTCTTTTGTAGGCACAGGACGCACGGAAGCTGTTTATGATGTTGTGAAAATGAGTGTAACCTCATTTATCATACGTGGCAGAATTTCTTTAGTGTGCAAAGATTTTATTTTTTACTGCATTGACTGCCCAATTATCAATGCTCCTGGCATGGTGCGTTTTGAGCCAACACAAGGACAGCTTTCAATTAGAGGTGTGCGAATATCAAAATCTTTCGAAGCGAATCGAATCTAATAATAAAGGTTACGAATCGAAACAAATATTTTCGAATACGAATAGTAGTTTCGAATAAGAACATTTTTAAAAAATTATTTTCTATTTGGTGTGAATTAAGGGGAGACACTTTAATTGTGGTTTTTGAAGATATGCAGGCACTTGTCGGCTTGTCCTGAACGATTTTCATTAAATAAGTCTATTATGTTGAAATAGTCTTGGAAACGAAGTAAAATGGGTCAGTGGATGTTTTTTTATATTATTTATGAGTGAACTATTTACACCCTTTACTATTTTATGGAAACCATATCTCCACTTGCACATATCTAGCCTCCACACTTTTTTTCTTTCTCTGGTAGGTGTATATGTGACATGCAATAAAGGGTACAAGTAAAATAAATAGGGCATCAGGCTTTTTTAGGTGCCTTTTAGGCATATTCTGATAAATCATTTTGAAACTGGAAAGTTCAGAAGTGCCCTAAAACGTTTATGAAGCATCTTAGAGCTTTCATTTATGCCTTATTGTATTTTGCATACATTTTAGTTCACTGATATTTGTTTATTTTCTTGTTTCAGTATTTCGTTTTGTCTTATTCCTTCCCCTAAACTTTGCAAATTAAATTTTCAATACTAATAAAACTAGTTAGGTTACATCAGTACCAAGTACATATTTGTAGTCAGATTGTAATGGCAGATAAGCTATGTAAATTTAATTCGAATTGCATCGCAAGTTAAGTAATAAAAAAGCTCTAGAAGCAGTGTTGCCTCTTAAACAAGAATGCTCAATCAAAACACAACTGAATTTGTTTTCCAACAAACATTTATGAGAAGATCAATTTTATTGCGATAAGAAAAATGTCACACATGTGACCGATAAAAAACAGATGAAATAAAAGATTAGTCAGTAAAACACCATCCAAGGTGTGAAGTTACAGAACGTAAATGAAAATACACAAGTGGAGGCGAGTCGGCAAGCCACAATACAAAGTTGAAGACCACGTTGCGCTGCTGCACCGACTTGGTGCAAAACCTTTTTGCGCGGGTGATTGGAACCATGTGAACGTAAACCAAAGTACACAAGTGGAGGTGGATCGGGAGGCCACAGCAGAGTTGGATATTGTGCTGGGGGGCTCGGTGGCCAAGTAGGCTAACACACACCAGCTCGGAGCGCGTAGAGCGAAAGCTCGCGCTGCGGAACCCAGGATCCTGGGTTTCAATCCCCACCCCCTGCCCATTCCGATCTCGATGGGCATCGTACCTGCGTGCGGGCGTGTATCACTACTGCGTGATGCACGTAAAAGTTGTGCTGTACTGCACTGTTGTACTGCACTGGCTAAATTTCTCATCTACAGCTAGGAGACTCGTCGCCTGGAGGCAGACCATGGTCTAGGTTGTATAAACATACACACTACCTAATTTTTTTTGGAGATCGTGCTGATCGTGCTACAGTATTGCGCCGCGCAACCGCCCTGACCTTGCGCCATCTCTTTCCGTGTGCAATAGTTCTGCCGATAGAAGGTGACACAAAGAAGGAATAAACTAAAAATACATCTTTTTTAGTTAGTTTTTCTTTTTTTCAAAGGGAGCAAGTCTCACTTTTTTTTGTGAAAACGGGTAGAAATAAGTAACACGAGAAATGCCGGCAAACTGATGAACCGGAAAATCAAGCGGAAAATAACACGATCCAGGTATCACCGATACCCGAGGTCAACCGTAAATCCATATCCGAATCCATAGTAGTGAGAGTTAGGGTGACCAGACGTCCCGTTTTGGCCGGGACAGTCCCGTTTTTGAGGTCCGTTTCGGCCGTCCCGTCTTTTTGTCCCAATAAAGAACCATGTCCCGTTTTCGCAGGAGTGCATAATTTCGAAATTGGCACAAAGCGAGTTGAAGCAAGCGGACACTATGCCAACTTGTTACAAGTATATTTAACAAAAAAGCGTAGGTACTTTAAAATATTTACCCAGTAAAATTGAGAGAACTGTTCTTGCCCACAAACACGTTTCTTTGTATTGACTCGTCATATTTTTTTTTTGTTACTGAATACAGCACGCATGTAGTATGTTAACGCTTTTAAATAGCAGATCTTGCATTAAATGTTTTCTCTAAATCTCAATCTTTAGTATGCCCCCCTCTCTCCCTCTCCTCCTCCTCTACCCCCCCTCCCCACCCCATCCCCCCTCCGGGCTGGGATGTCCCGTTTTCTACCTTGAGGAATATGGTCACCCTAGTGAGAGTGGACCGCCGCATTTGTATTTACAACGATGCACGTGCCGTTGCAAACTTCATCAAATCTACCGCAGCGTTTGCGTCACGACCACTTTGCCAACCCTGGATTCCAGACATAATGGCAAGCAGAGGACAGATCGTTTACGGGTGAAACAGCGCAAGCAGGACACAGGAGAGAGAACATCCACACAGACCCGTAAACATGCTTGACCAAGTAGCCCAAATTTCAACAGTATTACAGGACAGACCGTGTTACCGCAAAAAATTTCCAGTGCATCATATTAAAAAAAAAAAAAAAGAACTTAGGTTGGCCTTTGGGTTTGCCAAGCTCAAAACCATATTGCGCAGTCCAAAAACAAAACAGAGAACTCGACCGCGAGTTGACATGAATCGGCGAGTCAGCGTTATTCATAGTTTCCTAAGTGTTCGCAGAACTCGAATACTTCGAACAGCAAAAGTGTGAAGCGAATCGAATAGCAAGCATTATTCGCGAAGTATTCAAAGTTTCGAATATTCGCACACCCCTACTTTTAATGGAAGTAGCATTACTTCGGGGATGAAGTGGTTGCAGGCGGGCTTGGCGCTCTCAATCGCACTCGAACGCAGACGCGTGAACCAGCCTTGACATCCATTCCACGCTCGCTTCTCTGCAAATTTTTGCACTCATTTCAAGTGTGCCAACCTTGGTCCCGTTCGGTTACAGCGGTGGAGCTGGACGAATCGGTGGTGGCCCACCTATGTGACATGGGATTCCCCGTGGAGGCCTGCAAGAAGGCAGTCTACTTCACGGAAAACTCGGGCATTGAGGCCGCAACTGCCTGGGTCATGGAGCACATCGAGGATCCCGGTGAGTGCCCCCTTTTTTGTGTTTGGCGTTCTGCTGGTGGGAACTGTGTTTAAAGTGCAGGGTGTTTTTCAAGCCGGTCTTGGCGACTTCGTGTCAGTCTGGCATGTAGCCTCGACGACATCACGGTATCACATGAAACTGACATTACGCCAAAGGCACTCAAATGCGTCGTATTTTTAGATCTTCGATAATGTCAAATGGCACCACAATGTTGCTTCACGTTGGCGTTATGTCACGTGACGCTGTGACGCTAGGTAGCATCATGACGCAACATTGCAACATCCTGTGACACTGCGACGGCTTTACCGTAAAATACCGCAGAAGCGCCTACTTCATTCAAGCGCCCACTAATAACCTTTCCCAAACTTGGGAATTCTGCGAATTATACATTAACCACCCGATTTGACCGGACAAACACCCACGTCTAGATTATCCCAGTGTTCAGTGAATATGAATTGGGCTGTCCCTCGGTATTTTACGGTATATATTAACAAACCCTTACAAGAATGGTTCTGGGAAATGACAGAGACGGCCAATTTTTAGTCTGCCGTACTTTTATGACCCCGTACCGGTCGGTTCCCACCCTTTAAACGGAGCTGTGGATGTGGCAGTTTCTGACGCCATTGGCCCAGATGTGAAGTTCTGGTCAGGCCCTTACTTTTGACATTTTAACCCAATTCATGAAATCTAAGGCCATGAGAATATTCTGGTAGGCTGTCTACCTGTAAGCAAACCATGATAGCGACGGGCAAAATGGCATTTGTGCATTTTCTGCGTGGATGTGCAGTAGAATCATGTTTAAACACTTTTCAGGGGACCGCGATAAAATAATGTATGATTCAGAAAACAAAATGACGGGTAACCCTTGCACAATTTACTTCACATTGAAACTTTACAGCCTCAAAAAACTGCCTTATTTATTCATACTTCGGTCTGTCTTTTTTCGGCCTTGTTCTTAAAGGGGCACTGACTCCCCAAAGCTTGTATATTTTTTCGTTGTCTAAAATGATTCAAGTATACACCTTTTCTACGTGGGCGCCGCCATCGTAAATTCTGGAACTTCTGGTATGAGTGAAAACATTGCTTTCTTCTCACCTCACCAGTGGAACGTGTTAACATCTTAATTGCAACAGTCAGTCATTCTTGTTATGTCCCTTCTATATTTTATTACTTGTACCAAGTTGTTATCGCTTTTTTTTTTTTTTTTGGAATGCATATCGGGTACGGGGAAAACATGGATGGGTGCGAGGCTAAACAAAAAAGGTGTATAGTCAGACATAAAAAAAAATACAACGCAAAACAAAAAAATTTTCTGGACGCACTTTTTTTCATTTTTTCATTACCTCACTTCTTTTTATTTGTGACATATTCAATTATGAAATTTAGAAGCTCTGTCAGCAACATTTCTATAATATTTAATAACGGCCTTTGTAAAATGTTTTTTCAATGGAGTGAGAGTCCGGAAATGATTTCGCCTGCTTCGGAAATCACGGTGGCGCTCGGCACATGTGGCACGATCGGGGAGTCGGGGAATCAAACTAAGTTCTTTTTTCGTTGCTTGACAACCTCTCAGACTTTGAAAAGGAAATCATCAAACTGTCAAACCAACTGGGTTTGGTGCCTGTGCACCGTAGTTTTGGTAGTGCCTCTGCTGGGGGGTGGTAGCCTTTCATGCAGCACCGGTGTGGCTTGGCACCTCGCGTCGCTCGCAAAGGTCCACTGCGCGTCCTCTCCGACCTCGCACCGTTTCAAAGAATTTGAGATCGCTGAAGGGGCCCTAAAACAACTTCAAACTCGAAAGTGAAGCGCGGTCTCCTTACAGCGATAGGCGGCACGCACAGAGAAGCGCTGTTGATCTGGTGGATCGCGGGACTCGGGGAAACACATCGCTCCTAGAAACTCCAGTTACAGGACAACTCAATCTTTGACGTCACAGCACTGGCATGGGCTGCGCAGGAACTTCATATTCGGCTTTGGAAATTTCTTTTTTTACTTCACAAATACAGAGTTCCCAAGCTTCGAATTTTGAGAGTAATGTCCAGGTATGGTTTTCAATTGTTCCGAATAATAAAAAAAAAAAGGATGATTTCAACCTGTCAGTGCCTTTTTAAAATTGGGGGTTGACACTAGCCCTAATCGGAGAATGTCGACCTATAAAAATGATCAAAATTTGTGAGGCATTCGAGCTGAAGCAGGTGTTTTCCCGTGTCAGCCGCTGCTCCTAGCATGCCAGTGCAATGAGGTGAAGCTCAAAGCGTGTGCCAGTTTATCAAGCTGATAGCATTGATCTCTGGCTCTTCTGTAACCAGACCATTTTTTCTTTAAAGCTGCCTCGCACAGTTGCGTTTGAGTGTGACCCAAGTGCGCTGCAATTCCCTGCGATTGCTCACGACGAGAAGACATTGGCGTATTGAGGGGGGGGGGACAGAGGCCTAAATTTAAAATTTTTTCAAATTTGAGGTTTTCAGTTTTAGAAGCCAATTGTACAACCTGACACTAAATTTGATAACCATACGCCAAACAGTTGCAATGATATAAAATATTTTCACCACATTGGAGTCACTAACAAGATAGAGGAGTTCAATGTTTGAATGCAGTTTTCTCAGTTCCCTTTTTTGCTGCAAATTTCATACGAAGGAATCTTTTGTTCGAAGGTAAAAGTATTCTGATGCCACAATCAAGATGTTTCTGAACTGAAATTTACTGGGGAATCGGGCTATCTACTTTACTTTGTTTTAAATTGAAGTCCTCATAAAAAAAAAAAAAAAACAGGTTTTCTAGAATTGACATAGGACAGATATGCATCTCATATTTTGAGGTAATCACTCTTCCTGAAATACCTACATTAGAGTTATAAAAACTAGATAGCCCGAAGTTTTACATCCCCCACTTTATATTCAAGCAGTCAAAATGGTGCTTAATAGCTTCATTTGCATATCATAGATTTCTTAACGAAGAGTGACACATCTTATGCAGAAATGTAAAGTTGTCCTAGAGAGCTTAAAGTTTGCACAGTACACCTACATCTGAAGTTAAATCTCCCCTACAAAGTTCGTTCTGATCGCTTGAGTAGTTCAGAAGTTAAATCTCCAGCCAGTGTCCCCCCTTAACGCCATCCACCGCATACTTTTGGAACTCTTCCAGTCTACATATAACTAGATCGAAGGAGTACTTGCGAGATCAAAAGGCACCGTTTATGAAAAGTGGTCACTTATAACATAGTGAGAAGTATTTCAATCCTTTATGTACTTGATGTTTGTTTAGCATTATGTTTCTCTGCTGAAGTCGCGCTCCAGCTGACCAAAGCGCCCGTTTGTTTTCCAAGATTTCGGAGACCCCTTCATGCCCCCTAATGCGGCCAAGAGCGAGACTTCCTTCAAGCCAGATCCGGCAGCACTTTCCATGGTCATGTCCATGGGGTTCTCGCACGACCAGGCTGTCAAGGCACTCAAGGCCACTGTGAGTGCACAAGGGCTTATTCGGGGGAGCTAGCCATGCTCTGTGTTCATTAACCCTTTGGCTACTAATCATGAGTGGGACGTGTTTTAGTCTGAGCTTGTTTTGTGCGCTCTCTGACTGATTGCAGTAGTACCAGTATTTCTCTGCCTTCAAGTTCTTTTGTTGTTTCAAGTTTTCATAAAAAAAAAGACTATTGTACAAGAAAAACAATTACAGGACACTATAGTCTGCTTACGTGTAAGAATGCAAAAGCATTATAGCCCTGCGTGGTCACCTCCACAGTAATAATCAGGAACCACACAACGAGCACAGATGAAATCCGAAGCGCACCTTTTGCACGCGGCGCTCCGGCAGTGTCATCACGGTCCCCCATTGCGCAGGCGGTGCCCTTGCCAGCTTCAAGGCTTCCGTGACAAAGCATCTGCGTTGCTGTGCTTTTCTTTGTGCTTTATCTCTGAGGCAGGTCTGCTGCGACCTTGAGCAGCAGCCAGCAACGCCCCCGCCTGCTTCACGGCTTTCGTGATGAAGCATCTGCATTGCTGTGCTTTTCTTTGTGCTTCATTTCTGAGGCTTGTCTGCTTTCACCTTGAGCAGCAACGCCTCCGCCAGCTTCATTCACCGCTTCCGTGACGAAGCATCTGCTTTGCTGTGCTTTTCTTTGTGCTTTATCTCTGAGGCACGTCTGCTCTGACCTTGAGCAGCAGCCAGCAACGCCCCCGCCTGCTTCACGGCTTTCGTGACGAAGCATCTGCGTTGCTGTGCTTTTCTTGGTGCTTTATTTCTGAGGCAGGTCAGCTTTGACCTTGAGCGGTGTGTGCTTGATGACATATATTTATGGCCATCTTTTACAGCACAATTCCAATGCCTTTTCGTGTAATGAAGCATACAAGTCTTTCGCCTTAAAAATAAATTCAATGTCTCCAGGCACGAGGAACGGCGACATGTCCTCAAGCATGGTGACATGTCCTGACACCTGTATTCATCTGCTTTAGCTGATGAATACAGATACTTTTATTTAGATGTGATCATTGCTGATGATGAGTCTTACCACCTTTCTGATAACTCGCACTTCTTAATAGTAACTCGCATGAAAATAAAGGGAAGATTTACTTGGGCTCTAGATGTTGTCTGTTGCTTTCCACCTTCCTCAACGGTTTCAATAGTTAGACAAAGGGAAGAACAGACAGCCAGGATTAATACTAATAGCAACAGACATCTGGAAGCTGAGTAAAATGTTTCTTTTAATTTTTGCGCACACATGCCTATCTTAAATAAAGTTTCATGGTGTGTCTTGTGAAAAAAGAGTATGCAATGGGTTAAGGTTTCCAGTGCTCATCAATATTTGATTAGGCACTGAGCATTTGTAGCCCAAAGCGGAACCTAAAAAATTTTGTGCGTGGTCCTTAGGTTACCTTTTACCTGGTTTGGAATTTTTTGGTCGCGCCACGGGAAAGATTTTTTTATGGACAAATAGAAGCACCAGAGGTGCTCTGCCGACATAAGGAGTAAACCAATCGGATCGCTCGGAGAACCTAATGAATAGATGGGGTTCAGAGAACCCATTGTGGAGAAAATCACCATATACATCTACAGTAGAACCTCGTTAATTTGAAGTCGGTCGGACGGCGTAAAATATGTGAATTAAGCGGATTTGCGAATTATCCAAGACCAAAGAAAATGACAAAAAATTGTGCGCAAAGGCTTGAATCTTGAAGGAAAGATTTTATTCAAAACGAGTAGTCAAAACGAGAGAACATCACCTGAAGTAGTCGTCGGTATGGGACCGCCGTTTTCTCTAATTCGCAGCGTCCACAGTCATATTTTCATGAAGGCTAACTAGGCGCAACATCTCGGAATCACCGCCGTTACATTCCGCAAAGCTGCGGACGACATTCAGCGACTGTATGACTTCCCCTAGAGCAGGGGCCCGAGGCAGCTCATCATCGGCATCAATATCTGCCATCACACTGTCAGTGATTTCGCTCTCAAGGTCCGCGTAGCAGGTTTGCTCATTCTATTCTATGTTCAAGTAGTCTGTGAACCTCATGCCAACCGACTCACAGTCACTGTCCTTAATGTGAAGGCAAAGCTTTTCTCCCTTATCGTCAGTCCCAGGGACAATACTGGCTCTAGCACTGGCGGTAATTCTACATGGTTTAGTACTGCTTATGGGGACAGTTTTCTAGGCTGGAAACGGTTTCCAGACTAGTGAGTAGTTTATCTAAGGACCGTGATCGTTACATTTAGCTCACTGTTTAGGGGAATGTGCTCTCTTGGTTTCTCCAGGACAACAATGTGGAGAGGGCAATTGACTGGATCTTTAGCCGGGCAGATGAGCTGGACTCGACACCCATGGAGATGGGAATGGATGCCGCCACTGTGGGACCCAACATCAAGGATGGCCCTGGCAGTAAGTCTCCTTTCTGCGTATCGGTGCACCTGGTCTAGTGTAACGTGCATCGAGCACTGAGCATTCTTTCTACAGTGACTACCGTATTTTCCAGACCGTAGTCTGCACCCGGTGTGTAGTCCGCAAAAAAAGATTTTGACCAAAAATATGTTTTTAGGTAGTTTGCACTCTGTTCATCATAGCCCACGCTACGCAATACACCTTGCAACTGTCTGCTTTGGTAGCGCACAAAAAAAAGCTTGCGTCTTATAGAAATCGTAATTAACATGAGTAATCTCTTACTCACAGAAATTCATGATGTCTCTTCATAATGGACAACCTTGAAAAACAAAACCTTGTATAGTTCGAACTGCATAGAATTTCAACATTTTCCGGACTCTGGTCCGGAAGCGCCTCGGAGACACATGCAGACCCGGCATCATATAACCAAAGAAAAGTCTATTGAGAAACTGTTTTTTTTTTTTTTATTTATTATTGAGAAACTGTGTGCCATTGTGGGCATGTACACAGTGCGAAAGAATGGGCATCCAAGTGTGACAAAAGCCAACCAAAGTAGCTAAAGCTATGATGATAATGCAATTAATGCAAAGGTGCAAGCGAGCTGGACAAGAATGATGAAAATAATTCCTGGATAGAGGGAACGAAGGGGACAAAGGACGAACACAAATCTCCAAACACAGTTAGGTGACTGGTGCGCAACCAAAAAAATCCGCCTGGTCCTGGTATGGAACCAGTTTCCTCTCCATTTCCAGTGGAGCACTCTACCAACTGAGCTAGCCAGGAGTTACATGTCAGTAGAGCAAACGGGTTTTATCAGCTTCCGCCGGTCTGACACCAACAAGGTGAACAGCCTGCATTTAAAGGTTATGATGATAATGCAATTAATTCAAAGGTGCAAACGAGCTGGACAAGAATGGCCAAAAAAAAGTTACACTAGTACACTTAGGACTGCTTACATGTAGGATTGCGAAAGCCAGTTAAGGACACCGTCTAGGACTACGTCGAGAACTTCTTCTAGGACGACTTTAAGGACGACGTTGAGAACGGCGCCATGAGGAGGACACTTAAAGAGGCTGCGGCATATTTGCATGGGCAGCCACGTTTGCCTGTGGAGGCCGCTGTAGATGTAGACGCTGCTACCGATGTCAAGGCCGTAGAGCTAGACGTGGTTGCCTCACAGTCCATTGCACGAAGCACACAATGAGCAGAGATGAAGTGCAAAGCGCACCTTTTGCACATGGCGCTTCAGCGGTGACATTACACTGATGACGCTTGATGACTTCACGCTGATGACGCTTGATGACATATTTTTATGTTCATCTTTTGGGTGCAACAACGCCGACACCACTTGTTTTTTCCGTAATGTGACAAGAAAGGTCGTCCTAGAAATCTAGGACGACATGCCTGTTACAATCTCTTCGTCCCACGCGTTAAAGTGACGTTGCACGTGCCGCTGTTGCGCAGAGTACCAGCTGATGGGCTTCATCAGCCACATGGGCACCTCGACCATGGTGGGCCACTACGTGTGTCACATCCTGAAGGAGGGCCGCTGGGTCATCTACAACGATGACAAGGTGGCCATCTCCGAGTGCCCGCCCAAGGATCTGGGCTACCTGTACCTGTACAGGCGTGCCGCCTCCTCGTGACTAGGGCCGTCGCCCCTCAAGCGCGCTAGGACCGGCGCCGCCCCAGCCAGCACCTAAATCCCACTGTCCCGTTCGGTTCGGAAGCCCACTGTTTCCAACGACGCGCATTGTCCTGTCGTCGGCGATGTCGTCTTCTGTCTTGCAACGACTTTTGCAATGCCTGCTGCTCTTGCGTTTGTCTCTCGTTTTTTTATCGCACTACACACTTTGTTTTCCTACGCTTTATTTCACAAGTCCGACCACTACGATCCAACGGAGTCTATCGAACAGCGCCAAAAGTGCATTGTCACGGTGCCCGTAACCTTTCTGTGTTAGCTAAAATGGACTGAACCAATCGCGCGCAATCGATGGTTCGATATCCTGCGCTTTTTCCTGCGCGTGATTTGTTCAGCCGGTGATGGCAAACCTACGGACAACAAGCACCGTGACGATGCCCTTTTGGCCCAGCTCGAGTGAGTCAGCCGAATCGTGGTGTCAACTGAGGTCTGACTTCAAGTGAAATGGAGTATAGGAAATTTCGTTCCACCTTAAACCTGTTCACACATACACCACTGCGCTACCTTGGTACTGTTTGTTAGCGACTGAAATAGCGCCGACCTTGCCGATGCAGCGGTACATGGCGCTGTTTCTAGTGTTGATTTCAAATCAAATTTATTTGACACCAGATCATACAATTATGATGTCGGGAGCGCAGACAAAAAGTCACTGGAGTGCGTTTTGGCTGCGTCTGTGCCCTTGTTCAGATCAGAGACAGCAGTGCTATAAAATAATTAAAAAGAAAAATCACAATCTATACAGCACTTAACGTACACTGAACCAATAATACACTTAAACAAAACAAAATCTTATCAGACGAACGGAGGAACAGACGAAAAAGTTTGCTGTCTAATCAGTATGCGAATTGAGTAAGGATGGCAAGGTGTAAAGAAACGATGGAATTTCATAGTTTCTGCGTGCAAAAGGTATATTTGCTGCGATGCAAGTGTGAACCGGCATTTAAAACAATCCCCCAACAAAATATTTTTTTTCTCTTTTTGCAGGCAAAAAAATTGTCGAAGGGGGATTTTGTATTTCGTGAAACTTGAAAGGAGGGCACCATTCTTTTTATATGCTGCTATGTTGTTTCTGTGTTTTACTGCTTTCTTTACCTTCTTTGATTTTTCTTTTTTTATTAATACAAACAATGCTGCTTTAAGGAAAGCCAATGCTTTGAGGTTCTAAAGTGGCAATTTAGCGTTGCTGTCGAAAGCGATGCAGAAACACTGTGCAAGGCAAGTCGGGGCTGGGAGCCCGATAGTTTTGCCGAGGTTAACGGGTGGCACGTCGAGAAGTACTACATATTTTTTATTTATTTCCGGATTACCTTTGCTTTCTTTTTTTTTTCGGAGCATTTGAATTGGCGAGGTTTGAGCATTCTTATTTGCTGCTTGTCCCTCGTCCACACTCTACCGGGCATTTGATGTGTGACGAATTTGTGTTTGGTTTCGTGCCTTCAAAAGGATTGCGACCATGCTGTACATGTTGGCTGGCCTTCAGGAATGGTCATACACGTGATGCTAAGTATTGTAACTTGTTTTTGGGACACGATTTGTATATAGTATGTGTGGTGCTTTTTTTTTTCACCTTGATGACCTAAACTTATTTTAAATAATTTTGCATTTGTTTGTTCCCAGCAACCACTGAATTTGTTACATCTGTGATTGATTGCTTTATGGCGATTTCCTCACAACAAGAATTAGAGTTGTAGGAAGCTAGGGTATCTAATAAACCAAAGTTCACAGTTCAAATTGTTGTTCCATCAAGTTCTGTCGCATTTAAAGTGCATTAAGAAGAGAACCTATTTTGAAAAGGATCCAGACATTTCAGTGTGGGACGTTTCAGCATAGGACTTTCAGTGTAATCTTCTTGGTGCACAAACGTTTCAGTTCGTGGGTATTTTGGTGTAAATACATGTTTGGAAGATGAATAGTTGTACCACCATGTGAAATCGCAAACCTTTGTAAACTTGGAATATTTTGATGCATGAAAGGTACGATATCTATTGATAGGAATTGCAGATTTGTCTTAATTTAGCTGTGCTTTTGTCTTATGAAAAATATAGGAAATGTAGACTTCAACAAATAAAACTAATTGCATCTTAGATCCAGCAATAATGTATTGTCATTTCAATGTGCAGAAAGATATCTGAATACAATTGTAAAGGCAGTCAGTATGAGAAACTAAACAAGTGATACAATTTTCAAAACTGCAACGTGTTTTCCTAGACAGGCGTTCATGCAGTTTAAAGGTATAATAAGTATCAGTTTGGTTAGATAAGACAAAACGATGGCATAAGAAAGTCATCACCTATACTGGCAACAGAGTGGAGAGTTGACACAAGCAAGCCTAAATAATCATTATTTGTGGATGCAATGGTGAGTCATCCATACCGAGAGGTCACTGAAATATTGTATTAATATGTAAGTATAAGCAGTATAATCAAATATGTGACATAGGTTCAGAGACAATGAAAGGTAACCATGATTTCAAAGGATATGCACCGAAACATCCTGCACCAAAATGTCCTAGACCCTTCATGAAATGCAAAAATTGCAAAAAAAAAAAAAGTTGTATTTAAACCGGTATTTCTTGATCTATAAGTTACTAACAACATGTAAGTGCTACACTCGCGAAGTTCCCGTTTATATAGTTGCATCAATTCAGTCATATCCCGGCCGTTTGTAACAGTTTTGAAAAGCTTTTCCTGTTTTCTCAGAATTAATTTTTTTTTTTTTTTTAAGTTCATGGTATTTTGGGATCTAGAACAGGGGTGGCCAGGCTGACCCACTCTAAGAGCCGCAAACAAAACCACGAATCTTCCAAGAGTCGCGGGGGGGGGGGGGGGGGGGGGGGGGACGACGACGACCAACTTTTGTTTAGAGCAGTAACGAAATTCGAACTACTTTCGATCTCTCCGAGTCAAAAGAACTCGGTGTGCATAAGGTAGCAGTAGCACAAGACTACCAAACCGCAACCTGTCTTTCTCAGCTGCTGCTGAGGGGAGATGGAGACCTGTCAAGCAACTGTTATGTTGCTTTTTTCTTTGTCTTCCCTCTCCAAATAGAGAAAAATAAAGCATTTTGATTTTATTTGAATGTAAAACGCGTTCCATTTCTCCATTTGGGGAAGTGCTTGTGTGACCGGGAGGGAGGCGTGGAAGTGGAAAGGGGGGAGGGGAGGGAGCCACGAGCCGCACTTTAACACGCGAAGAGCCGCAGCTTGGCCTCCCCTGATCTAGAACCTAGATCTGAATACTTTTTTGGGGGTTTAATACCTCATAAGTTGCTTGAGGTATTAAAGGGATACTTCAACGAAATTTGAAATATTCCCGTCGTGTTCAAAGATAGGTTGAATATGATCCACAATATCCGTAAATGACAATCGCACGTTTGTATTTCGATCCTGGTGGCTGTATTTTTCGTTATAAACGGCCCACCCTGGCAAGCGCTCGGAGAAGGCCCAGCTTAGAGCACGTGACATCCAACGCAATCGTGACGTAGGTCGTCTCAAGACGAGCAAAGCTACGGCGAGGCTGACGTCGAGAGGATGGCCTAGTCGTTCCAGCCACCGAAGCGGCTGCTTTTGTACGAATTTTGAGTGACGGGTTAATCTTCTATAGTCTTCTAGGGGGACAATAGCGACTTCTGCGACACACAAAAGGGATTCTCGGGAAGAGGGGAGTTCCTCCTTCCCCCCTTCTCTCGTCGTGGCCGGAGACGAGACAACCTCCGTCACTAGCTGTCAAGGTTCCTAGACGAGCATTACAAACGAGGCGTTAGCGACATCCACCAGGTGCTCTTTGCTAATCGTTTAATTCGTTTTAAAATTCCTTTTCGAGACATTTTTAACAAGATATTGGTATGTTCCATGCGATACTGCTCTTTTGAACACATATAGACCAAAAAATGAGCGCCGAAATTTCGTTGCAGTATCCCTTTAAAGGGTAACTGCAAAGAAAAAAAAAAGTGTGTTTTAAAACAGCCTAATTGGGACAAACATGTCACAAAACAAATCTGCGAAAAAAAAATTTTTTAGCAATATTTACGCAACAGTACGTAATTTAGTCGGAGTCACAGCCTCTCCACATTTGAAACTCCCGCTCTTCCGACGCGCGTGGAGTGGCTGGAATACGTCACTCGGTGACGTATAGCAGCCACTCCACGCGCGTGTTTTGCAACAAAAGGACGTAAAACGCACAATATGAGAAGGTAGTGGCCTTTATTCGAGCAAACACACGCCATGTGAATGAAAGTTTAACGAGCTAGACACTTATGAACAAAGCTTTGGACCACTAGGCCTAGCCTAGGCCAACCGCTGAATTCACAAACCTCACACCAATCATTTTTCAAGGAACACGTGAGGGCCGGCGCTGGCCAATCACGACGACGGATAGGCGGCCTAGGCTGCTTATCCGTCCTTGCGCCTTCCTTGAGAAAAGTGGAGGGGCGCCGCGCCTCAATTGGGGTGAGGTTTGTGTTCGGCGGCAAGTCTCGGAGACGGCGCAAGCTTCGATGCGCAGGCAGAAAGATAAACCTTGACATACTTTTTTTTCGGTACCTCTAAAATATAAGCTAGACACAATCCTTCCTTTTGCATGTATTAACACGGCTGGAGCATGGTAGAAGAAAGCTGTTCATTAAGTGGAAACAAAGAAAGACTCGAGAAAATATTCTGCGATGCGTGTATACCAGCCCACTTACCTTTCAGAGTTACTGAACTGAAGCAAAATAAAAACAAAAAATGGAACTATGGCTGAATTAGGCAACATGGATAACAAGCTGTAAAAGCTTATTTTCACTTTCTTGCCTATCCACATTGATCCCCTTCGGGGAAACCATAAAATTTCTCGCTTTTTGAGTCGGTTATGAGAAGTGTAGGAGAGTGCGGAAACAGCAGTGCTTCCTGGAGGTGGCAACACCACCTATGGCTGCATAGTTATGATGCTCGACGAAAGATGGTGCATGGCACATAAAGAAAATGGCGTCGCACCCTGAATTTAAAAAAAAAAAATGCATATAAGTTGCATGGTTGTATAAGACACACCTAGAAAAATATTTGGAAAAGCTGCAACTTATACCCCGGAAAATATGGTACAGTAAACAATTCACAGGACGAGACACTTCAGGTGGTGGGTGGTGTTATGCACGTATGGAATGCAGTAGTATTCTTCTAGTATACAGGGGTGGAACGGCTGCGCCATTTGCGCCATTCCGCGCCAAACGCATTTGTCTGCGCCATCCTGCGCCATTTCACGGAAACTGCGCCATAGCCAATACCTTGCGCCATTATGCACCAAATCGCACAACGTGCGCCAAAAAAAAAAAAAAAGTATTTTGTCTTGGTTTCGGTTTTTATCGACTCGATTGGCAACGATTAGCGCGTTTAGCTTGGTCGGCCTTGCAATCCTTTGTTCTGTTTATTCTCCCTGTGTATCCCTAGTCGGAAGCGCGCGAAAAAAACTCGGGGATCGGATTCGAAGTGCTACACCTGCGACTGGATTGTTGTTCTTCTACCATAAGCGGTTACGCAAGTCGGCCGAGGTGAGGTCGAGTCGTTAAGCGTCAGATTGCCTGAGGCTCTGCGGCCCAGGATCCGTACGTCAGCCAGTTGAAAATAAATGAGCAAAAGATTCCTTTTAGTACTTCATCGTTAGAAGTTGGAACCGCATTCCTGCAAGATAAATTGTGATTTGATAGGACTGAAACGCGGTCCGATCCGAAACCTTGCCGGCCAGCAGCTCTTAGCCGAGTGGTAGGTCTGCTCCTGCATATCGCTTTGAATACGATAACTCCGTTAATTGTAGTCTGCTGCTTCGGTATTGAGTTGCACAATAGGATAAACTCGAAATTTGTTTCCCTGTTCCTCCACGCAACTGCACGTCCGTTGCTTTCGCACGTCAAGAGGTTCGCACATATAATTACTATTTCGAGCACGTGTGGGTTGTGCGATAAGCAGTGCTGATTTGCATTTTGAGCAGCTGAAAGCCACTCAGAGAATATCAAGGACACCATCTTCAGAAACATATAGTAGTTGCTTTTTGGTTCTCATTAAGGCTCACAAAGTTTCAAGTTTTCGCATGTGCTACACTGTTATCCCATCTACCTAGGTCCCTAACCACTCATGTTCATCTGTGCTGCTAAGCAGAATTGAAATTGCTCCCGTGCTCGTCTAAGACACAAGCTGAAGTGCAATGGAAACTGATCTGAGCTGCTCCTAGCCTGCTCCAGAATGCAGTTTTAGCTGCTCCCAACCTGCTCCAAAACAGCGGTTTCAGCTGCTCCCGTGGCTGCTCCCAAATACCTTTCATGAGTTCCACCCCTGAGTATACTCGTTTTCCTTCAATTGTTCTGTGACCACAGTGGTATCCTTAGTGCAATGTGCATCATATATAGGGTGTCTCAAATACCCAACCTTGATCTAAAATGGGCCTTAAAAATTGGCACCTGCACATGGCAATCTAAACTTTTCGTCAAAAGTGTATTTCACAGGTCAGTTTTATCACGCAAAATTACAAAACCGACCTGTTATGTAAAATTAGGGCCAAAATATACTTGGTGGGGTCAAGACGCAGACGACTGAATCGAGTGGCGGGGCCCGTTTGGTGCCCCCCACTCGACTGCACGGACGGTGTCTGCATCACCGTCCGCCGTTAGCCCTGGCAAGTTTTTTGGCCCTATTTGTTTTTACAAAAAGGGAGCTATGCTTTGCAATTTTGCATAATAAAACCGACCTATAAAGTACACCTTTG